TCATGCTGCAGTGGACAGCTTCATAGGTTATGTCTTAACCCCTTGCACCACCAGGGAGGCCCAGAAAGTGTAAATTTTGCATGTATTGGCAGAAGTGCCGGGACTCCTGGTCTCTGAGCACATGGCCTGAAAGAGCCTTACATAGTCCCTTAACTTGTACTGTTGTCCTCTGATTTAGGTTGAGAAATTCCACACTTGGGTAGCAATTTTTTATCAGAAAATCTGGGGACAAATTACATCACATAATGTCTGTGTGAGTCTGTGAGGCACAGCTAAGAGGAAAGTAAAGCATTTGCAGCTGCTTCCAATCTTTCTTGAGTTCGTGGTTTTCAGAGATGAGGTATCCACACTCCTATTCTTCCAACCCCGCCCATGCAGAAACCTTTCCCCCATTCCCCTGGTTACTGGCTCCTTTCTACTTAATTCTAACTTCTGTCATCAAGTTCAAATTCTACTATGGCCCACCTTCCCCAAAATTACAAACAGTAATGCATCTGATTTTCTCTGGTTAGGCCTTTTCTTTCTAGGGAACATTGTTCCTCTCTGTTCCCCATGCTGGGATCATGGTGACCTTATGCTGCAGCGGGGTAGGAGCTGCCTCAGGTGACACAGAAGAGTCGTGTTAAGTAGCAATATTAGAAGGGTGGCAGAGTAGATGTGGGATGTGGTGGTGTGGGATTTATCCTGATCAATTATGTCAGGAAGTCGTTAGATTAGCTCTAGCAGGAAGACAGTGCCATGTCAGCATCAACCACAGATAAGAGCCATTCTGCCAGGGATGGGGAGGAAAATGGATCAAAACAGGGGGAGAGAAGAGCACAAAGGACTATGGTGATGGTTCACGGGTGAACTGGTGGTGAGAATTTTACGGGAATACACAATGATGTAAAAGATATAAAGATAAATTATAAAAATAAACAAATAAATATATTGAAACATGGAGGCAAATGCTAGAAGAAACAACAAACTTGAAAGCGATTTCTTCTGAAGGGTGGGACCAGGTGATGGAACTCAGCCATTTATATAATAACTCTAGGAGGCGAGTTCTGCTACTGTTCCTACCTTACAGATGCCGAAACTAAGACCCAAGGACCCGCAGGCGACAGTGGCAGAGCGGGATGAAACCCAGGCGGCCCCTCGGGGCTCCCTGCCACGCCCCAGGCCCCACAGAGTTGCTCACCTGCACTGCCCAGGGCCTCCTCGCAGCTCTGCCACAGCCCCACGTGCAGCCCGCGTGGGGTGAACATGTCCCCCGTCTCCCAGACGTACTGGACGGCCTGGCTCCCGCTGTCCCGCCCGTCACCGCCACCGCTGCCCTCACCGAATGGACACTCTGCAGTGCTCGCGGGTGGCCCTGGCACAGCGCCTCTGCCACCCGCCGGGTCCCCTCACACCAGTCACTGCTGCCCAAGGCGGTGGGGGAGAAGTCGAGGGCCACGGCGGTGGGTAGCAGGGTCAGCGCTCACCGCAGCCGGCCGGGGTCCACGGCAGTGGATCTCCTCCTCCCGCGCAGTGGAGGTGCCCACCGCTCCTCGCCCCAGCCCTGCCAGCTGCCACACCTGTCACCCTGACAGGCTACTCGCGTGTCTGCCCGGGGAATCTGGGGGCGCTCCAGCCCGTGGCCAGGCCTGGGGGGCCCCTGTGGCCTGAAAAGCTCCCTGAGAAAGGCGAGAGCTGGGGCGCGCTCCTCGGCGCGCTGGCCTCCCCAGGGTGTGGACGTGCAGGAGAGCGCCTGTTCTCTTTTTTGGTCTTTTTACATACGATAAAACTACCTTCTTAACTATTTTCAAGTGTCCAGGTAAGTTCAGCCCATTGTCCTGCGACCAGTCTCTCCAGCTCTTGATGGGGCTACAGGGAAGCCCTAAACCCTTTAAACACGGACCTGCTGCCCAAAGCTCTGGCAGGTGGCGCCCCCTGGAGGCCGCGGGGGAGGCTGAATAGTCCCTGGCAGGATCCCAACATAGTGTAGGTGGGGTGGAGACTCGAGAGGAAATACAGGAGAGACCGCAGGGGCAGCCCCCTTACAGTGTTTTCGGAAATTCAGCGTTTTCCAGGATTCAGCATTCTGGGGACAGTCATTCCTGCCCCCACCACGCTGATCTTCCAGAAGGCTGTTGGGGGCCTCTAAAGGCTGTGGAGAAGAGCTTTGTGATGCCAGAAAGGCATGGAGCAGGTTCTCTGTGGATTCCCGCAGAAGGGTAAAAGAGTTCTGGAGACCTCAGTGGCTTTTCAGGTTTTTAAGATCTTTCTACACCATTTGTGGTGAGGCGACCAGGTGCAGGGCAGGCAGGAGGGGTCTGGGTCTGGGAGGCCTGGAGGCCTGGCCGGGTCTGGGAGGCCTGGAGGCTGGTAGCCTCCTAGCGCCCAACAAATCTCTACTCTTTCTGGGCTCTTTGGCGCTCTCTTGTTATCTCTTTGCCCGTCTCTACCGCACTCTGCTGCACAGAACCTCTGCCGAGATGGTCCTGTGCAGTCGCCCTTATATGCTCGGTCTCTGGCTCAGGGGCCCACTCACGCACGCGCACACCACACGTCTGCATGTAAGCCCACAGGCATCCATTGCGGATGCTAATGGTGGGAGCACGGAAAAAAAAACCAACCTGATCACTTCCATTTACCCTGCGGGCTTCCAGCAGCCAAACTCAAAGGAGAAATGTACAAATGCTTTGCAAGTAGCTGAGTGACTGAAACTGTTCCCAGCTCTGCTGCTGTTACAGCCTGGCAGGCAAGGCGAAGACCCGAAATGGGCTCCTTGCTGAGCTGCATGAGTGTGGCCATTTGTTGGGTGGTTTGACCGCTGCAGCTGCTGTTTCGCATGTCTCTTGTCTGGTGCTGTGCTAGGACATCTCAGCAGCTCTGGTGAACACCTCCTATTGTGTCTTCTGCTGTGTTTGTGAGTCAGAACCGGCCTGTAGTCTGGCTGGCCTGTGCTTCAGGTCCGCAATAGGGGGAAGACAGAATCTTGGGACTTGAGAACACTGGACACTGCTTCCGGGAACTAAACGGCCATTTTGGGCCTCAGGAATGCTTTGTTTTTCCCTGGTTTGCTAAATAGATCCCATTATTGTTGTCCTCTGAACCTGAGTAGTCTCGCAATTGCACACATGGGTGAAGAACTCAGGCAGTGACTGGTAAACTATTTGGGCAGTGTCCTTGGCCAGTTTTAGTGCCCCTTGCTGCCCTGTATCACTCTCAGTAGCCTGAAGTCCCTGTATGTGCCCTGCCTGGCTGCCTGTTTTGTAGCAAGAGGAGTCACTGTGTTTTTTTTGTGATAAAACACGGCATCCACCCAACAGGTGGGGATGACATGTGTGGTGCCAAGTCCTGTCCCTTTAGAAAAAGGATGTTTTTGAGACATTCAAAGAGATGAGATAGAATATTTCACCAGGCTGGCATTTTCTTCACCAGATTGCAATGTGAAAGACAATCTTTAATGTGCAGTTATGGAACAGCTTCCCTTCCACATACGAAGGGTAGTCACTTGGGCACGGTGCTCCTCTGTGTCCCCACCTCTGCCTCTCTGCTCTCTGTCCCAAAGAGATGATCACGTGGTTCCACAGGCCATACTATTATGAGTCCATTTGTTCATTAGGAGCATTTTACTATTGAGGTTTAAAATCGTATCACATTGGGGTTTTTAAGATTTCTATGAGCTGATGCTCATCTGTTTTTCCCCAACCGTTCAAAATTCCTTTAGGTAAGTTAACTGGGGTGAGTGTTTATGGTTTAATTTGAATGGGAAAAAAATCTAAATAAAAACATGTTCCTCTCTTGCTGACCTATATTTCATACACTCAGAGAGATTGTCTTCCTTCTAGGTCCGCAGTTTGGGAGACTGCAAAGAGTTGGAAGAGAATGCTGGGAGCTGGAAAGGGGAGAATAGGGGAGAGAAGGGCCAAGCAGAATCTTTCAAAGGCACAGTGATAAGCCTGCTAGAGAAAAGGCAATCCCCAGAGAGTTATGTTAAATATAGCACCTTACCAATTTGCTGTGGTATGGCGTCTATGGCCAGAAGACTTGGGTACTCTGGTTTTGCCACTTACTGCTGTGTGGCCTTGGGTAAGTTGCCTAACCTCTCTGAACCTAAATGTTCTCAGCTGTAGGTGGAAAAATAATCATAGCCTCACAGGGTTATTGCAGGGGTGAATGCAATAGGATGTTGCAAAAAATTTTGTAAATGTGAATTGTGGGGAGAAAGTGCTAATAAGTCAGTAAGTGACGGATCATGAATTCCATCAAAGGGTCTTCCAGGTGGACTGAATGACGTGTTCAGAACAAGTGAGCAAGTGACCTCAGCATGTTGTTTTGCTCTTGTGTAGAAGAACTCCAATTGCTGATTGGGGTTTTGCTTCAGGCCCTGGGTCAGGACATGGTCTCTCACTGGCTGGGTAACTGTCTCTTTTGAAGTCTTGGAATAAATAGGACTCAGAGGAGGCCCTGACTTTGTCACTGGTGTCATCCCAGCCTGGACTAGCTGATTGCCTTACTGAGAAATATCCTTCCTCACCAACAAGACGCCCACCTCAGAGCTGACTCAAGGCCCACCTCCTCCTGCCAGCCATTCCTCAGTGGTTTGAACTCCTGTCTGTGGCACTCTGGCCTTAGGCATTCAGCAGGACATTGGGGGTAGAACCGACTGACCGCCTTGCTTTTTCTCCTCTCTGGCTCCACCAAGGAAGTGCCAGGAAGCACAGCTGACTTGGGGAAGGTCTGGGAAAAATCTCCTTTTGGGGGGGCCGGGGCGGGGGATGAGCCACGGCTGGTGAGAAAGTTTGGAGATTGAGTAGATCGCTCTAGACTGGTCCAGACGCTCCCGGCGCAGCGTGGAGAGGATTTGTGCAAACATTTCCTCATTGTACAAAGAGGAATGCAAGAGGAGGCCGCCTGCGGTCCATCTAGGACTGTTAGAGAAATGTGCCCGCACTTGTGAAAGTGCAGCGAGGAAGATGGGGCCTGGGAGAAGGAAAGTGAGGCCCCTGCTTGGCGTTCATGAGTTGTCCATGGGCGTCCCAGCTCCTCGGGGGGCCAGGCCTGATCCCTTCCACAGGAAGCTCTCTCTCTGTGTCCCTGTGAGGCCCTTCCTTACCTTGCTGCTTCTGGTTTCCATCAAGCAAGTAAGAGCAGTTTTATTGTAATTGTTGTTATTGCTATTGCTGTCATTATTGTTATCATGATTATTGTTGTGTATATTTTCTGATTATGGAAGCAATTTAGACCTGTAGCTATTTGGAAAATATGAAACAGTATTGACAAAAATGACCAACTATAATCCTAGCATTTAGAGGTAATCACTGCTCATATTTTGGCATATTCATATTATCCCCAAACCATTTTCTATGCATATTTTTTATGCAGCTGAAATTATAATGCATATAAACATTTTGTATCCTGGATTCTCCTTTACATCATATTATAAGCATTTTCCCTTGTCAGTGTGAACTTTGTAGAGAGCATTTAAAATTCTGTGTATATCTTCTTGTCTGCTTTTATCATTTCTTAGGTTGAGTATTTAGGTCAGATGGATAATGGTTGTTTTCCTACCCCCATCTTCTTTCTTTTTCCTTTCCTTCCTTCTTTCTTCCTTCTTATCATAAGCATAAAATGTTCATTGTTTTTTTTTTTAAATTTATAAGTTCCAAAGAAGTATAAATACAAACACAAATCACTGCAATCCCACCACACAAAATCACCCTCATTCGTATTTTGGGCCTTATATTTGTAGATATTTCCCTACCATTTACTTAAATATTGTTTTTTTTTTTTAAAACAAACATAGGTTCATACTATAAATATTATCTTATAGTCTGCTTTTTTCTTAACAAAATACACTAATAACATGAGCTTTCATTTTTATTGAACACTTACTATGCATTAGATTCTGTGGCAGGCAACTCCTTCATATTATCTTATTTCATTATGTCCCAGGGAGGGAACTTCTACTAATCCCACTTTACAGGTGAGAATGTTGAGGCTCAGAGAGGTGGAACAGTAAATATAGATGATATATAAAAGCTTCAAGGAAGCATTATAGTGTGTGCAATTATCCTCTTTCGTTGGGAATTTGATAGCTGCTCTTATTCTCATCCAAGGAGAATAGATTTTTACTCCTCTCTTTTCAAGTTTCCACTTTTATGCTGCGCTATGAAGAGTAGGATCCCTAGTCCTGATCATCTGAGTACAGAAAGCTTGAGGGAATGATTCACTCCTTTGGTTCATGGGAAGAGTTAGTTCTGTTTGTAATCTCAGAATTCGATAGATAAATCTCTTCTGCCCCTTTTTGGGAGGGGTGTGGTGCCAGGTTTCAAAATCATTCATCGTACCAGGCTTTCTTTGGTGCTAATCTGGGACCAGACAGACAGAAACCCCCTATCAAATTCTACACATCCAAATTCTCCCAGAGGCTGCCTTCATGCCCAATCCATGGTTTCATGGAATTCTTGCCATAGTGGCACCTTCTTAGTAACTGACCAGAATATTCCTGAGGAGGGTAGGTGTTCCTGGCCAGTCTCCTGGCCCAGGACTTAATCAGTTAGTGGCAAGACTGTTGCAGAGATAGTCGATATAGATACTCCTTCTTGCTTCACTTCTTTGAATTATTTCTTATTAAAATTGAATATAGTCAATTAATTGTCTGGGCTTGTTCATCTTCTCTCCACAGCCGTGTGTTGATACTGATACAAGCACTGCTGAGTCACTTTGCATTTGCTCATAGATTATCTTATACCCCATAACAAACCTCTGAGGAATGTGTTATTACTTAACCCATCTTACAGACAGGGAAATGTAGTTCCCTAGGAGTTAAAGGCTGGTCTGCGATTGTGTAGCTCCTGCACAGTGGAGTCACTGTGTTTACCCAGGGTATTTGAAGTTCTGTGTTCTTTCTTCCCTAGCATCCCTTGGAAACTGTTGGGATATGAATATTTATACATTACAACAGCACACTCTGCAGTGTCTCAGGCGGGCTTATGAAGCTGACCAAGTCACACCTTGGCCCTTCACTCTGGTATTTTCATAATCAATAATGTGCCCGTTAGAGGTGTCCCCTCCCCCTTTTGCCACCCAAGTCTGTTTTCAGAACTTTTTCACTCTGTCTGTCCTGCAGTGTGTGTCTGTAACCCAGAGGACCCTCCTCTTGATTCTCCACCTAAAAGCTCATATTCTTTCTCCAGATGTTTATATTATAAGACTTTGCGTTGACGTTCATGATGAATTTTGCTCATAGACATGTTCCCTGCCTGGAATATAAATGACTGTGGTGTATTCTCTGGCAGGAAGTCTTCATAAAATCCACTTAATGAGAAATTCTCAGGAATAGTTTAGTTTCTAAATCAAGCAGGGAAATAGTGCTATCTTTCGCTCTTCTCTCTTCAAACTCATTTAAGTTAATTGGCAGTTGCTTTGGCATCACAAAAGTAAACTCTCTAATGTTCTTTGAGAAGGGACCTTGTGACTTTTTCATACATTGCTGATGAGAATGTAAAAAGGTACATATTTTTAAATTAAAAAAATGTTGGCAAGGATAGTTTGGCAGTACATTATCAAAACCCTTTAAAAATGTGTATACTCTGTGACCCAGAAATTCCAATTCAAAGAACTTCCCCTAAGAAAATAAGATGTGCTCAGATGTGTAACTATGAATATTTTCATTGCAGCATCATTTATATTAGCAAACATCTAAGACAATTTAGATGTTCAAAGCTAGAGGATTTAAAAAATAAATTATATCATGAATTCAGAGAACATTATGTTGCTGTTAAAATGGTGTTCTAGAAGTTCTTGAAATGGAAATAGAGTCACAATATATCTCCTAGTGAAAGAAAGGTTACAAAACAATGTGACTTCCTTTTTGATTAAAATAAAAAAGTAAAGGAAAGTGGAAAGAAAAAGGATGTTTGTGTGCAGAGAGGAATCTGGAAGGAAATGATAATTTCTGAGTAATAAGACTATGATTCCACCTTCCCTGTTCTTGTTTATCTGCAATTTATATTTTGTTTACAGTGAAGTGTATTACTTCTCTAACAACAAATAATAAAAGATTTATTTAAAGCAGGTCAGCAGAAGCCTTTTTGCCTTAATCCCTTCTCAGCTAAGTTAATCACTGATGCTAGTTGCCGGTGCCAGGGAAAGTGGGGTCAAGTTCAAGCTGGACTTTTCCATTTAGAAAGCATCTGCTCATGTATCTCCTTCCCTCATTACTTTGTTTAGATCTGGTTGTGGCTGAACTTAGATTTATGGTTTGTGTTGGTACTTTAGGACTTGTCTTTAGGACAAGTACCTGGGAAAACAGTTGGAATTTGTCTGACTCCCCTCAACCTACCCAATTCAGCATTTTTTGTTAATTCTGTTCTTGACCCTAACCATTAGTCATGGCAAAGACATGGGGAATGGGCGAGCACACATATATGACTGATTTTATAGTCTCTTCTTCAGCCAGCTGAGGTCTCTGATATAGCCAGCTTTTTATCCAAAAAAGGGTCTTGCTTTGGTGACTTGGGACATTCTGGAAGTTTATGATTTGGTTGTCAACTTATCTGCTGAATTTGTGAAAATAATATAGAGTCAGTTGTGGTCCCATGAGAATGTTTCTTTAAAGATCCTAATGTGCTAATAAGCTTCTGTCTTATCTTTTGTGCTATAACTCAGAGAGAGATGTTATTAATGGAGACTTAAAAGTCATTGGAAACTGAAATCAAGGGCTTACAGCCAATTACTTCATCATCATTATTACTTATTGGCTAACTCCATGGTTCCAAAGTTGTGTGCTAAGATGCCACAGGGTACCACTGTGAGCACACGGAGGGGGTCATATTTTAATTTCTCAAGGGGAGCACAGTGATCATAGCATCTGCACTCACTGTACAATTTACTAGCTGGAGGTACTTCACAATTTCAACACACATTCTTCCTTTTGATGCTGTTGTCTGTTTGCAAAGCTAGGTATTCTGCAGTTGCTATGATAAAAAGCAAGTACCACACAGATGTGATCTACCTAGTTCTCAGGTTTGAGAAGTTGTGCAGTCCCCTATAGGCACTAAGCTGTTAGGATATAAATACTTATTAAGGTGTTTGTACTTTCCTACCTAATAAATGGGACTTTGGAGAATTCTTTTGGCTTTTTTCCATGGGTACTGCAGAAAAATTGCTGAGACACTAAAAGCACCACGAATTGGTCTAACGATGACTATATTGGTGCTTCTTTTAAAAGTTGGTTATGGGCCTCCCCTGGTGGCGCAGGTGGTTGAGCGCTGTGCTGCAAAGCTGTCTGCAGCCTCTGCAGTGCCAGTTCGATCCCTGCTGGCCGGCGAGGGTCACATGGCACGCAGACCTCTCCTGTCGTGCCTGCCACTCCCCTCAGCAGTGTATTTCGTCAGTCTGACTGTTCTGTTCCCTGCTCTGTCTGGTGAATCCTCTCACCCTCCCGCACCCCGGTTCTTGTTTAAAAATAAATAAATCTTTAAAAAAAAAAATAAAAGTTGGTTATGTGATTCTTTGGAAAAATGCAAAAGAACTACTCACAGACCCCATCATAGATGCTGGACAGAGAAAGGAGAGGGTGGATTAGACGAATCATGCAGGAAGTGAAAATTACCTACCTATTTGACTCAGAGGTATTTTTGTTTGTTTTGCTCTGTGTGTGTGTGTGTGTGTGTGTTTGGATGCAGTTTGTGACTAGGTAGCATCTTCCCCATTGTTATACCCTTCCTATCTCATTCTTTCATGTTATCTATCTGGCCCCAGAATGTGCTTGAGTCTATTATACCTTGCTTGAGAGACAAAAATCTCAAAGTCATCTGATCAACTGGATGACCTTAATCCAGTTCACTCTATCCTTTCCTGTGCCATTCCTCTCCTCCCACTCCACTATTGTACCTTTGTTTCTTTAGCAAGAAAATGAGGGCAATAAATCCTGCCTATGCTAGAGACTTGTATTCTGAGGTGTAAGGCATACCTCAGCCCTCAAGAAACTTCTGGGGCAATGAGGGAATGACGAACAAGCCTCCCGTACAAGACAGTACATGAGGGATGTGGGGGTCACTGGCATATGGAGTCTGAGGGCACTGAGGGTGAGGGTCACTAGTACAGAACTGCAGTGAGGGAGATGGTCAAGAGTGGCCAAGGGTCATTAGGCTTGAGTGAGTTTTGTGTGATGAATAGGGAGTGAGCAAGTCAAAAGGAGGTGGAAAGAGAGTCAACAGGAAGTGCAAAGATGTAAAGGTGAGGGCCTCCCCTGGTAGCGCAGTGGTTGAGCGCTGGGCTGTGAAGATGCCCACAGCCTCTGCAGTGCCGGTTCGATTCCCGGCCCCTGGCGAGGGTCCCACATGGCGCACAGATCTCTCCTGCCACACCCGCTGCTCCCCTCAGCAGTGAATTTCGTCGGTCTGCCTGTTCTGCTCTCCGCTCTGGCTCTGGTGAATTCTCTCACCCTCCCGCGTGTCTGGCTGTACCCAGTGCTTGTATAAATAAAATAAATAAATCTTTTAAAAAAAAAAGATGTAAAGGTGAGAAACAGCAAGACTAGTGTTCAAAGACCGGGGATGGAGGTGATGGACATGTTCAATTTCAAGTCAATGAGCCATGAGGGTTAGACTTTAGGCAGGAAAGTCCTGTGATGATGGCAGGGGGAGGAGATGATAGAGGGGAGACTGTGGCACTCGATCAGAGACCAGAGGTAGAAGAAGTGGAAGCAGGGTTGAACAGCAGAGAAATTCAGGAGGACAGAATCTGGTGCCTGGCTGGATGTGGGCATGGAGAGGGTGGAGGGAGGAGTTGAGGACAGCTCTTGGTTTTTGGTTGTGACTGAGAGGACAATGGTCCAAAGCACTAAGGGAAGCAGAAGATGATAGGGTTAGATCTCATTTGACTCTCTTTGCCAGCTGATTATATAATTGCTCTATCTTTAGCGGATTCTAAGTTCTTTAAAGCAGAAACTGTGTCTTATCTTTTTCATCTCTGTATCACCTTCAATTCTTCCCTAATGGCACATAATAGGTACTCAATGAAGATGAGTGAGTTGAAGAACAGAAATCCCTTTTAAAATGAAAAGAAGTGGTACAGATATATAATTAGAAGTTTTAGTCTATCTAATTATCTGGGGAGCCCAAAAAGTATGTGCTGTGTTTCCAGACATCTCTGGGACGGGATAGGTAATGTCAGGAAAAATATTTCAAGACCTCAGTAAATAGCCCAAGACCTGGACCCACAGGTACATGGGCAGGGAACTGTAGACCTCTGCAAGTCAGGAGACTCAATGTGGTGTGAGAGGAATCTGGGCCCTGTCTGACACCGTATTGAGTCTCCTTAGTGGGATGCTTCTCACTTTCAGAGCTAAATAGTCTTAGGAACCTGCAATCACTCATCTGGGAGGGTGTAAAGCATCTTACATATTACATCAATTGAAATGTCAATCTTACTTGAAGATTTTGAAAAAAAATTTAGATATTTTATTAAAAGCAACATTAGATTACGTAGTAAATGTAAAATTTGTGTGTATTTTTAAGATAAAGTGTAAGATGCCGAAGAAATTCTGTTTCTTAGAGCAAGCTATTACAAACACATTAGTGGGAAGCCTGAGAATCATGGTGTGTGATGAGATCCAGGCCTTTGTGTTTGCAGCTAATCCAGAGTCACCAGGTTTGGTTCTGTTTAGGTTACAGGATCGCTCCTGGAGAAGACAACTCAAAAGTGGATTCAATACAAAGAGCAGTGTCTGAGAGACTTACTCAAGGAGCCTTCTGGTAAGTATATATATTAGCTATCTATAGCTGTGTAATAAATTACCCTGAAGGCTAGTGTTTAAAATAGTGATTAAAGGGCCTCCCAGGTGGCGCAGCGGTTGAGCGCTGGGTTGCGAAGCTGCCCGCGGCCTCTGTGGCGCCGGTTCGATCCCCGGCTGCTCCCCGGCCACTGGAGGAGGGTCCCACATGGCGCGCAGACCTCTCCTGCCTCCCGCTGCTCCCCTCAGCAGTGTGCTTCGGTCCTTCTGCCTGTTCTGCTCCCTGCTCTGGCTCTGGTGAATTCTCTCACCCTCCCGGCTTCTGACTGTACCCAGTGCATGTATAAACCAAACAAACAAATAGATAAATAAATAAGACATGCCTCTAGAAAATTAAAAAAAAAAAAAATAAAATAGTGATTAAAAAATGCATTATCTATCATAGTCTATGGGACAGGAGTTCAGACAGGGTCCGTTGGGGATGGCTTGTTTCTGCTCTCTAATATATGGAGTGTAGTTGTAAGATTCTGTGACTGGGGGCTGGAATCATCTGAAGGTTTGTCCCCATCATGCTTTTTGACTGACACTTGTTCTGAGCTGAGAGACTTCCAGCTGTTCCCCTCTCCCTGAGATTATTCCCTCTGCCCAGTCAGGCAATAATCAAAGCTTGATATCTGTTAAATAATCATCTTGCACTTCGGGGGATCCTGCTTTCTGAGGTGACATAAGGTAGGTGCTCTTTAATTGGAGCCTGCCATGAGCAACATAGTCAGGTGAGCATCATCTCCCACAGACCAGGTATTGATACCTGGAAGCCAACTCCACAAGGTGGTCTGAGCCGGGTCATAACCTAGTAGAGCTGCATTTGTAGGGACCTGGTGCCAGCAACCTGGCTGCTCATCTCAAGTGGCCGCTGAGTTCTAGGCCAATAGGAGCAGATGGTGGGTATGACACTTGTTTTCTGGAAGGGAGGAACTTATATTATGGAAGTTTGGGACCTAACCTGAAGTCCCTTCATTTGACTCTTTGAGAACTATGAAACTGAAGCTTACGTTGATAGCTTTTCTTTGGCAAATACCAGGGTGGAAATCACCTCCTGAGCTTGAGACAGTCCAGGCATTCCATAATTTTCATTGGATTAGTCTTCAGAGAAATAGAATGAAGTAGTGTTCATGTCGGGTGCACGTGATGAAAAGCCTCAGTTCTTCAGATCCCCTTTTATCCTCTGGTCAATTTGTACATTTCACAGTCAGAGTGTTCCAGAATCTAATTGGTAAAGATTTGACAATTATTCAATTGTGGAATATGAGTTGCTGGTGGAAACTCCAAGTTCTCCTGACCCTGAGTTTCTGTGAGAGTTCAGTTCGTATAAAATAAATCAAAATCATCGTGACGTGCACATTGACATACTGGACTGGACCACTGCCAGAGGTCAGGTTTGGGAAGACAAAGCCAGTGTTTGTGGATTCATTAGACATTTCTGTCCTCCTCATATTGTTCCTCATCTTTGACCATCTGGAGACTGGGGTCTCACAAGCAGTTCCCAAGGGATGCCCAAGTACCAATCTGGACAGGTTGTACCAGCTTCAGATGCCAGGAAGGCAGGCTCTAGACTCTGGACTCTGGGCTCTGTCTGGGCTGCTCTGCCTTCATCAGGGGACCTCTAGTTCCAACACTGCTGTTCATTTGTACCCTCTTCTCTTTGCAGGCATATTTTGTAATGGGACCTTTGATAAGTATGCCTGCTGGCCTCATTCCTCTCCAGGAAATGTCTCTGTTCCTTGCCCTTCATACTTACCTTGGTGGCGTGAAGGTAAGAAGTCTTATATTGCTAATTGCTGAGGGTTCCTTAAAGGCTCATCTCACCTGCGTAGAACAACCCTTAGAGCAAGCATAGGTGATTTTCTCAAGTCCTCTCCTCCCACAGAATGTCCCTATGAAGCTGTCAGTATTACATCTTCCCTCTCTCTACTTCTCTTGTCTTCCTATGTCCAGATGGTCCATTACCATAGTAGTCTTCTTTTCTTTGAAGAATAGAGTAACCACAGGCCTGGCTACTGCAGAATTTGCTGCTGTGGGGATAAGAATTATCACCATTGTGGAGAAGAGAAAGGTTGGGATGCTCACATCCATTCAACTTTTGATTTGTCATATCAGGAGAAAGGATGTCAAAAGTACCCTTGGAATGGTATGGGAAGGAGGTACTGTTGAACTGGTGCTTTTAAGCCCCATGAGACTCAGATGGAGAATTCAATCATTTAGCTTGTTCCGATGCCACTTGTAGAAAGAGGCTGTTACTAGGAATCCAGAACAATAACCCACACCCACCTCCAGCAGACCAACCTCTTGGTTATTTTATTTTGGTTAGAATTATTCTGCCTTTGACTAAACACCAGCTAAGACCAGGCACAGCTTTTGTCAGGAAACATAAGTGTTTACAAAGTTTCAGGCAAAGCAAAATGATAATGGGTTTTTGAGAAGTGAGGTTAAAATACTTTTTACTTAATTTCAGTCCAATAAAACATTATGTCAGTTCAAAATTTGGTTTTGATTTTTGAGGCCTTGCTGCAAAGAGGGGTTTTCAAAGGAAGCTGCATTTCTGGATGGGAGAGTTAGTGATGTGTATAATAGAACTGTCCTCTGGTGAGATCCAGTTGGAATCAACCCAGGAGGTATGAGGATGTGATGTTTAGAGAAGATGGAAAGAAAGATACTAGATTACTTGCTGGGCCAGATGGGTCTGAATGATTCAGGCAAATAGTCCCTTTAGGAGCCAGCTCAGTGAGGTGGAAGGAGTGCTGGACATGGAGTCAGAAGCCTTAAAGGTAGACCATAAACCCTATTTTCTCTCTGTTGATAGCTTTTTTAAAATTTTTATTTATTTTTTTAATTTTATATATTTTTACATCATTTTTAATTTTTGCACAATGTATGCATTTTCATCTTGGTTATAGTCCCCATACAATTTCCACCCCGCCCCCCCTTGTTTCAATCCTACTCCCTCCTCTCCCCCCGCCCCGCCCCGTAGTGTGTCTCTGGTTTATAGTTGCTTGTTGATTTTGATTTTTACTTTATTATAATTAGCCTTTTTCCTGGTCCCTTATTTAGGTTTTCTAAATTCCTGCTGTGAGTGAGACCATCTGGTATTTTTCTTTTTCTTTCTGGCTTATTTCGCTGAGCATGATCCAATAGCATATGAAAAAATGTTCAACATCACTTGTAATCAGGGAAATGCAAATCAAAACTACCATGAGATACCATCTTACACCAGTGAGAATGGCACATATTAAAAAAATTAGTGACAACAAATGTTGGTGAGGATGTGGAGAAAAAGGAACTCTCCTGCACTGCTGGTGGGAGTGCAAACTGGCCCAACCACTATGGAAAGCTGTATGGAGATTCCTCAACCTGCTAAAGATGGAACTTCCACATGATCCAGCAATTCCACTCCTAGGTATTTACCCAAAGGACACAGAAACATTAAAAGGGCACCGGCACCCCTATGTTTATAGCAGCACTATTTACAATAGCTAAGCTATGGAAACAACCCAAATGCCCAAAAATAGATGACTGGATCAAGAAGATGTGGCATATAAACACAATGGAATATTACTCAGTTATCAAAAAGATAAACTCATGCAATTTGCAGCAACATGGATGGAGCTGATAGCTTTTTTTTTTAAGATGCCATTGGTTTATAGCACTGAATGTGATTCAGAAATATAGGATCCTACCTTTTCAGATATATGTTACTACACCACTCAAGTGACCCATAGTCCTCCAGCAAAGTTCATTGTACCCCCTCCTGGGTTTCCTCTCTACCCTTCCCCTCCCCACTCTGGAAGCCTCAGTTTTATAGTCAGATGTCTAGGGTTTGCAATTGATCTGATTTGTTTTTCTATATCCCGCATGAGTAGAACCATTTGATAGTTGTCTGTTTCCTTTTGTCTTGTTTTGCCTAGTATAGTCCCGCCAGTTCCATCCTTGTTTTCTTAAATGGCAATAGTTCATTTTTAATAGCTGCATAGTATTCCATTATATTCACATATATGTACACATACGCATACATACACCGCACATTCTAATCCACTCCTCTGTTTTTGAACACTTAAGTTGTTCCCCTAACTTGGCTTGGAACACATAAATGGTTACACTTATCAACATAGGAGTGTATATATACCTTTGAGTTAGTGATTTTGCATTCTTTGGATAGATACCTAAGAGTAGAATTGCTGGGCCTATGGTAGATCTATTTTTAATGTTTTGAGAAGTCCCCATACTGTATTTCATAGGTCATGGACTAGTCTGCATTCCTACCAAAAGTGTTGTACACTTTTGTTCCTTTTTCCCTCTATCTTTACCAACACTTGTTGTATATGGTCATTTTGATATGGGCTATTCTCACTGGTATGAGACGGTATCTCATTGTGGTTTTGATTTGCATTTCCTGATAAGTGATGATGAGCATTTTTTCATGTGCCTATTGACCATCTGTATGTCTTCTCTGGAGAGGAATACTTTTAGATGTTCTCCTTTATTGATTTAGTTTTTTGGTTTTCCTTGGTTGAGTTGTGTGAGTTCTTTGTACATCTTAGATATTAGGTCATTGTCAGGTGTTTGATGTGCAGTTGTTTTCTTCCATTCAGAAGGGTGTCTTTTCATTTTAATGATAGTTTCTTTTGCTGTCATAATCTTTTTAGTTCTATATAGTCCCATTTGTTTATTTTTGATTTTGTTGTCCTTGCTGTAGGAGTCCTCAAATACATCACTGTCTCCAATGTAGTGAAAAGTTTTGCCTGTTTTAGTCTGTATATTGTATAGTTTCAGGTATTATATCTGTATCTTTAATCCATTTTGAGTTAACTTTTGTATGTGGTGTGAGATAGTGGTCTAGTTTCATTCCTTTACATGTATCTGCCCAATATTCCTAATTTGAAGGAATTTTCTTTTGTCATATAAGTTTGGCGTGGGCTTATTTCTGGGCTCTTAATTCTGTTCCATTGGTCTGTGTGTCTGGTTTTATTCCAAATGGCATACTGTTTTGTTTTCTGTAACTACAAGTTTTCAAACTTGTAGTATAATTTGAAGTCTGGAAGCGTGATATCTCTATTATTCTTCTTTTTTTTTTCAGTCAGGATTACTTTGGCTATTCAGGGTCTTTTGTGGTTCCATATACATTTCAGTAATGTTCTATTTCTTTGAAGAATACTACTGAAACTTACATAGGGATTGCATTGACTCTGTATATTGTTTTAAGTACTGTGGTCATTTTAGTCAATGGGAACGTGTGTTTGGCAGGGAAGGAGACAGTGAGTGCAAAAGTCCCATTTGGGGAGCACATATGGTGTGTTTTACAAAGAGCAAGGAGGCCAATGTGGATGGAGCAAAGGGGAGAGAGAAGAAATAGGAATTACATTGGCGAGAATTGGGGACTAGATCTCTGGAGCTTTGTGGGAGGCATCTAAGAACTCTCACTTGTTTTCAGAGAGTCCTGGGAAGACTTTGAGCTGAGATGACTTACATTTTATTCAACTCACTCTGATTTCTGGGTTAACTGGCATGGTCTACACACCATGAGTCTTCTGTGGCCACCCAATCCACACACCATGAGGGGAAAATGTAAATGAGAGATAATGGTGGGTGAAAGCGGTGGTCAAATTCTACATATATTTGAAGTCAGAAGACAACAGTCTGGGCTGATGGACCTGATGGAAAGAAACTGAAAGAAAGCAAGGATGACTCCAAATTGTTGGGCCAGAAAATTAAAAGATGGGCTTACTATCAGCAGAGGCAGGAAGTTAGGTGAGTGGTTCAGGTTTGAGGAAAAGATGATGAGTTTGGTTTGGAGTGTGTTGTTTGAGATGCCAGCTGGACACCGCTAGCAAAGCTGGTAGATGGATTCCATCTATCAGTGGAATCCAGTCCATCGATGGAATCTATTCCATCGATTCAATTCAGCAAATAGTTACTGTTGGTCTATTACGTGCAGGGTCAGGATTAGGAAGTTCCAACAAATTTCCATTGCTCATATGCAAGTCCAGTCCCTGATCATCCAAGGAGGAGGACCTTTGGCAAGGGCTCCTAGAATAGATATGTCAGAGTCACTGGGGCCATCACTGTGGGCAGGGTGCTTTGCTGTCACCTGTGTACACACACACACACACACACACACACTTTAATTTATCTCTCTCCCAAAACTGTGGATGGAAGGTACCATCATTATCCCCAGATCCTAATGATGAAAACCAGACTCTCCAAGAATAGAAGGACTGAGCCCAGGCCCACAAAGCTTACAGACAGCAGAGCAGGCTTTGTGATGCCCACTTTTTCTCTTTCCTGGTTCCCCTTCTTATGCATCAGGAAGCAGTGGCACCACTGATCAAGCACCAGGAGCCTGGGGGTTGGCGTCTCCGTGCTGGGCTGCACCCTGGAAGCGTAGCAGTCTCTGACTCACCAGAGACTATTTCAGCTCCAGAGACTTTGGGTAAACACAGCAGACATTAGCAGATCATGGTGTATTATGAAATGTAGAGGTTTCCGTGTTTTGCTTTCTGTTCCAAATAAACAGTAAGGATGCTAATGAGCCCCCCGAAGGAAGTGAAAATCCCTTTTCCCTGGGATTTTCCACAATTCTGCTGCGAGAGCGGTGGCCTTACCACGTGCTCAGGGAACAGGCTGTGTGTTCTGACCTTTCCCCTAGAGCTGTGTTTACTTTCAGAGAGCTCAGGACGGGTCCACAGACACTGTTTGGCTCAGGGGACTTGGCAGACGCTGGAAAACTCCACAGATATTTGGCAGGATAACTCCGAATGCTTGGAGGACCAGCGCTTCAAAGAAAATGTGAGTGTGTTTGGGTTGGTGACAACACACCCCTGGGCCCAAGCCACCTTCCTTCAGGCCCTCGGTGGTCTGTCAGCTTTAGGGGCCACTCAAGAGCTCTCCCCCATCCTGTCTTCCCCAGACTCACCTAAGGCAGAGTCCACAGTCACCCAAAATAGTAACCCCAGTGGCAGCCTCTGAATTTCTTCTACTGCAAGGGTGAAAAGTGAACCCATAAGGGAAGTCAGTCTCTAAGGTTGGTCCTAGCCTTTGCATTTGCTGTTCCCTGTGCTGGAACACCTGTCCCTAACTCATCTGTGGCTTCTCCTTCTGATCCTTCAGGTTTCAGTTCAATGTCTCCTTCACAGAGAAGTCTTCTGTGGCCACCCAATCTAGAGTGGCCTCCAAGGTCATTCTCTACCACTTCCTCTGATACCCTGAGCACTCTCTGATGCTCTTTTGTGTTGTCATATTTCCAACTAGCCCCTCTTTAGAATGTAGACTCAGTGGCAACAGGATGACCTGGCAAGTCAGAGAGAGGTGAGGCATGGGGCCTGGCTGGAGGCCAGGCAAGAACAGGCAGGGGCCATTGCAGTAGCAGCCCAGATATGAAGAGAACACTAGCAGCAGTGGAAAAGAGGGAGGCTGGATTCACAGGTTACCTGGGTGGGGAAATGGTGGAGTCAGATGCTGGGTGTGGTTAAGTGGCAGAGTCAGGGCCAGCACAGCCTGGCTTGATGTCTGGCTTGGGCCCCTGAGGAGATTTGAAAGCTCCTCAATGAGACAGGATGCAGGAACTCCATGTCTTTCAGCTCTCCTGGGTTCTAGATTTCACTACCTAATTCTTTGTTCTAACTCAAGACTGTAAACCTCAGCCCACCCTCTGACCCCAGGATGTGGCTCACTTTTTTCATAATTTAGTTGGATTTCAAAATTCTTTAGCTTTCTTAAATCATTTTGATATTTTCCCATTAAATGCTAAACTTGTTTCAATAATGTTTGGGGAGGAGGGAAGGTAAGGGGTGCTGGTCTAGCAACACTACCTCCATGACTGAAGCCACATCCCCTCTCTGCAGGCATCCAAGTGTGGAGTTGGTAATGCTGACATTGCTCAGTGGGGGTGGATCTGAGAGGGGCAGTGGTGTGGACTGAGTCCTCCTGTCCTGGCACCATCAGTCACTCCACAGTGAGCATGATGGCATCGCTTGCCCTAGACTGACTCCTCTGGTCCCCTCCAAACAGAATGTCCTGCTATTACAGGACAGGGAGAGGGGCAGCCCAAACCCTGCAAACCTGCCTATTCTAAATGGGTTCTGCCATCCGCCGCATCAACACAAAACATATGAGACTTTAATGGGAAGGAACTTTAATAAAACTAGGAAACAATACAGGAAAGGCAAAGAATTTAGTTTCTAAATGAAGCACCCAAAGTTACCCATCCCCTAATGAGTAAAAGTCCATCAATATGGGATTGGCCCAGTGCAAGGGCCCAAAGCCTGCCACAAGTTTAAAGCATCTTCCAGTGGGGACCCACAGAAAAGGGTCAGAAACAACCAGACAAGCCCGGAAGGAAAAGAGCAAAATCAACATCAAGATAAAAGCTGCCATTGTCCCCTCCCCACGGGTCTCACCCACATCTGCGTCACCCAGTCCACGACCAAAAGACAAGCGTGTTTCTTCACATGTCTCTTGGCTCCATGTGCCTCCTCAAGGTCTCCTTCTGGCTCCATCCTGCTTCCTCCTTCCTCAGTCTCTTCTGCAGCTTCTTCTCTCTGCTCAGCTCCACCCTCTTTTTGGGTGGGGCAGGGAACCTGGAACCTCCCCCTTTCCTGGGGACCACCCTGTTACTCTGCCAGGTGGGGCTCTCTCTGGTCCACCCCTAGGGCAGTGAGCACAGTCTCCTTGTCAGTATGAGATTTTGGTGTCTGAGAGTAGATTTCCTGCAGTGGCTACTTGGGCTATTCTTTAAACATAGGTTTTATTTGACTTTCAAAAGTCAAAGACCTAGTTTTCTGTTTATTTTTTAAGGTAGAGATATAGATCTCTCTCTCTCTCTCTCTCTCTCTCTCTCTCTCTCTCAAATGCCTATAGATGTATAATGTGACTGGTAAATCGCAATACTTTCAAGGAGGTCTTTGAATAATTTTTAAACTGCATTAATACATTTAAGATATGAGATGCCTTAAATGTTTTAAATATCTGAAATAGTTGATACAAAAAGCAAGTCTAATTCTTAAATAATTCCTGTTCATTGACTACATCAAGCTCTTACAGGGAGTCTTACATTTTCTTACTGTCAATACCAGTTTCATTAAGTTTCTAATTTAAACTTAAAATCTAAAGGCAAATATTTATTGACCACACTTCATATTGGAATCACAATGTCAGCTTATTAGATCCTGTACTATACCAAAACTCTAGATAGTAACACTAATTACACACAGGTTATGCAAATAATTTTAAACCCTCTGTGTGAGGGTAGATGCGTGGTGATGCTGTATGAAATGTTATTGGTAGAATTTGGGTCTGGATATAAGATCTTCTTTATAAAATTCCACCTACTTTGCTGTGTATTTTAAAGTTTTCATAATAATTATTAAGAAAACAGGACAAGCTCTATATATGATTTTCACACAAAAATATTAACACATGTAATGACTTGATTAAGCCTTGCAAAGGTTAAGACCAAAAGATCAAGTTCTCACTAAGGAAACAAACTGGCCAACAAAGTAGAGGTTTCCCTCTCGGGAACCACAGTGCATGTATAGACAAAGGTTTGTTTGGCCTTGCTGTCAGTATCAGTGGTGTGGGTGTTCTAATGTAAAATTGGCTCCCTGCTCCCACCCACACTGATTTGCAATGATCTGCAATGTTTGCCAACTTTTGTGATGTAAATACTCCCACCACAGCCAACAAAAAGCTTTCAATGAGATATCATTGAAAGCAGTATAGGAAAAATATTCACCGGATACACCATTAGATTCATAATAACATAGCATAAATAATTGCAAGAGCATTGAAAAGAGAAGTGTAGAAAAATATTGAAGTGTGAGTTGAGTATTTATTACTTTTATTTTTAATATAATTTATTTTATTGTTGAATTTTTAGTTAAGCTTGCCTTTTACCATGACTCCTTCGAAAAGTAGCCAACAGGTGCTCACAAGCTATGTGACCACATGGCCAGATCTGCCAGGGTGATTTTTTTTTTTTCATTCCCACTTAAGGCCCAAGTCCATGTCCTTTGGGGGAGGAGGATCCATCTTCTCATATTCAAGATATTTCACTACCTATTTATTTGTCCTGACTGGAACCTGCAACCCCGCCCCCATCCTGGCCTTGGCTCATTCCTCAGAGCCTCATGGGAGTTGGCATGGCCCAGGCTCTGGTCTATGGCATCTCCCAGGAGGATAAAAATCTTCCATTGTGTCCTGCACATCTATAGGGAATTCTTGCTAAACCTCTGCTTAACTTTATCACCTGATTTAAGTTGGAAGAATTCTTTGTTTCTCATATAATTTTGCCATGTGATAGGTCATACTTCTTAAAGTTCTATGTATTATGTATGTATCTATGTGTTCATTTTAATTCTTTCAAGGTAATCTTTGATTAATTTTTGGTACCTCTGAAAGGTATTAAAGTGATACCTATGGTTGGATTGGGATATGGTTTCTCTCAATATTTTTGTTATGATACCAGAGGAATGCTAATTGCTTGCATTGAACTAAGTAAATTCTGTATGTTTATCTTCCCTCCTTGACTAAGCTACTTGAGAATAATGACAAAGGCATAGTTATAGTTGACCCTTGAATACCAGGGGTGTTAGAGATGCTGTCCCAAGGCAGTCGAAAACTGTAACCTTTGATTCCCTCCAAATTTAACTAATTGTCTGCTATTGATGGAAATCCTTTCTGATAACTTAGTCAATTAATACTTACTTTTTATTATAATATTTATTTTATATTTTATTAATATTTTATACACTTTATATACTGTGTTCTTAGACTAAATGAAGCTAGAGTAAAGAAAATACTTAGAAAATCAGATGGAAGAGAACATACATTTACAGTACTGTGCTATATTAATTGGTACCCTAAGTTTATGTCATCTGTTTATAAGAACATCCATATATAAGTGGGCCTGTGCAGCTTAGACCCATGTTGTTCAAGGGTTCACTGTATATCCAAAGAGCTCATGCCCCCAAATCTAGTACTGGCATGCACAGTAGCCTTTGCAATATAAACCCTGAACTAATGGCTTCATAAATTCTGAATCAGTAGGTCTGTGTGGTACCTAGGAACCAACGCTGGTGCTAACATTTCCCCCGGGAATCTAATGTGCTCTGAGGCTGGGAACAGAAGTGTTGAGAGAATTTTCTAGCAGGTGCAGTGCCGGCTGCCCCCTCTGGGCTTTTGTCTGCAGCAGACAGGTACAGAAGACAGGGACAGCAAAACAACTTTTTTTTTTTCTCCTGTGCTTTCCAAGACAGGAAATAAAGATTTCTCTCTTTAAAAAAGTGAGGACAAGGACATTGCTCCCCACTCTGCAAATGCCATATTTCCAAGAATTTCATACTTAAAAAAACAACTTCTGACCATGTTTACCTGTGTTTCTAATAGCAGACAGAAATTTTGCCCAAAAATGGCCAGTGTTAGTAAATCTTGACCCTTCAAAGTTTTGGCAAAAAAAAAAATGTTATTTTCTTCCAACTGACAGCACACTGGTGGTCCCTATAAACATGAAATGGTACTCCTTAAGGAAGTTTTATATATATATAGGTATCTTGTGTTTATGTATGTGTAGTGTATGTGCATGTGTGTACACATATGTACTGCACACGTGTGTGCATTCATATGTTTGTGTATAAGATTCATAAGCCTGTTTAGATTCCTTGGTATAGAATTATGTCTAGTAGTGTTGAAGTAACTTGTTATCTTGCCTTCCTTTAAACTGCTATTCTTTGCTATTAAAAAACTTTTAGTCTCAAATACAGAATTTATTGCTATATATAGTAAATAACTTAATATATGTAGTTTTAATGGTAGATTTTAATTTTCAATATAATTTATAATAATATGAGTAAATATATATCTATATCATCTAACATTTTATTTTGAAATGTTCAAACATATAGAAAAGTTAAATGAAACTTTTTTTTTTTTTTTATAGAGGCATGTTTTATTTATTTATTTATTTGTTTGTTTTGTTTATACATGCACTGGGTACAGTCAGAAGCGCAGGAGGGTGAGAGAATTCACCAGAGTAGAGCAGGCAGAAGGACCGAAGTACACTGCTGAGGGGAGCAGCGGGCGGCAGGAGAGGTCTGCGCGCCATGTGGGACCCTCCTCCGGTGGCCGGGGAGCAGCCGGGGATTGAACCAGCGCCGCCGCAGAGGCCGCGGGCAGCTTCGCAACCCAGGGCTCTACCGCTGCACCACCGGGGAGGCCCTAAATGAAACTTAAATGAAACTTAAACACTTACAGATCCACTGGCTAGATTCAAATGTGTTGACATTTTGCCACATCTGAGTTGCCACAAATTTCTCTATCTCTCTTCCTGAAATATTTGAAATTAATTTGTGGACATCATGAGATTTTACCTTTAAATACCAATTAGGTACCTCCCAAGATTAAGGACGTTTTAAGGATGTTATTCTACCTAATTACAATTCCATTATTCCAACTAATTAAAGTTAACAATACTTTCATGATATCAAAAAATGTTTCATCCATATTCAAATTTCCCCAGTATTCCCTCAGTTTTTATAGCTTTTCTTCCTTGAAACAGAATCTAAATCTGAAAATTGATGTCACTCACCATGTTAAAAGATTAAAAAAATGTGACCATGATTTTTCAATAGACAAAGACATCATTGAATGTCAAAGCATTTGATAAAGGTCAACCTCCATTCATGATAAAAACTCTCAGCTTATTGGAACAGAAGGGAACTTCTTCAATCTGATAAAGGAATGATAGGTTACATAATGGCCCCACAAAGATACCCATGTGCTAATTGCCCCAATCTAGGAATGTTACTTTATATAATAAAAATGACTTTGTTACTTTACACAATACAATTACTTTATATAAAGAGACTTTTTGATAGACTAAAAGGACTTTGATATAATAAAATGTAAGATTAAATCAAGATCTTAAGATGGGGAGAGCATCCTGGATTATCCAGGTGGGCCAAGTAATCATAAGTGACCTTATAAGAAGAGGGCAAAGGAATTAGGATCAAAGGAAAAGATAGAAGAATGGGAGTAGATATTAGAGAGAAAATGCAATATTGCTGACTTTGAAGATGATAGATATGATGACATGGGTGAATCTGGTCCATTTTTCAGTAAGGGACCCCTACCCTGTAAGGACAGCATTCTCAGGGACAATGAACCCGTCCTCATTCCCAATTGTCCTGGGCACAATTCTATATGTTGTGAATTCTATACATAAATCGTGGGCTGTGGGGCAAGTTGGGGATTAGCTCTTTCGAGAACTTTTCGCTCATCAAAGTTCTTTGGTCTCTAAGCTATGCCAGAGAGCAGACTAAGTTACTCTACTTGGATGTCAACAAAGATTGGGTTAAGCCAGAACTTTGGTGATCCTGGACATGGACTGGGGGTTGGAGGCCATAGCTGCATGGTTTGGTGGTCATGTCTGTTCTTCATCTTTGCCCAGGAGAAGCACCGTGACTTGCTGTCAACCTTGCAGCTGTTGTATACCGTGGGATACTCCCTCTCCCTTGCCTCCCTCTGCCTGGCTCTCACCCTCCTCTTGTTTCTTCGGTGAGTGGAATTTCTGCTGGCATGTGTTCGGGCATGTGTGCTGGGGTTTGCTCATTGGCTGCCTGTAGAAGGCAGTGGAAGCCTGGGCTGGATGACATCATGGATCATCAGAACTGGAGGGGATCTAAGAATCTCCAATCTGTCCAACTGTAGGGGCAGAGATGACACAGGGCAGGTTTTCTGATTCAGCAGACAGGGTAAAGGAGGAGTCAGAGTCCTCAGTGGCTTTTGCAGGTCTTTTGTTTAGATTTAGCAGGCACATGGCAGGTAGGGGTGCTGTGGGGCTGGGAGGCTGGCAGTCCTCCCAGCCCCCAGCAAATCCTCACTCTTTCTGGGCTCTCTGGCATTCTCTCTGCTTCTCTTCTTTTTCCTCTCAGCTTCTGTTTGTTCTTGGCTTCTGCTGGTGTCCCTGCAGATGCCGCCCTTATAAACTCAGTCTCTCAGCCCAGGTGTACCCACTTCAGGGGCCCGCCATCAGGCATGCATTCAGGACCACAGGGTTCCCTCATCTATCCTAATGGCGGGAGGGCAGAAAAGCTTGATACTTTTACCTTACCTACTCCAACCCATTTTGCAAGTGAAGGGGAAAAGGATAACATTGGTCTAGTGAGAGACACTGAATCACCCTAGGTCACAAAGCATTTCGAGAACTAGGATCCAGAACTCCTAACTCTATTTTTGCCTCTTTCAGATTGGGTTATCTTCCTAGTGCCTGACCTTGCTCTAATCATAATCAAACCCATACTACCAGAACCTGTTCTCACCACAACTCTACCAGACCCATCAGTTTTACAAAAGAGATTAAGAACCTCCCCAAAACAAACTAGGAATGATATGCTGGAATTTTAATCCATGGACTTCAATTAGCTATCAATCATTTGAGAACTTCCTCAGTGCCAGGCACTATTCTCAGCACATGCGTCATGCCATTTAAGTCTTATTCTAATCAGAATTACTCTGATCCTAATAGATTAACATTGTCATTGTCCTTGCTTTATAAATGAGTTAACTGGAACATGGTCAGATGAAGTAACTTGTCCAAAGTCACACAGAGGGTGAGTGATAGCACGGGGTCACAAGCCAGCAGTCCAGAGTCTGCACATTTTCACTTCCTTATGCTGACTTTCAGAATCCAAAACCTGAGTACATTTTGCTAAATCACAGTTTTAGAAATCAGGTGAGCTATCTATGGCCCACTAGGGAGGGCTCTAAGCCTGTCAGTCTTAGCCCATTCAGGAACATCACTGAGTACAATAGGACAGGATGAACATATGACACAGATGCAGGGGTCCTGGTTGGCAACCCTGGAGACCTTGCAGCTAGTGCCTGAGCAGCTCCCCACCTGGGCTCTGTGAACCCCACATCTAAGCCCTCAATCTCAGATGTTTTACAGTTCCTGAAACAGAATCATGACCACAGGGACAGCAATTCTTGAGCAAAGTTGGAAGACTACAGCCTATGCAGACTGCTCTCTGTGACCTCCTCAGTCCATTTCCTGAAGTCCCAGCACTAAAACAGGAAGAAATAACTGTCTGGCCTTGCAGGAAGTAACTTTAGCTGAGCTGGTTGACCAGATGTCCATTTTACCTCAGGCACTGGGAAGAGCAAGTTCTAATCTTGAGTATTCCTCAGTTTAGTTAGGGAGAGGGATGCATAAATCATAAAGCACAAGGACCTGTCTCAAATCCCTTTTTTGAAGTTAAAAAGTAAGAATAGCTCCAAAGTCAGGTGGAATAGGCAGTGATGGAAAGGGTCCTTTCACTGTGGTGAAGTCACAGACACATCACTTTATATCAGCCAGTGCATCATTTTACATCACCCACTCCAGATGAGTGAGGAGGAGATCAAGAGCCTTTATGTTCCAGGCTCTGTGGGAGCACTCTTCAACCTTTTGTTGATCGGATCCTTCTGCACCCTCCAAGGTCAGCGCTCTTATTGTCACAGGACTACAGAGTTTCTAGGTCTGAATCTCAATTCTACAGCTTACTGCTCTGGGACTTTGGACAGGTGACTGCACCTTTCTGCCTCAGTTTCCCCATTTGTCAAATCAGAACAATAATAGTACCTGCTCCCTGAGTGATTGTAAGGAGTCAGGACACCCACAAGCAAATGACTAGGGGTAGGGAGTCATAACCTGGCATTCAGGATACAGGGATTAGCTATTATTTTCCCCATTTTACAGATGAGGAAAATGAGGCACACAGATCCCAGGCCATCCAGCTTGGGGCTTCCACTGCAAGTGTCTGTCCTTTAGTGGAAGCAACACTGAGAGTGTTTCATACTAGCTCTGTGGGCATGGGCCAACCTTCCCTGAGGGGAGGTACTGGTTTTCTCTTTGCACAGAAAACTCCACTGCAAACGCAACTACATCCACATGAACTTGTTTGCGTCTTTCATCCTGAGAGCCCTGGCTGTGCTGGTGAAGGATGTTATCATCCATAACTCTTACTCCAACAGGCCCAGCAGTGAGAAAGGATGGGTGTCCTACATGACAGAGGTATGTCCTCTTTCCCACTGGCCTCCCGTCTGGTGGAGCAGTGACGCTGTTTGAGCCCAGAACTTTCTTTATTGGGATGCTTTAAATTATTAGAGAGTTATTTTTAATTTTAATTATTAAATATTAATGATGACCATCAGATTTTCTGTTTCTTTTTGTGTCTGCTGTAGTAATTTATGTTTTTCTAGGAAACTCCTTCATCTAGCTTTTCAAATTGATGAGCCAAATATTGTTCATATTCTCTTAAGACCTTATAAAAAATATACTCCATCTAAAGTGGTTTTCCTTCTTATATTTTTGATATTGATTATGTGTACCTTTGTTCTCTTTTATTCCCCCTCGATCATCCTTACCAGGAAGTTTGCCAATTTTATTGGATTTTTCAAATAACAAACTTTCAGCATTATTGCTTCCCTTCATTTTTTATTCTCTGTTTCATTAGTCTTTGCTTTATCTGTATTATTTCCTGACATGTATTTTCTTTGGGTTTAATTTGCTGTTCTTTTTCTGACATTTTTGAAAGCTACTTAATATAATTGATTTTCAGCCATTTCTTTTTGAATAAACACATTTAAGGGTATAAGTTGCATTCTAGATGTGGTATTAATGTCATACAATCCATACAGATAACTTGAGGTGCAATAGTATCCTTATATTCAGTTCAATAGTAAGTTCTCACTTCTATTATCATTTCTTATTTGATTCATGGGTTATTTGAAAATTTAGTTCCTAAGTTCTAATCATGTGAAGATTTTTTAGCTATTGATAGCTAGATCAATATCAGAGAACAGCCTTTTCATGTTCACTTAAGGGAAGTTGCTGCTGCTGAATCTCTGTTTTCACCTAAAAATGTCTAGAATGTCAAGGAGGGGTCTGGGTTTGCATGTGTAGGGGATGCCCTGCTCCACGTTTTGATACTGTTCCAACCTCTCTGAGATGGGCAGCAGGGGTTCATGAGGGGAGGGAAGAGGGGGGAGTGCCCGGGGAGGGGGTCCTCTAACCTCTTGGTATGTAGACCCTCAGGAAGCCTGGACTCACCCTTGGGTGCTCTTTCCCCTGCAGATATCCACGTCCTGCCGCGTGGTCCAGTCTCTCCTTCATTTCTTCACGGGCACCAATTACTCTTGGCTGCTGGTCGAAGGCCTTTACCTCCACTCACTGCTGGACCCTACAGTGTTTTCTGAAAGGCGTTTGTGGCCCACATACCTGCTGCTGGGTTGGGGTGAGTGACCTAAAACCCTGCCTCTTCTCCTGGGAACCCATTAGAACATGGGGGCCTGTTAAAATCTTTGGTTGAAGTTAGACACCCAATTTTAGGGCAATGTCAGTTAATTCCCCAATGGCAAGAGACTGAACAGAGATGTGTGTGAGGGGGGGAGGGATGTAGATGCACATGTGTGTGTGTGTGTGTGTGTGTGCGCGCGCACACGCGCATGTGTCCATGTGCTGTAGAGCCAATGCCACAATCAAAATTTCCAAGGATTTTCTCAACAATCAGATGACTCCCCTCGCCCTGTCCCATCTGTGTTGGTCTGCTGGGGCTGCCATAATAAATCCATGGACTGTGTAGCTTAAACAATAGACATTTATTGCTCACAGTTGCAGAGGTGGGAAGTTTGAGATCAGGGCGCCAGCAAGATGGAGTCCTAGCAAGGGCCCCCTTCCTGTCCTGCAGCTACCTGCTTTCTTACTGTAGTCTCACACAGGGGTGTGGGGAGCAGGGAGAGAAAGTGAGGGACACAGTGTCCAGAAAATTCTGGTCTCTTCTTATATGAGCACTAATCCTACCACAATGACAGCCCCTTCAAACTTAGTTACTTCCAAAGGTGTGCATCAACATATGAATTTGTGGGGGTGGGGGGCACAGACATTCAGACCATAATGACAACTAAATCTTCAAGATGATGTCTGGACCTCCTGTGCCAAAATTTAGGAGAATTTGAGGCTGCAGGATTCAGGGGAAATGGCATTGGCCTGCAATTCAGATTTTGGTTAATGTCTTTGGATCTATTTGAAGTTGCTTTGTGACATGTGACAAGTCTGTTCTCTCTGGTTTGGGTTTCTTTGCCGATAACACAATGAATCAACTCAATTCCATCTTAGGTCTCTCCAGCTCTAACAGTCTGCTATTCTATGATGTTTGGGATTTTCCTAAATTTCAACCAGTTGTGCTTGGCCCATCAAGCAGGGTGGGAGAGGGAGGGGGTTTTGGTCAACCAGCTCCTAAGTAAATTTCCCTGTATTTCCCCCCAGCCTTCCCAGTGCTATTTGTTGTACCCTGGATTATTGTTCGTTTCCAGCTGGAGAACACGGGGTATGTAATTGACATCTTTTCCCACTTCCAAGAACCAGCAATCCCTAGGAATCCACAAATATAAGATTATACTAGTTTTTCTTTTTCTTTTTTTTTTTTTTTAATAGAGGCATGTTTTATTTATTTATTTGTTTGTTTGTTTGTTTTGTTTATACATGCACTGGGTACAGTCAGAAGCGCGGGAGGGTGAGAGAATTCACCAGAGCCAGAGCGGGGAGCAGAGCAGGCAGAAGGACAGAAGTACACTGCTGAGGGGAGCAGCGGGCGGCAGGAGAGGTCTGCGCGCCATGTGGGACCCTCCTCTGGTGGCCGGGGAGCAGCCGGGGATCAAACCGGCGCTGCAGAGGCCGCGGGCAGCTTCGCAACCCAGCGCTCAACCACTGCGCCACCGGGGAGGCCCAGATTATACTAGTTTTTCAAAGAGAATATCCACTTTGACCCTTAGAATATCTCTCTCTCATGTTTTTGACCATCTAGAATATACTTAAGAATCTAGATAAAATAATCAAAGGTATATCCTATGGTAATTAGTTTATTAATTTAGTTACACATGTCAATAGCAAAAAATTAGCATTATTTAGCACAAAAATTAGTAGCATCAGTTAGTAGTGACCCTGGGTATACATGGGTATAGGTACAAGAATTATTATTGTGTCATCACTCACAGTGTGAAAAAAAAACTGAAATGGGTGAGGGGACTCAAAAGGTGCAAACTTCCAACTAAAAATAATATCATAAGGATGTACTGTTCTGTTTATTTGAAAGTTGCTAAGAAAGTAGATTGTAAAACACATCACAAGAAAAAATGTAACTATGTGAGGTAATGGATGTTAACTAGATTTATTGTGATCATCATTTCACAGTATATACATACATAGAATCATATTTATATATATGTACATTCATATATACAGATAGAATCAACATATACATACATAGAATCATTAATGAAACCAATATGTGGTTCTATGTCAATTATATCTCAATTAAAAAACAATGAGTATCCATCAATCTGGAACTCATTCAGCACATTGTGGTACACTTACATTGTGGAATATTATGAGACTACTGAAAAAACTAGTTAGTTCTAGAACTTTTGGCTTTTAGAGATTGAATCTGAACATCATGTTATTAATACTGTTGCTTAATACTGCATATCCCTTGATCCTATTTTTCCCTCCAAGTAATCATGACCAAAAAAAAACCCCTAATTAAGAATTTATGTTTATATGGACATGTGGAAAGATACACACCAAGATATTAGCATTGAAGGGCTCCTTAATAGTAAGGAGAATAATCGATGGAAATCAGTCTTGAGTGTGAGCATTCTGCTTCCAGAAGGCACGGGATCTTCACATTCAACCTTATCTCAATTTTAAAACTTCTACTGCCTGCTCTTTGCCATAGGTGCTGGATAAACAGGAATATGAAGATCTGGTGGATCATTCGAGGACCCATGATGTTCTGTGTGGCAGTAAGCACCACCCTGTTCACCCTATACCCTCTCTGAACTAAGCAGCGTCGGAGGACCCTGCTCCTCTCTCCTGTCCCCCTCACCAAAATCTCTGGCTCAAAATGAGCCTGGGCTGAACTATTTAAGAAGCTGAACTGTGAGTGGGATCTACTAAATAGGAAGAAACAGGCTAGAAACATCTTTTTGTGTTCAACTTTATACTACATGCCATCTTCTCGCTGGTTTTTCAGTTGTTTAAAGAAACCTGTAATGAGCTCAGTGATAGCATATTGAGCAGCTGCCATGTGTACAAGCCCTGAGGACACAGGCGCCTTTTCTCATGGACAAGCCCTTGACTAGCAGGCTGGGCTCTTGGTTTGTATTTTAACAACATTAACAAGAAGGAGGGGAGTCAAAAGGAAGTGCTGTTAGAGAAGAAAAACACAATTAATATTCACCAAAGCTATGATGGGCGTCAGAGTCGGCAGTAGATGCTCTTCTGAGCTTGTCCCTGTCTAGGTCCTCTGCCTTACCAGGTGCCCTAGGACCTTCTGCCTTTTCATATTTGCCAAGACAACTCTTCACTCTCACACCCCTCTTCTCTGAAGAGTTACTGTGGAAATCTCCTCATACCCTGAATTTCCCCACCCCATCGAAACTTCCCTTTGCTGCGTTACGTCTCTGTTTTCCAGGGTGAAAGTCAGATCATAGGTAATTGTTTAATTTATCATTGTTGTAAAAATGAATGAATGAATGAGGATAGTGAAAGGATTCACAAACCTTCATTTCCTAGGAGACAGTCCTGATTGAGATTAATTTGCTGAAATATGTGCCTCTTCCCTGTTAAGCCTAAATGGTAAGAACAGAACGAAAATTCAACAAATCACGAAGTGAAGGACACGATGTGTGTGTGTGTGTGTGTGTGTGTGTGTGTGTGTGTGTGATGAAATACAGATATCCCATTAGAAGAGATATATTACTTGGTTCTATTTAGTTTTTTATTTAAGTGTTCTGTTGCTAACTATTCTTAGACTGGGAATTTCCATTATTCTTTTGGCTTGTGGATTTGATAAATAGTCACTTGGCTGAAACTCTAGTCTAAGCTCGTCGGTTATTGATTCTCCTGAAGCCAATAAGGCAAGTAATAACAGGTACATGTTGGATTCTGCAGCTTGTGTTTCAATATGTAGGTGAAGGGTTTTGCCTCTAGACGGGGACATTAATACTGTGCTGATCAATACCTATAGAGATTTTACTCCATGAACCATCACCTCATTGTCTATTTTGACTCTCTCTCTGTTGCACAGAGACATTCTTAGGTCTTCAATTTAAAAAACAACAGCAATCAAAACCCTCTTCCAGCCCTGCAAATAAATGTGAGGAAGTAAGATCTCTATTCTGCATCCCTTGTCAATGGCTGTTCTATCAGCATTTTTCCCTTTATGGCCAAATTTCTTATATGTGGTCTACACTGGCTGTGTACCCTCTTAACATATTATCCAGAGAACAAAGCCTTAGAATCTGGTTTGTGCTTCCACCTGTGAACTGCAGGTTCTCTAATGAGCTCCTTATTCCTAAATGCAGTCTTATTTGCCTAAATTCGTTTAAGTCTCCTTAAAATTCATCATGAGCTTCTAGCATTCCATTTCCTTTGTGGTTTTCTCCACAAAGGGCAGCGATTGCTACCTTTTGTCTAGCTCTTTGGTTTCTCCAATTCCTCCACCTTTCCCTCTGTTGCAAGGTGATCCACTTAACCTTTGTTCCTCCCAGACTCCAAGTCCCCCTGGGTGATATCACCTATTCCATTGGTTCCAGGATCTAGCTGGGACCTCTGTGGTCCAGATGTAAATATCTAACTGCCTTGGAACATCTCTTGTGTCCAAAGCTACTGAACTTCTCCCTCCTCTCCCTATATAGCTCTTCCTCCTCCAAGTGGTCTCTAGTGAATGCCACTAACATCTGGGGTTACCTCTGACCTCACATCTAACTAGTAATAAAAATAAAATGTCAATAATTTCCAATCCATCACCTCCTATTCATCACTGATGCACTGGACTGTGGTATAATTTTACCTCCCTACCTTCCCCAGGAACTCACAAACTGCCTGCCAACTGATCTCATCTTTCCTGGTCTTGCCTTCACCCAATCGATTCTCCATAATGCTGCTAAAGTGATCTTTCTGAAATGCAGAATGCAAATCTGCCCAGGTCCCTTGACTAGTGAGAATTCATCACTGACCCTCCACTGCTTTCAGAAGAAACTTCAATTTCCCTGTGTAACTGTGAAAGGTTCTGTGGGAAGTGGCTTTCTCCAGTTTCAGTTTTCACAAAACTTGATCTCATTTTTCAAGTCCTTCCCACATTCAACTACTTGTTCTACCACTCCAGAAGGTTCATAATCTCTCATGGAGTTCCTGTGAAGATGTAGGCCAGGGCCAACATGGCTGCCATGGTGGCTCACACACAGGGGTCATGCTGGTTGTTGGTAGGAGGACACAATCGTCCCCTGGTCTCTCCACAGGCTGCTTGAGTGTCCTTAAAATATGGCGGCTGGTTTTCCCCTGAGTGAGCAGTGGGGGCGGGGCAGATGGAAGCCATCCATTTAAGGACTTAGTCTCAAAAATCATATAGCATTACTTCCACCATATTTTTGTCATTAGGAGCAAGTAACTAAGTATAACTCACATTCCGGAGGGACGGGAAAATTAGATACTGCTGTTCAAAGGGAGAAGTCTTGAGGAATTTGTGGGCAAATTAAAAAATTTCTACTGAGTTTGGCAATGAAGGGCTAAATTTTTCCAATCCTTCAAAATTGTGAAAAGCAGTCTAGGGAGGGGAGAATGCCTATTTTCTAGTGAGTTTTGTGGCAGGAACAGGACTTCAAGTTAGATACCAGAAGTGTAGTGCTTTATAGAAGGCAGGCAGGTGGCATTTGTTTGAGTAAATGAAAGGTTGCAATCAGATATAGCTGGGTTTAATGATCACCTCAGTCCCTTATTAGCATTGCAACCTTGGGAATTACACTTGTCTCTCTGTGCCTCTTTTTCCTTGTCATATGGCATAAAAGTAGTGTGGCTTCCTCTGAGGGTTTTTGTGAGGTTTAAATAAAATAAAGTATGGAAAGTTAGCCTAGTGCCTGGCATGGCTAAGTGCTCAGTAAATGTTAGATAATAATAATATTAATGTAAATGTCCATTTGTCATTCTCAGTTAGCTGGAGTTGTGTCTCCCTGAGGCAGAAGAATAAATTAAATGACTTTTCAAGAGCCTTTTAAGACTTTCAGTTGGTCTTAGAGGGCTCGAGGATTACTGCAAGCGCTATCTGCCTGACCACTGGCCACCAATTTGCATGAATGAGGATGTGATGGCAGGACCCTGGGTGACCTTGGTATTTATAGCTATATGGGGCCCATCACTTACTTACCCATATCTGTTTTCTCTTTTTAAAGGTCAATTTCTTTCTCTTCATGAAAATCCTCAAGCTTCTCATTTCCAAGCTCAAAGCCCATCAAATGTGCTTCAGAGATTACAGATACAGGTGAGTTGGCATGAGGTCAGTACCCAGTGGTCCCAGATCATTTTGACTTCTTCTGGCTATGCTGGCACATCCTCTGGGGAGGAGAATGAGTTGCTTTAGTATATTTATCTCTTAGGATAAGAGTGTCAGGGAAAGCCCCTCTGAGAAAGGTACTACGGGATCATATAGGGTTTTTGCCAGTGATGGGGATTCTTCTGCCCTCCTAAAAAGGAAGTGAGTGGGGGAGTATTCAGCAACTTACACATTTTCCCAGCAGGGAATTGTGAACATGCCCTTAAGGGTGGGTGATAAATGAGGAATGACAAAAGCCAAATGAAGGGAAGCTTGACAGGGGTCTTTCTTTGGGAAGAATTTATGATAGCAGAATTAAAGACATAGTATAACTAACAAGGGAGTGTTGAGGGTTGCTAAGACCTTGAGAAATAATACTTTTGGTGTTCAAGGGAAAACAGTCTTAACAGTCACTTTTTGTTTGTGACCTGCCTTGGCTGTGCCCAATCTTCTGCTTTCCACAGTGACAGTAAGTCAAATCATAGTTTTGTTTTTTTTTTTAAAAGATTTATTTATTTATGCATACAAGAGCTGGGGTACAGGCCAGAGATGCGGGGGATAAGGGGACTCACCAGAGACTGAGTCGGTAACAGAACAGGCAGAGTGACTGAAATACACTGCTGAGGGGAGCAGCGGGTGAGTCAGGAGAGGTCTGCTGTGCCACGTGGGCAGCTTCCTGGCCGGAGGATCGAACTCCTGCTGCAGAGGCTGCGGATTGCTTCATAGTGTGGTGCTTAACCCCTTGCGCACCGCAAGGGGAGTCCCACTGTTTCTCACTTCTGGGCAGTTGTGGCTCTACCACAAGGTCGCCGTGAGATGCAGCCATCTTGGGGCATGTCTGGGGCTGGGGGGATCCCCTGGAGAGATGGTGCGCTCCTGTGTGGACAGGAGGCCTCGGCACCTTTTCACAAGCCAGCTGTGATTCATTGTGGGAAGCGTGGATTCCAGAAGGTGAGGTTCCCTGAGCGTCATTGTGGTGAATCCAGGTACACAGCAGGCAGGAGTACTGGGGGGCTGGAAGGCTGGCAGGCCTCCCAGGCCCCAGCAAGTCTTCACTCTGGGCTCTCCGGCGTTCTCTGGTTGTCTCTGCTGCTCTGCTCTCTCATGGTTCTGCTTCTGCTTCTCTGCTTCTGCTGCTTCTCTTCTGCTGGTGTCCCTGTGACGCCGCCCCTACACCCAGCTAGTACATGGTTACGTCAGCATTTGAGACTTTCCTCTGTGTTCACTGTTCTTGAACGCCTCCCTAAGCTGACAACCAAGGAGGTGGGCACCGATGAGGAAACTGAGGCTCAGAGAGGTGTAAGGGCAGAAGGACACGGAGCAGGTTCTCTGATCCAGCAGACGGGGTAAAGGAAGAAAGGAAGTCCTGGAGCCCTCTGCGGCTTTTCAGGCTTTTATCGGGATTTACCAGGTACATGGCAGGCAGGGGTGCTGGGGGGCCGGGAGGTTGTCAGGCCTCCCAGCCCCCAGCAAGTCTTCACTCTGTCTGGGCTCTCCGGCATTCTTTGGTGGTCTCTGCTGCTCTCGTGGTTCTGCTCTCTACTCTCCCGATGATGTTCTTCTCTGCTTCTTCTGTTCTCCTCGTGGTTCTTCTGGTGTCCCTCTGAAAAAAGCTTCGGCAGCATTCTCCTTTCAGCAGCACATGGCAAGTCTACCCAGGAGATGAAGACGTTTGCCCATAGTTATTTTTTGAGATCTACATTGCTGTAAATGCAAATGAGTGCATGAGTAAATGAATGAATGAGCCATAAAAGGTCCCCTCCCTCCTTTTCTAGTTAGTCTTTGTTTTAATGGAACATGTGCACTTAGCAGGGCTCTGGGGGAGGGAGTGGTTTAACCCCAAAGAGTAGCTCTAAAGGTGGGGATTTTAGTCCACATGGAAGCTTGGAGGTGGCCTATGAGGGAAGAAGGCTGCCCTAGTCTCAGTCTCTGTAAGACCAGAATGGGGCCTGACCCGGGCGCATTGGGATGGTAGTTTTTCCACTTATCTGGAAAACATTTAATGAATGCTCACATTGTGCCTAGGATAAAGGTAAATATGACACGGAGCACACATGCTAACTTGCTCAAGACCAGATGGCATGCGAGTCAGGAGGACCAAGCTGACTAGGGCCTTTGACTTGAGGATTGACCTCTGGCAAGTCTCTTGACCTCCCTGGTCCTGCTTTCTGGTGTGTAAAATGTGGATGTCACACCAGCTCCTGCTTGTTATAGGGATTAAAGGAGGTCATAGATAGGGGTTCCCAGTTACCTGCTGTTCCCAAATAGTCTGCTGTTCTGAGTGGTATTTGTCCAGGACCCAGACTCCAAGTCCTATCTACCTAAAACCTTTCCTCCAGGGGGTCCAGAAGAAGAACACACACAGCTCTGGACTGAGCAAATATATACCGTCATTGGCCCAAATATTTTGCAAATGCCACTAGCCTTGGTGTGCTTGGGCTGGCCTGGACCACACAGAGCCATGCTGCTTCCCCCAACACCTCTGGTCAAGCCTCCAAGTGGCTGTCAGACACTTGACCCCTTTTCCAAGCTCAGTGGAGGTCCAAGGCTAAGAGCAGAGCTGCTTGGTCTACCCTCTGTGCATCCATTCAGGGGGAGCAGTTCTCTCACTGAGCAGGCTCAGGGGAATTCAAAGCACCCTGGGAACCCAACAGAGAACAAAACAGCATACAAATGTTAAGGCACTATTTTCCACACAAACTGAGAGCTTAAACCCTGCATTTTGTGCCCCTGAAGCCCACCCAGTATCAAAGGGGTCTTTCCTACCCTTCAGACCCACAGCGGCCCCTACAATATCTTTCCATTCTGGCTGTTCATAGCATCACCTGACAGCTGGCCAAACACGGAATCTGTGAGCTCCTCTGGGCGCTCTGACTTAGTAAGTGAGCGATGGGCCCCGCCTGTAGACTTCCTATGGTGATCTAGAACACAGCCAGAGTTGGGGACACTGGATCAGATGCTCTAGTGAAATAATGAATGGAATTTTCTGGTGTGACCGTGGCAAATGTGTTTCTAAGCCACCTCAACTTCCCCTTTTCCAGGATTTCCTTATGCAAGATAGTGGCTTCCAAGCTTTTCTGTTCCTATATTTTTATCAGTAAATGAATTTTGAACATGTCCCTCATCATATTTACACACAGTCTATTGAACTGACATATATAATATAATGGACACAGCTAAATAGGAAATTATAAACGATAGATAAAAATTAACATGCACAGAGCATCTATTATCTTCTTTTATTATATTTTCTTCCATTACTACATGGATTGCCTTACACCTTCCTGAAGTATGCACACCTGTTTAAGACCCAATGATTTAAGGAGGAATAAATCAATATAGTGGCTGAGAAGTGATTCTAGACAGCTATTTTGGAGGGAGAAAGAATAACCTTGCCTGATGTACATGTCCATCTGGAAATGTCTTTTTACTTCCACCACCTTTGTTAGAGGAAAACATTTGAAAAGAGGATCTACCCTGGGTAGATGCTGGCTAGAGGCCTCTGAAGGTGACACCTTACCTTGGCAAGTTTGCTACCACTTGGGGACTCTCGTGGAGACCTATCTGCTCTCAAATGGCTGAGACTTTGGAGGACTGACTGATGCCAATTGAGAGCACAAGAAACTAATATACAAACCACACTATACAGTTATTCATTCTTAGAATATGTGGAAGGTGAGGGTAAGATAGGAGCTCCTTCTAATGCCTGCACTGCTGATAAAGTGCACCAGAAGGTACAGAAATCCAAAATGGTCACCAGAGTTTTGCTTGGTGATCATTTTGTCAAAACAGAGTGGTTGGTGTTGACAGTGAGTTGAGAAACCACCACTGCCCTGCAGCACCACCTGCCTGGTAAGAGGAAGGCCCTTTGCCAGCCTTCACAGATAGCGCTGGATAAGACCAGACAACTCCTGCTGCTTTGTGAGTATCCAGTGCTTTGGTTGGCCATCTGCCTTCTGGTTGTTTATTTTTTCCTCCATGCAGAACACAATTGAGAAGATTATGCTTATTACTTAGCAAGATGTGTCCTGTATCTCAGGACTCACCCATCCACCTTATTTACTCCCTGTGCTGGTGACTCCTACAGCAGCCATGAACCCATTTGCTCATTTTCTCCCCCAAGCAAAATTACCTCCCTTATTCTGGAAGTGCTGCAGCCTGTTACCCCTGTAGGTCATCAGCAGCTCCAGCCACACTGCCCTCTTCCACATAGGAAAGTTCTGCTCTTCCACATCACCCTCCATATTTGTTTCCCATTAGAACCCTGTGCTAGAGTAAGGAGGAGGGGGCGATGGACCTAGTGCATTCTGTATAACTCACACAGCTTTTGAGAACTTTAAGGATGTAGCTCTTAAGATTTGGCCCTCCTCCAGGAAGATATTTTAGGAAAGTTTAAATTAAACACATTTAGGGCTTGCCAAAGAGACAAGTTTCTAAGAACTAGAGGACATGGAGTTCCTGGGCTTCCACCACTCAAGTGGAGAAAACTAACTGGCCCATCTCTCTGGGACTGAGGGGGAGTGTAGCCAGGAGGAGCACATCAACAGACCCTCAGCATGTGGTTCCCAGCACAGAAGCAGCTCTTTCCCCAAGATACACAGCCCTAACCCCCCATGAGATGAATTTATACAGGAGAATCATTTCTTAACAGGCTCAGCCCCAGAGTCTCTTCTGAAGTGACTTTCTGGTGGGCAATGACAAACAAAAAAATGCCACATGGAAATAAAATTGATCAGAGTCATTGAGGATATAAGCAATTCAGAGAGGGACAGCTTCTTTAAAAACAGTGATAGCTGAATTTTATGGCTTATTCATCATGCACTACACATCATTTATTCTGAAGGTTTGTCACATTATTTAATCCTTACAATGAGACATCTGTTATCACTATTAATGATAGCATTTTATTATTTGAATATGTCATAATAATATTAGTAGTAGCAAAATTCTCATTTTTACAGATAGGCTAGGTGATTTGGCCAAGGCCACATGGATAGCAGTGGGTGATGCTGGGATTTGAAACAAGCCTTGTGCTCCTCTGCCTTTGACCTCTCGGCTCCTCACGTCCCACTCTATTCCCTCGTGCACCAGAGCAGATGCTCAATAAATATTTGTTAAATAGCTAAATGACTGCAATAAACTGAACCGTTTAAATAAACAAATAATTGTAGATAAAAAATAAGCACAAACAGTCGATAAGAATAAACTGCTACAGATATTTATGGATTTTCATCTAAACAGGGAAACAAATAGTACTTTGTGTAAGGGGCCGTTAGAATAAGGTGAAGGGGTAGAGGTAGGAAAGGCGGTGGCAGGGAGAGGAGAGCACAGTGGATTCTGGTGGACTAGGGGTGCTTTGGTGGTGGGAGAGCTGTGGAGACTACAGCTGAGGGGAGAAATCCTATACTGTCAAAGTAGTAACAAAGATGTAAAACAATTAAAATTAATTCATTAAAGAATAAAGAACAAGGTGAGGAATGGGGAATCCCTTCTGACATCCATCGGAGAGATGAGAATTACTAAAATGATGCAAAACTTCACTAAAAAGATGTTTATTCTTGAAAAATCATCCCATACTAAATATGAGATCTTGGATCACGACAAGGATATTAGTATAAAAGCTGATGAAATCAGAGTAAAGGCTGGTGTTAGTTACGAGTCAAGTACCAAGGCTCTTTTTTCAGTTTTGACAAGTGTAGGATGGTTATGTAAGAGTTTAGTAGTAGGGGAAATTGACTGATGGGCGTGTGGGGACTCTCTGTACTACCTTTGCTACTTTTCCACAGATCAAAAGTATTCCACAGTAAAAAGCATGTTTAAAAAATCGTAACGCCATAGCGCAGCCCCAAGAACAAGTTGATTGTAGGACATGGGTCTGCAGGTAAGTATTTGCCATTCAAACCCACATAACTCAGAGCAAACCTACACCCTTGTCATAGCCAGCAAGTAACACAAGTGGGTAGTGCAGGCTCAAGGGGGAGCTGAGAAGAGCCACTGCTAACCATTTCCAATCAGGAATTTGGGGCCATTGTTGCCAGAGCTCCCAATTTTTCTAAAGAAGTTGGAAATCAAACCGTCTAAGCTTGAAATCTCATTATTTAAAGATGGCTCCTATACCAAAAATCACTACAGGCATAAGCAAATACTGCCTGCAAGAGAAACACCACCTGTGGTCACCACTTTGTAACCTCCAAGCCAGATGGTTTTAAAAATATTCCTGAAAATTAAAAAAAAAAAAAAAACAGCTTTTAACATATTCTCTCCCTGGTTGCACCTTCATGCTGTTCAGCTAAGTGACTGCTGTAGCAGTGGGTGTGGGATGGAATGGGTGGGAACTTGGCTCTGGAAAACCATAGAATCAAGGCTGGTTTCTCAGCTTTGTCACTGCTTGGCTCCCCTTGACAGTCAAGACCCTGCTCCCTGCAACCCAAGCCCCAGGTGGAGCCCCTGCTTCCCGATCACCCCTCTTTCCTCCTAGGCTGTTTTAGGGGGCAAATGTGAGGTTCTTTTGTTTCATTGATAACCTTCCATCTGAATGGTTCTCACAGATTTCATAGAAAGCTTTTTTTTTTCCCTCTAAAAATAAGTAAGTAAATATGAAATAGTAGGTTCTAACTCTAGGATAGAGTTAGGCCTTCCTGAAGAAAATGCCCAGGGTCACTCCAGGAAGCTTGGGGCGTTACAGTCTCCTCCTTCTGGCCTTTAAGACTTGGGTCAAAAAATCATTACCATTAAGCTCTTTTTATCCAATGTGTATAAGACAGTAGCTTTGTTTGTGCCCTGAACATACATGAGTCACCTTTGCTAAAGTAGTTTTAAATCAAGAAGCAGCTTGATGATGGTAAAGAGCAGTCATTCCCAATCATGACTGCCTATCAGCTTCTGGCAGGAATATCTTAAAAAGTCCCTTCCTGGACCCAGCCTCCAGAAGTTCTGACTCAGGGAGTCTGCACTGGAACCCAGGGAAGTAGGTATATGTATGTATTTATATAGAGAGATGGATACACTATATATATATATATATATGTACATATATATATATATGTGCACACTATATATTTTAACATATATATACATTTGTTTATATGTATTTTAAAGCAATTTACTGAAGCAATTCTAGTAGTAAGACACTTTGGGACTGCCTGTGTGCAGTCTGGAGTACTTGGGCCCCAGCTGTGCACTTTACATGTGGGTGGTAAAAAGGAATGTTTGACTTCTGTGTATAGCATATATACAACAGCGAGCTCCCCTGCAAGTGTTATGACGATCAGCTCATTTCCTGTATCCCTTGCTGTCACCAGGGTTGAGGGGCAGCAGGGGGCTGCCAACAAGGTTCTGCATGGAATGTGAAGGCAGAATCTGTGCTTCCAGGTGTGATTTCCCACTAGAGTCTGTGTGACCAAGTCAGTTTCTTTTCCCTCTCACACTCGGGAAAACACTAACATTTCAAGTCCTGATTAGAGAAAGAAACAGAGGTACCTGCAGGGAGTAGGAAACATGTCCAACCTAGAAGGGATGTAGCATCACAACGTGACAGCCACATGCACAGAAACCTCTCCATCAGGCAAAATGTAAAATATGTAGCTACATTATCATCTACATGGGAAATATATTCATTCAGTCATGTATGTTTCCAGAGCATCTACCATGAGTCAGATCTACCGTCAGTGAACAAGGCCACACTGACCCTTAAGGCTTTCAGTGTATAACCAAGGAGACAAGCTGGAATTTCAATTCCTTATCAGTCCGATCAGAGCTACAATGAAGGCATTGCACAGGAGAGCAGGGAGTGCTGCTATTCCCAGTGTCACGCTCACGGCACTTGTCTGGTTGTCATTGCAGATTGGCAAAGTCAACACTGGTCCTCATTCCTTTACTGGGTGTTCACGAGCTGGTCTTCTTCTTTGTCACCGATGACCATATTCTGGGATTTCCAAAACTTGTACGGCTCTACATTCAGTTGACCCTGGGCTCTGTCCACGTAAGTAGGCATTAGAAACGAGATGCTTGACTTTAGAGAAAACAAAATGCCTGTGATCCAGACTCAGAATTGAGAGAGCCTATAGCTGGAGAGAGTTTTGGTAGCAGCAGGCTTTACTGATAAAGGCTTTGGCATTGGAAGCATATGGAGATGGAAGTGTCACCTGGATCCTGCCAGCATGACTGGATGACTAAGAAGGGAAAAGTGGTCTGTTTCCTGGGCTATAATAGCTGGTGTGACTCACAATCATATTAACTGTGAGTGCCAACATGAAGCCATTTATTAAGTGCCTATTTTTGCAGAGCATTGTGCAAATGAACATAGTCTGCTTCAGGTGGTATATACAGAATTTTAGGGGGCAAGTTGGGTGGGGGCCAGTGAGAGGAGACCACAAGACCCTTGAATATTGACAGATGCATAGTCCTTGAGACAGGAAGCCAGATGTGGTTAATTTACCTGGATATTTTGGGTACCTACTGCTACTGCTTACACTGTCATTTATTGTTGACAAGATTAAAGCGACAAAATTGTTATTTCTCTTGATTCTATGGGTCAGGAACCCAGGTAAGACATAGCAGGAATGGCTCATTTGTCCTCCCTGTCATTCCTGCTGGGACTGGAATGTCTCCACTCACATGCCTAGTGCCTAATCTGGGAAGGCTCCAATAGGCAGGCTGGCATGGCTGAAATTTCTGGGGCTTCATTTCCCAGTGTCAACTTCGTGCTTCATATGGTCTTAGTACCTCTCCACTTGCTGCATCGTTTCACCTCATAGCCTCTCCATGGATTCTGTGGGTAGATGAACTTTTTACATGGCATAAGAGCACAAAAAACAAGAGTGACCAGGCTTTCTGAATGCTTCAGCCTGGAATTTGCACAGCAGTGCCTCAACTGCTTTCTCAGATCCAGCCTTGACCAAGGGGACTGCAAAGGTCACAAGTGTGGGGAGGTATGACTCATTAGCAAAGACCAATGGTGCAGAAGATGACCATGACTATAACAAATCCTCAGAATCAATCATTTCAAATCCTATAGTATAGGCACATGACTTCTGGAATAGAGGAAAGAAGAGCTTGGCGAGTCCTCTTCTCAGTATTCAACAATGAAATTGTACAAAATTGTCAATAGTAATCGTTTGAGGACCCTGGAAATCAACCAAGTGCATACAAGAGGTTGAGAAGAGTTAATTCAAGAGAATTTACTGACCCAAGCAAGAACAGTGGGAATCTGTGTCATTTTGGCTTGTACTGGGCTTGTCTTCCAGCAACTTGTCCATCCGTGAGGAAGTGCTAGAGGAGACTGAGCACTTCATGCAGAGGGTGCTGACCCGCTATGGATCAGAGAGCAGAAAATCCCACACCCCTGGCTTTATACCATTTTAAAGATGAAAGTCTAGAGACTTTCAGGTGGGAGAACTCATATATGCCAATAGGTGGGATGAGATTTATTGGCTGAATTCAACCCTTGCCTGATGCCCCCCATGCACTGGTATCCTGTGAGGACCAGACCCAGGAGACTCCAAATTCCATATATCAGTCACCAGACAGGGTTAGAGACTGGATTCGGTGGACAAAGAGAGGACGTGCCTGCCCACTGTCCTCTCACCAGAGACCCGGGGCACAGGGCCTGAGATGAGCTCTGGCCAGGGGACAATGGGTCCTTTTCCCTCCTGATAGGGCTGAAGTACATGTGGCCTTGAGCTGAGACAGAGGACCTGTTGTTAACTACTTTTTTTTTCCCATTTTGTAACCGTGCTTAATGTACTTCAATCTTTCAGGGGATTTCAAAGGCTAAAGTTTAGCAATTTCTATTTCCTATGTGGTTTGGTCTTAATCGTCTTTAAAAAGGTGATCCAAAATTAGAAACCAAACAAAAATCTGCAGCTGTCTGTAGTATGTCATGGTCTTCTTTTCCCTGACTCATGTGAGCCCTTGTTCAAATGATCTTGCATGCCCAGAGCATGTCCCTGCAGAGCTACATGAGGCAGATTTCTGAGAAGATTCCTAACCTATCAGACTCCTCTGGCAAGGGGACATTTCAGTCATCCATTGCCCTGTAACAAACTACCCTACCATGTCATGGCTTACAGCAGTAACTGTGTTATTATCTCCAATCAACTGTGCTGCTGCCCTAAGGGGGTGGGTCCTTGTGCTACACTTAAGTTTTGCTTGGGGCTGCAAACATCTGAAAGCTCGACTGGGTTGCAACACCCAAAATGGCCCACTGACGTTAGGTTAGGGTTAGGGCTAGGCTGGGCATTGACTTGGGTTATTGACCTCCATGTGGCCTCCCCTTGAGCACCTCACAGCATGGGGTGTGGACTGACAGCATGGGGTGTGGACTGGCAGAGCACCCCAAGAGCAAATGATCAAGGTGGGGGAGTAGAAACTTAAGGCAGAGGCTTGAAAGTCCTCGAAAGTCACTTCTACCATTCTGTGTTGGTAGAAGGAGTCACAGGTTCATCTCAAATTCAAGTTGGGGGGAAAATAAGGTCCTTTTTTATGTGAGGGGTAGCAAATACCTACAGGGAGGGGAGGAATACTTGGAGGCATCTCTGGAGACCAGCTGCTGCTGTGGATCATTTGGTGCTGCAGTCATTAGTACCTGGCTCATCACTGTGTGCATGGAGGATGCCAGGAATCAAAGGGGCTCTGCAGGCTGTTTTGTACCAGCACTGAGCCAGAGCTCACACTTAGTGGGCACCTCTTGATACCCTGGCATATATTCCCTTCTCCTCACAAGACAGAGGGGTGAACCTGTGTGGGTAGCTGTGTGGGTGCCCATCCAATGGGTCAGATCTCAGTGACTCCACCACAGGCATCAGCGGGAATCAGCATTGGAGCTTCTTTTTCTTGCTCCTTTGGGGGAGGGGGCTTCATTCTTCCAAGGGCTTATTGCTTGGAGAGTTCCACCAACCTTCTGCATCAAGGGGTCTTTGGAGAGACTGCCAAGTAGTGGTGACATATGAAATGAGATCTGTATGTTTGTTGGGACCCTTCTTCTACCAAGTCACCAAGCCACCTCTTCCTTTTGTTCCAGGGGCTCATCGTGGCCTTGCTGTACTGTTTTGCCAATGGAGAGGTATGTTTTCCAGGCTACCCCCATGTGAGGATGGGCTGGCGTCCAACTGTCCCTGGAGGTTTCCATTTATGGGATGGTGCCTCCAGGGAATGTGCCACGATCGCATCCTTGGACGAACGGGAAAGGGTGCTGGGATGAGTGTGAGGAGGCTCAGAGCCCAGCCCTTCCCTGCTGGAGACGTGCTGGGGGTATCTGAATGTGATACAGGCAACAAGCTTGAACTTCAGAGTACAAAAGTCTGTTTTCAAGCCTCACTCACCACTTGGATACTCTGTGAGTTATAGTCCGGCCACTGTGCCTCTTTAAGCCTCAGTTTCCTCTCTGTAAAATGGCAGTAATAATCGTCCCTACCCTGTCATGTTGCCCTGCACATGCTGAGCTCATAGTAAAGGCTCAATATCTGATAATGGGGATTATTTTTATTATGAATGTTATTGTGCAGCCCCAACCAACTCTCTGCTTCCCTGGAAAGAGGCTTGAAAGGGGGTAGGGCAGAGGCCAGAGCAGTTTTCCTGTCTTTCGAATGCGCTTGTTTCTGCCCCTTTCCTATCCCTTTCCCCATCCCAGGGGCAAATGTTGGTCTCCTCCCACCGGAAACATAGCTTCTTTTGTTCTCTGTGACCACATGTCCAATTTATTTGTTTATTTCTTTTACATTTCACATACATATATATTTACATCACTCTTCCTTTTTGCACAATGAATGGGAACATGAGCTTCTTGACAGCAAAATCCTCTTCCATCTCGCTCACTGCTGCTGCTTCTCTAGCTTCACAAGGGGATCCTTCTCCAACAGGCAGGTGTCAGATCCACCCCCTCCCCGAGTCCTTTCCTGAACACCAGATCTCATTAAGCCACCATCCTGCTTGATGTCCTCAAGGTGTCCTTGCCACCTGCTGTGCTCATGTGTAATTAGTTGCTTCTTTTGGTCTGTCTTCCTAATTAGAAGGTAAGTTGCCTCACGTGCCATGGAGCAGCCATTTGGTAGATACTGCTGAGTGGACCCGAGACCGAGGAGCGCGAGACAGTAACCCTGCCCCCCTTTTAACTGGCAGGTGAAGGCCGAGCTTTGGAAGCACTGGTTTCGCTTTTTACTAGCCCCGCACTCGGGCTACAGAGCCTGGTTCCTGAAGAACTTCCGATTCCTGGGAAAATGTCCCCAGAAGCTCTCGGAGGAGGATAGCACCAGGACGCGGCCGAAACTGAGGCCCTTGGCCCGCAGCGAGCAGCTCCTGCACCTGACCACGCAGGGCCCGGGGCAGCGAGGACCCCAGCCTCCACGGGGCAGCAGCCTGTCTGAGAGCAGCGAGGGGTACGTCACAATGGCCCACACCACGGAGGAGATCCTCGAGGAGAGTGAGATCTAGGCGGACACCCATGCTCTGCTCTGCATCTCGGGGACCCCCGAGATGGCTGAGGGAGGAGGGGGCCAAGCCGGATGGAGGTTTTGGGGCACAGATTCACTCATCTTCCTGTGCCTATGCCCACTTTGTCATGAAGCTGAGTGTGCGGTTCTCCACGGTGCGTATGAAAGAGGCCTCGTCAACATCGCTTCTGCCTGCCATCGTCATCCTAGTCGCTGGAACAGAGTGCGCTTTCCCGATGGACACTGGCCTGAAATGCCAGTGAGTAGAGACGCAGGCTGCAGAGGGTGTCTGCTTTGGGAAAAGGCCGACCAGCCTCTGCTTGCCTCCTCGTGCCTCAGGCTTCCACCTGGGGCTGGGTACGGGTGTCAAAGGACCACCCAGGAAGGTGAGAGTGGGCCTGGGACGACAGGCAGAGAGGGTGACTGCAGCAAGCACGCCAGGGGGGTCTGTTGCAAGCCCACCTTGAACACATTGGGCAGGTGTGTGGGAGCTGGAGGTCCTCGGGAGCTGCCCGTGCATTCAGCAGTTCTGCTGTGACCTGCCTGCCCTCCTGTACAGTGTGGGACCCCGCATCGCCCACCACCCTCCACTCCTTCCAGTCTCTCCTTTCCTCTTGTCAGGTCTTTCCTCCCTCTTTCCTGTCGCAAGCCATCATCCATGGTCAGCAGAAGTACCATGAGTAGCAATCCCACCCTCCCTGTGAGGGTTGGCCCAGCTCCCAGGGCCCCTGATCCTTTCCTCTCCTTTCTGGCTCCACCTGCCTTTCAGAGTTTGGCTTCTCAAGCCTTCCTGCCCTCCCACCCTCTTGGGGTGAGGGATGGTCCTGCCAGCTTTGATTTTCTATTGACATTTTGGGGGTCTCCTCCCTGCTCCTGGAGGTTTGCCCACTACTCTCCCTGACCCCAGTCCCTGCTGATAAGAATTTCACTCTCACATGGAAACAGATGCTGACAGCTGGAGGGGGCCCAGACGTGACCTAACTGTGGCTGATCTGGACATTCACTAAGAGGGACAGACCTGGGGGACCCGTTCTGCCAATGGGGAATCTGAGCTGTGCCCCAGACTCTGAGTGGAGGGTATTCTGGAGGCTGAGGAGGGCCTAGACAATCAGGGTCAGCCTGGGGAATGAAACTAGAAGGCAAGAGGCTGAAGGAGGATCAAGGCAGCAATGTTGTGTGGGAATAGGGTGTTAGCACCTGGAGTGCTGCTTTTATAGCTAGTGAAATGTATGTGCACATGGTTGGGGTATGTTGCTGTGGGCCTAAAGATCACTTTATGTTAGGGAGGGGAAATGATGCTTTTTCAGTAAGGCTGCCAGATTTAGCAAGTAGAAATACTTGATGTTGATTAAATTTGATCTTCAGGTAAATGAATCATCTTCTAGTATAAGTATATCCTACCATATAACTATATCCTGTAAGGTAGGATATACTTATCTGAAATTCAGCTGTCATTGCACACGTGTTTTAACAGGCAACTCTTCTGTCAGGAATACTCTGCAGTGGGGTCGGGATGAGTGTGAGGCAAGAAGAGTACTCTCTTCAGGTGCAAAATTAAAGAGGGGACTATTGATAAAATACCCTCCATTGTCAGGATAAGGATATTTTAATGCAATATTTAAAAAATGAAATCCACAAACTATATCCCATGGGCCATTTATAAAGATAATGTTTTATTAGAACGAGGCTAGGTCACATAAATTCAGGCTTTGATCCTGACTATAAAATTTTGGAATTTTGTTGTGCCTGGACTTTTTTTTTTAACATTATCTTTTATTTTTAAGCAATTGCATCACAATATTCTTTCTCTTAGTTACCTAGTTTTGGGGTTCCCTCCTCCCTCTACATTTTGCATGTCTGTCTCCCCCAGTCCCTAGTCCCTGCTCTGCTTTGCAAAGTGGGGAGGTGAAGCAAGAACATTATTAGGTAGGTGGATAATGAAGCAAAGTTTTGTTTTGGGTGTCCAGATTATTCCTAGTCGAATCACTAAAATTTATGTCCTCCTAATTTGTCCTTTCTGCAAATGTTCCTGATTTTGCTCATCAACCTATTGGCACCTCGAAAGCTGGGGCAATCTCCCCCCACCCCTAATTGTACCCAGAATAGCCGACTTAGAGTAGGTCACTTTGGTGCAACAAGACAAGACAGAAATGTCTCTTGGGAGTATCAGGTGCTGTTGGGGGTCAGTTATCCAGACCCTGACACTAATAGGAGGACCTTTATTTCTACTCAAAGCATTTGTAAATATGTCCTTTGCTCTCACTCCACGAATGGGCGGCACCCACACACCGCTTGATCTTGTCCTGCTCATGATTAAAACAAGTTGATTTGATTTGTTTTGCATTTTGTCAATTCTTTTGCTTCTGTTTCTCCCTGAAAGTGAAAGTCTCTCACTTCACAGGATCCCAGGAGAATCCTGTGTACTATTCTGGGCCAGAAGTGGGAAAAAGTGGGGTGGTATTTAGCCCATGGTTCTGAGTGGCCTGTTGTCTCAGGGCATCAGAGGTGTGGGCAGATGGGTAGGGTTAGGGGCTAGAAGTAGAAGTCAGAGGTCAAAAGGGCAGCAGGCAGATGCCCTCCCTCATCTAGATCACAACCCCATCCCTTTGCTTTTTGCCTGCAATGTCCAGCCTAGGGGCTTTCAATCCTGGTTACAGTCACCTGGGAACTTTCTAGAAGCATCAATAGCTGGGCCTGAACCAGGACACTAACTGAATGGATCTGGACTGGTCTCAACATCAGCATTTTTAGGAAATCCTGAATAATTTTTATTATGGTAAATATACCATTTTAAACCTTTTTAAGTGTACAGCTCAGTGGCATTAAGTGCATTCATGTTGTTGCAACTATCCCCACTGTCCTTCTCCCAAACTTTTTCATCTTTTCAAACTGAAACTGCACCCGTTAAATAATAACACCCCATCTCCCTTCTCCCTAGTCCTTAGCAAAAAATTTGATGACTCTAGGTATATCACATATGTGGAATCAAACAGTATTTGTCCTTTTGTGACTGGCTTATTTTACTCAGAGTAATGTCCCCAAGGTTCATCTGTATGTCAGAATTTCATTTCTTTTTATAGCAGGTAATATTACATTGTATGTATATTTGATTTTGTGGGCAGTGCCTGAGCCCTGGTAAGCAAAGAGATGCTACTGACAAAATCTATAAAAGCTGCTTCCAGGCTCAGCGATAACAGCTGTTTCCATGACACATGCCACTCCTTGTGGGGTCCTCTAACAGACTTGAATTCAGAAGACTCACCAGCAGCCCAGCACAAGGCTTGGGCAAGACAGGAGCACTGTAGCCTTGGCTATTGTGGCAATGGGGTGACTAATGGCAGCTGACATTAATGGATCTATTGGTGATGCTGTAGGACCTACCTTCTTGGGATGCTGAGAAACACCTGAGGTTTAACTATACAAGATACTGGCCTTCTGTGAGAACAGTTTGGTTATTCTTGATGAGACCTGTTTCGACCCTTGAGTTTACACTTGCATGCAGAAGCAGAAATTTGGAGACATAAAGTGACTTCCTAGTTTCTATAGTGGACATCTATTTTTACAATCCACCCCAGTTATACTAATAGCATCCAAATTTTCCTCTTGGAACCATACAACTCTCAGTCTCAGTCCATGAAGTTTGAGTTGTTTCCAATTCCATCCTCAGCCCCAAGGACAGGCATCAACATCAGCTTGGTCAATCAGAGCATGGAAACCTCCTGACACCAGATATTGGGGCTATGGATGGGCATATGACCAATCAGAAACCGATGGGAGATAGTTCTGGCACTTTGGCTGGGACTAGCAACAGAAAGGCATTTTCTTTTCTTTCTTCTGAAATTGGAACCAGGAAGAAATCAACTGGGATCTGCTGGAAGCCACCCTGACAGCTTGGGGAAAAAGACTTCCTGAGAACAGAGTTACCACAGCACAATACAGAACCAAGAGATGAAGAAAAAACACAGACATTGCTGGATTCTCTAAGCTAGACCTAAAGCTAGTGCTACTTTGGAATTCCAGTTCCATGAGTCAAGAAGTGCCTATTTGTACCTGATTCTTGCTGGGTCTTCTGTCCTGTGCATGTAGAAGTCTTGATGACGTAACTCTTTACTACCTCCATCTCCTCTTTTCTTAAGTTGGACTTTACACTTCTTCCTGGTTCTCTCGACATCTTCCCCATAGAATGCCCTAGAACTATGCAAGACCACAGCTCAAGTGGCCCTGCTATTCCAAATTAACAGATCTGCTAATTAGGTTATCCTTCTTTGGTTCTTCACTGGCCAATAGATGATCCAGTGGCCCCTTTTTGTCTTGTTGAGCCACAGACCAATAAGGTCATTGTGCAATGGTTATCTTTTTAGACTCCAGGTGACATAGATGTCCTGAGCTTAAGCAGAAGTGGAATGCCCCAAGCTCATACTCCAACCAACTGGATTCACTCGTGTGTGGGGTGGTGGAAATGAGGCATTGAACCTTCTGGTTGTATCTCTACTCACCTGGGCTGGACCTGAGGTCTCCTTCCACTGAGTTGGGCCCTGGGTGATTGTAGGGTACATGGTTTTCAGGCTTTTTTGCCCTCTGCCCATTAGGATTGCCCTGCCTGGTGGGGCACCTGCAGTTGTTACATTGTTGTCTTATTTACTTCCGTGGGCCATGGGAGGAGTATTGAGATAGTCACCAGGAGAAGCAGAAGCAGGAGAGAGAAGGGGAGAGGGAAAGCCAGAAGAGAGAGAGAAAAGCCCAGAGTGAAGACTTGCTGGGAACTTGGAGGCCTGCTGGCCTCCTAGCTCCCCGGCACCCCTGCCTGCTGTGTACCTATTTACCACCCTACATGTAAAAGCCTGAGAAAGTCACCGAGGGCTCCAAGACTCTCCTTTACCCGGTCTGCTAGGATCATAGATACCCTGCTCTGTGCCTATCCTGGCACTACAGTCACCCACTGTGTCTGACAACAAAGGGGTGTCTTGAGTAGGTGATTTTGAAAATACCTCTCTTCCTCCAGAACTGTGAACTGGATGTGTACCCCCCCTCCATTTTCCAGCTCCAAAGTTGTATAACCTTAGAATTCTCTGTCCTGTTATGTCCAGATCAGAACTATTGGGGCAGCCAGGTGTATTCAAGGGGCTCTGATTTAAATACCAAGTTCCACTCTGACTCTCTGGCATCAGGGTCCTCACCTATACCATGGGTTAATAATGCCCCCACTAATGAAATATTGCTGAGACTCAAGCAAAATGCCTGGCTCATGGGAAAAGCCCCGTGGCAGAACTCCAGAGTTCTAATTACTCTCAAGTTTGTCCTCCATAAAGAGAAGTACTATCTGGTGGCGGTGATTGTGCCACTGCTGTGTTTGGGGGAATAACCCCCAACACCAGCACATACACGGTCCCCTGCCCGAGGAGGTTATACTCGGTTGATCAAGTATCCAGGCATACTTATATTTTCCTGACCCTATTTTCTTCTAAGTTTAAAATGAGAATAAATGGCAATGACAAAACAATGTCAATCACGACCTTGAGACCCTCTGATGGAGTTTGGAGGTGTTCCCAGCCCTGGAGCTCTGCTCAGGCAGTGAGGGCCCGTGGGCAGCCCTAGCCTGGCTGCTGTTCATTCTGCTAGAGGACCCTGGGCAAGTTGCTTCCTGTCTTTGGGCCTCCTTCCCCGTCTCTGAAATGAGAGGGCTTAGGGACATCTATATACCTCTCACGGTACCAAAACTGGCCTTGTCCTTGTCCCCGGGAACCAGCAACTCTCCCTGCAGTTCCCATCTCGGCAGATGACGTCACCATCCACCCACCACCAAGAGACGACCCTGCTGCCATCTGTGCTCCTCCCTCCTCCCCCAGCCGCCAGTCAGGTGCATCTGCCTCCTACAGCTCCCAGAGCAGGCCGGGTCTTTCCATCCCACTGCTGCTGCCGGTCAGGGCCACCCAGGTGACAATAAACGCGTGATCTCTATCCCGGACTGCAGGGCTGCCCCCTCGTGTATTTCTACCCAGCCAGAGGGCTCTCTTAAAGACATAAATCCCACCCACAGTGGTGCCCAATGCCCCAAGGCGAGGCTGCACATCTCCCCAGGGGCTGCAGGGAAGAGCTTGCATGGTCTGCCCCTGAGCAACTTTTAGGCTTATAGTTTGCTCTCCCTCCTCACTCTGCTCTCAGGCGCCACAGGCCTTCTCAGGGGCCTGGAGCTTGCCATGCTCACTCCTACCTCTGAGTCTCTGCGTGGGCTGCTTTCCGGGATGCCCCACCCTTCCTCCACCACTGCCCATTGGTCTGAATCTAAAAGTTCCCTTCATTGGGAGCACCTCCCTGACCCTCCTGCTAGCCCTGTCCATGGTGCCTGGATGCGAGCATGGTGACCTCAGCCACTCAGTCTGCAGTCCCCTCTACGCCCTGAGCCCTGTGGGCGAGACCTGTGTCTGCCTCCTTCACCACCAGTGCCCCTGCACCTGCACCGTGGCCTCTGACTTCCTGAGGATATGTCCTTGTCTAAGCAGTTCAGTCAACAGGTATAATTTTCATTTCCAGTTCAAGAATGTCCGGGGGGTCGTGTGCCCAGCTCCTCTTGCATTTATCAGAACCTGCTTACCCAGCAGTCCACGAAGAAGCTTACAGGGTGATATTCAGGACTCCTGGGGCCTAATCCTGGGATTATCATGAAGGTGCGGATAGGCAGGGGGCGGGGAAGAGGCAGGGTGGTACAGGGGTGTAAAGACAGAGGGAAGAAGGAACCTGTGGATTGCTAAAGACGCCTCCAGTTGGCAGGGAGCTGTGCTGTGGGTGTGTGTGCGTGTGGTTTTCCAGAGTGTTTACAGGGATCGGGGGAGGGCAGGGAGCAGGGCGGAGCAGTTGACATCAAGGTTTCTTTTCCTTTACTCTTTCCTTCACTTTTGGAGGCTCTAATTGAATCAGTCGTAGAATTTCCTTATTGGCCAGGGTTCCCTCGATGAACTCGTCCTCTGTAAGCTTATCTGTGTGTGGGGAAAACACAGTCAGGACTGGCTGTTTCAAGCTGTAACGGGGCTGACATTATGAAAATAGTAAGAACCCAGGGGCCCTGAGGATACCCCTACTCTTTCCCCTGAATCAGCAATGAGAGGGCACTGGGGAGGGCTCCAGGGGGGCATCCTGAACGGTTGCTGCTCAGGGCTATGAAATTATGTGAATATAACCATAGGGCTCCTACCTTCTTGGGGAACTTTTGGGGGGCTGAGCAAAGTAGAGCTCAGTTGAGAATCAGGGATCAGCGTCCAACCAGGGGAAGAGAGGGAGAGATGAGGGGTCCAATGTCGTGTCTGAGAGAGCCTGGCCTGAGAGGCCACCCCAGCTCCCATCACACAGACAGCCCCACAACTCCCAGAACAGCTCCTCTATGAATCTTTCCTATGCATCTCTGGACAGCCTCATCTAACTCCCCACTGGGGACACAGAGGGCCCCTATCTCATACATTCAATTCTATACAATTAAATGCATACCACTGAGCCCATCCTCTACGCCAGAGCCACATGCTTGGGGCCAAGGCCTTTGCATGGGGTGGAGGGCAGAGAGTGGCATGGAGTGGGGGTGGGCAGTGAGATAAGGTACCTGGTCTTTGGGAAAGGCAGTCACACAGAGGTGCTCACTTTCAGGGTCATGGAAACATAGGGATGGCAACCCAGAGTGGCTGCCTCTTTAAATTTTGTATCAGGGCCTCCCCGGGTGGTGCAGTGGTTGAGCGCTGCTGGGTTGCTAAGCTGCCTGCAGCCTCTGCAGAGCCGGTTTGATCCCAGGCTGCCAGGCGAGGATCCCACATGGCGCGCAGACCTCTCCTGCCGCCCGCTGCTCCCCTCAGCAGTGTACTTCGTCAGTCTGCCTGCTCTGCTCACTGCTCTGGCTCTGGTGAATTCTTTCACCCTCCCGCGCTTCTGACTGTACCCAGTGCTTGTATAAATAAATAAATAAATAAATCTTTAAAAAAAATTTTTTTTATCAGGCAACCTCCTCCCTATCCACCCTCGTCCCAGACAGTGCCAGTGACCTTTGTCCTTCCTATGACTTCTCCCTGGACTGCAGTTAGTAGAGACAGGGTCAACTCTACCAGTCCAGAGATCACGAAAGTTGCTGATACTGGCCCCTCGGATGTGTTTGGGGATGCAGTTTTTTTTATCAGTGGAGACATTGCAGGTTTTTAAAATCTCAATTGCTCGCTTTTCTTTTAAAAAGTCAGAGGACATGATACCAACTGCTCTGTCTTCCCGCATGGCAAAAATCAACCGGAAGCCACCAGACCAGATATCAACTACCTACTATGTGCCAGCCCATTACATAATAGGGCTACTGTCCACTTCTCTCACTTCATCATCCTGACTCCGGACACCATGTGAGTGGTCTCCTGCCTTCTTCCACCATATCCTCCGGCATGGCTGGGAGCATCATGCACCAGCAGCCCCAGCTGCCCAGTTCTGGAAGCCACCACCAATTTCAGAGCAGGATCACGCTTCCTGCAGGATACTCCCACCATTCTGAGTACGGAACCAAGACAGGCCATCTCCTGGAATTAGGGGATTTAAGGATGCACCATCGGCTTTGCCAGAACTTTCCTAGAACAGCCCTGTAATCTAAGACTTCTTACTCAACTGTTTTTTTTTTTTTTTCCTTACCTGCTGCCTGCCTATGGGGTCCCATCTGCTTTGCAGTCAATGACTTTCCCAGATGCCTCTGACTTCTTCCCCCTTCTACCCTCCCCTCCTCCCAGGAGTCTTTCCTCCCATAAATCTTCTACAAAATAATTCTGTCTGGCAGTGCTTCTCAGAGGACCCAAACTCACTTCCTAAAGTAAAACCATGTAAATTGAGACTTGATGCTAATTCAGGCTGACAGATCTGCCCTGTACTAACCGAGCAGAAAGAAATTACAAAAGTGAAAAAAAAAACAGGTGAATGGAAGTGTCTAGAAGGGGCATTCCCATTAAGAGGGGTTTGCAATTCCTCTAAACACGCCATTGGCCTATACCCCCTCCCCCCAATGAGCTGTTGCCTTTTTACTTCTTCTTCAGAGTACACTAACTCTGTTATAGCAAAATTTGTTTTTCTTCAAAAGCATTCCAGAATTCAGAGCTTCTCTTCTCTCCCAGAGAAGCTCAGGCAGTGCTGGGGGGACATGGTGCCTACAGCAACATCTGTTCCCAAGTGGCAGCAGATCTGGATCCTGCTGACTATACAGACCTCCTGGCGGTGTATGAGGGGATGGGGTGCCTGTGGTTCCATCTGCTTGGGCACTCTGACTCTGCAGGGTAATTCCTGTTGGGGTTTCCAGGGACAGCCTGAGGCTATAAAATCGAAGGCTATCAAGAAAAAAAGGAATTCACCATCATCTTTCTTTCCAAAGTACCCCCAGATCTTCTCTGCCCGCTTTTCTGGGGTGTTTTCATCATCTGGAAGGTGATTCACGTCCTCTGGATTGATCATTTTGAAAATAGCCTGCACCCAAATGAAGAGGAAGCAATGGTCAATGTGGCAGGGGCTGGCAGCCCAGGGGAACCGGTTGCTGATCTCGGGCTTGCCTCTCCCCATCCCCAAAGAGTCGGGGGATCAAGTACACTCTATGGCAATGCTAACTGCAGGTGCCCAAGCCACAGCCTGCCCTAATGAATCCAGATTTCTGGAGGTGGGGCCTGGGCATCTGTATTTTGAGAGCCAGCAGGGCAGGACGATTGTAGTAAGCGCAAACGCTGACATTTGTTAGCCACTCAACACTCCTCGCTGTTGTGTGCTTAACATGTGACTTTCCTCAGTGTTTTTACATCTGACCCTCACAGCAACCTTTTGAGGTGGAAATGATTGGTCCCATTGTACACATGAAGAAACTGAGGCAACTAACTGGCTAAGTCACCTAGCCAGAAGCAAAAGAGCAGAGTTTGATTCTAGAACCTGTTTTCTTCCCTTTCACCACTTGGTATTCCTGAAACACCCTGGAGACCATTTTAGGGGTGGGGTAGAGAGAGGGGAGGTGTCGAGAAAAAAAAACTCTTCAAGAGGTTTCCCTAGGGCACAGGAAACCCATCTGCTGCAGATGTGGGGGTGGGATAGAGAGGATACAAAGAAAGGTTTAATTTTTGCCTCAAGGCTCCTTCTCCCTTCCCTCTGCTCAGGCTGGTAAAGAGGCCAGATGTGCCCAGTGGGCAAAGCAGGAAGTGCCCCTGCCCTGTGACCAGGAGAGGATGAGGTGGTCACCCTTCCAGCTCCAGGCTACTGGAATTCACCAGCTCAGTAACTCCAGGGCTGGCCAGGCCCAGAGCGGACATGCAAAGTGAAGACCTTGAGCCTGTCCTGCCTTTACCCTCAGCAGGCTTGGGGTGCAGGCAAGGTGTTGGATGGGAGTCAGAAGGCACCTTGCAGACAGCTTGGAGCATGGTCAGGCAGGAGTAGTGTTGTCTGTGCAATAGCCTGGAAGGAAGGTCAATGCTTCGAAATTTGAAATTTGCTTTCAGCCTCCCATTCTATAATAAGAAAAGGGAGGAAATCAAACTCAGCAGCCTGGGGCAGCAGCCTGAGCTGGCAGCTCAAGTGTAGGTGGCTCCTGACTCCCCTCTCTGCTCTGAGTCAAGGGAAACAAGTGCAGGCCTGTCGCCGAACACTGAGAGTCACGGACTGCCTGCCCCTCTGACTGCCCCACCGACTCCCCCCAAGGACAGTGTCAGAGCCTCAGTCAGGGAACTGGGTCAGGGATTTGAGAGAGAACCATCAAATGTCACCCCAAGCCTGGGGAGGCTATATAGCTTTCCCAAGGCCATGCAGCTTGCTGGTGACATAGCTGGGACTAAAACCCATTACTTCTGGCTCCCAGGTCAGAGACTGTGCCATCTGGAAAACAGCAGAGACCTGGCACCGCCCTGCCAGTCTCAGCCATGGGTGCGCCCCTCCCTCTAACCCTTGCTCGCGCAGCTTCTCCTCCCTCCCTATTTCTCTCCTTTCCACCCCACCCCCTCCCTCCTCCTTTTCCTCAAGGAGCATCCACTAGCAGGCCGCTGATGGACTTTATACCCTTTAGGGGTTCTGAGGTCCCCAGTCCAGGCCACCCACCAATCCAGGGGAGCTTGCTTGCAGACCTCACCAGATGCCAGTGAGGCTCCCACCCATTCCTGCCCTTAACAGGAGACCTAGGGAGAGTTCACTGATCACAAGCTGATGCTTGGCTATTTTATTTATGGATCTTCCTAATAAGGGTAGAAGAATTGCACAAATGATAGCGTGATTACAAGTGCACCCAAAAAATTACATGGAATATGAAAAATATTGTCCTTCTTAACAGGAATGGAAGCAGAGAAATAAAAAAGACATAGGGTAGGGGATTAAAAAAAGATTCAGTAAAAAGATTCAAAATGATATAATGCAGGAAAAGTAGAAATGTCTTGCCCAAAACCAGAAATGGTTAAACACATTTCTGACATTTCCATTAGATGGGATTCTAAGCAGTTATTAAAAATGTTTTGGAAGGGGCCTCCCTAGTGGTGCAGCGGTTGAGCACTGGTTGCCTGCAGCCTCTGCAGCGCCGGTTCGATCCCCAGCTGCTCCCCGGCCACCGGAGGAGGGTCCGACATGACGCGCAGACCTCTCCTGCCGCCCGCTGCTCCCCTCAGCAGTGTACTTCGGTCCTTCTGCCTGCTCTGCTCCCCACTCTGGCTCTGGTGAATTCTCTCACCCTTCTGACTGTACCCAGTGCTTGTATAAATAAATAATAAAAAAAAAAATCTAAAAAAAAACATGTTGTCTAAAGTATTAACATGCTTTAAAAAAATGTTTTGGAAGAATGTGCATTAATATGGAAAATATTCATAATAAAATCGTAACTGAAAAAAGTATGATAAAATTATATTTTAATGATAAAAATTATATATGAATATGTGATAGTTTTAAAGGATTTAAAAATGTATAGGTAAAAGGCTGGAAGGGTCTCTTATTTTTCTAACAAATACCAGTATGTTGACAGTGGTTTCTCTGGCTGGATGATGGCATTCAAAGCAATTTTAATTTTCTTGTGCAGGCTTCTAAATTTCATGAGTTATTTACGTAGTAAATACAACTGGTTTGAAGATACCTAAAATTTTTATAACAAAAGAGCTGGCACTGAACCCACATTTACGGAGGCTCGTGAGTGTTGGGGATCATCACCTGCAAGGACCCTGGGGTGCTGGGGTGGTTATGACTGGAACACGGGACAGATGAAAACACTGAGGTCCCTAAGGGGAAGCGAGCAGCCCCACCTTAGGAAGAATTCAAGACTCCAACCCAGATTTCATGTCCCCCCACTTTGGTGCATGTATTTGATGCCCATTTCATGTTTACAATTAATTTTGATAGACTATGACTGTGTCCTGTTGGAGGCTTTGAAGGATATTGGAAAGAAGAAAGCGAGAGGGTGAAGGGAAGAAGGGAGGAAACAGAAAGTATAAATAATGGGAAACACCCAGATTCTTCTTTAGGAGGAAAATGAAGCTGTGGGGGAATGTTCCCACCTCTAGGAACACAGGTTTCCCCCACGATCCCAAAACAAAACATCCCTCTGTTATAATTTGATAGTTTTTTTTTTTTTTTGATCTGGAAACACTGTTTCCATTAATTCATATGGGATGATTTTTGACCCATTCTAAGGCTCTCAAAATAACCTCTGAAATCAAACTAAATACCAAGGTTGCGCTTTCAGAAGGAAATACGGTGTGGGTGTGGGTGTGGGTGTGGGGTGATAACAACTGCGTGAGTATATTGGAGACTCCTCCTCACCCACTCTCAGGGTCTGGATCCCAACCCCGCCCACCGGCCCGGCTCCCCATGGCAGCCCCAGCTCCAAGTCTTGGGGCCACAGCAGGGGGTCCTGCCCCCAGGTGACTCCCTGAGGCCCAGCAGGAAGGGGGCAGGAGAGACTCACCTTGACGATCTCCAGAACTTCACTTTTGCTGATGGCTCCGTTGCCGTCCACATCGTAGAGCGAGAAGGCCCACTCGAGCTTCTGATCAGTCTTGCCTGCGCTGGTCATGTGCAGGGCCACCACGTACTCCTTGAAGTCCAGGGTGCCATCGCTGTTGGCATCGAAGCTGCGGAACACGTGCTGGGCATAGGCCTTGGGGTCGGCGTCGGGGAAGAACTTGGCATAGATGCTGGAGAACTCCTGCTGGGTGATGCGGCCGGTGGGACACTCCTTCAGGAAGGACTGGTACCAGGCACAGAGCTCCTCCTGTGTGAACCTGGTGTTCAGCTGCAGCTCCTCCAGGATCTCCTTGGACAGGGCCCCACTCTTGCTGTTCCCCATGGGCGAGGGAGCGTGGACCCAGCAGGCAGGCAGCTGGGTGGGTTTGAGCGACGTGATTCCCCAGGCTGCAGAGACAGGTGCCTCTGGGCCTGGAGCCGAAGGGGGATGTGCTAGTGGATTGGAAGGATTTGTGGCTGGTTCACCTCAGTACTTGGGGAGAGGATGGGCCTTTGAGCTTGGGGGTGGGGGCAGTGTAAGCTCCCAGAATCCCCTGTCCCTTCCTTCCCTCCTCCCCCCCCAGATTAAAATAAATTGCTGACAGCAGGCAGTCAATCCTTCTTGGCCTTCAAGGAGATAGAACAGGACTCAGAAACTTCCTTGCCAAAGCCTTGGGCTAGAGTCTTCCCCATTGCCCTGCACTGTCCCTCCCATACCCCACTTCTAGCCTTCTAAGAGCACCCCTTTACTGCCTGTTTTCTACCCTAATTTTGAGGGTCTCAGGGCCTGGGATAGCACCTCTCATTGAGTCTTATAATGCAGTACTTAGGAAGCTGATTGTGGAGACAGCCCAGGGTTCAAGCTCCATCTTTACAATTTACTAGCTGTGTGACCCCAGGCATGTTTCTTAGCCCCTCTCGAACTTGAATACTTTTTCTTTCAATCCTTCATCTTTTCATGTCTTTCCTTAAATGTTACCTTCTCAGCAAAACCTATACCTGCCACTGTATTTACAACAGCACACCCACCCCCACCAACCATCAGCACACCCCAACTGTTTATCCTGCTGTATTTTTTCTCCCTCACACTTACACCTTCTGACATATTATTTATTTACTCTGTTTGCTGTGTGTGCCCTCACCAAAATGAAAACCCTATGAAGGCAGGCATTCTGTTTTGCTCCAGGCCATGACTCCATTGTCGGAATATGCCTGGCACGTTTAGGCCCTCAGTGAATGTTCCTTGAGTGAAGGGGTGTGATAGCGGCCATCTTATTGCTATTGTGAAGCTGAAATGACTTAACATGTATAATGCACTTAAAGAGAGCCCAACACATAGTAAGGGCTAAATGTCACTCTTCATTTGCAATAGATCATAAATTGCCCACGGGAGCTACAGAGTGAGTGAGTATAGCAGGTAGATCAGGGAAGTAATAGGGAGTAGTGAGGCCTGTGTCACACTTGGAAGTGGTTGCCAATATCAACTGTTACTGAGGAGAGGGTATGAAAACTCTCACCAGCCTAGAACCACTCTCACTGGTTCTGGGTCTGCACATTCACTGCCACAACTATAAACAAAGAGAGCTGGTGCAGCAAAACAGAAAAAATGATTTAATAAGGTAGAGGGAGAACTATAGGGTGGAGGCAGAGGGTCCAGCTACTTAACTATGGTGAGTGAAGCTGTGTGCAGCAGGCAGTGTCTGAACCTAGGGCCTGGGGCAAAGTCCCCAAGTCCTGTGACCACAGGGGCTGGCGGGGTGCAGCCTCCTGTTGCTGATGTCAGTGGCATCCATGCATGTGGGGTGGCTGCATCTGTAGTAGCTCCTGTGAAGAAGACCTGGCACTCAATGCCCGTCCTCCAAAATGGCCACTCTGTTCCAACCCCTTCTCAGCATCCCACTAGCTCCCTGAGCCCACTCATGTCAGGGGAGGAGCTTAGGTCACGGTGCCACACTGGCCTTCCATCCAGACTGCAGGTGGTGGAGTTTGGTCTTGTGCTGTGTTGCTTGTTCTGATGTCTTGTTTTGCATCCAACCTTGGCAAAGACTTCACTGACCCCCTTAGGCCTGGGCCTTGGGGTGCAGTGCTGCTCCAACATGACTCCATTTGAATGTGGTCACATGGGACTTTGGCCCAGTGTTCCTAGAATTTTCAGTCATCCAAGAGGAATCCAGAAATCTGACTTGTAGAGGCAATTTCCAAACTTACACACATTAATTCAGAATTTTTTAAAAAATGGTGTACGCCAAATATAGCTTATCTTTGGTTCAGTTTCATCCTGAAGTTTGTCATTTTGCAAATAAGCCTGTTGCCTGTAGCTAGCGGGCAATAGCACATGCTTCCTGAGTGGGTGAATGGATACACCAGAGACAGGGAGCACTGCAGAGGAGGCCTCCCATCACTACAGTCATAGTTGCAAGTACGGGACAAAAGGAAAAAACCTAGCACTGAATTCTCATCACCCAAAGGGAAGTGTCCTGTCTTAGCTGAGCATTGTGTTGCAGGGGAACATGCCTGAAAACCCAGAATTGCCAGATTGGATTGGAGAGAAGTGTCTTCTTGGCTCAGTAGTGGTTGCTACTACTGAGCAACCTAGAGATTATAAACCACATAATCTCTAGGCAGGTGAACTGGCATTTACACCCTGTTTTATAACATACTAGTTAATGACAGGGGACTGCAAATCCCTGTTGCTGGGAGAAAGTAACTTGCCAGGCCCATTGGGTGTTGCTCAGGATGGGCTGAGAAGTCCAGGCACTGGCACGCCACCCCGCCCCTCCTGTCCTCTCCACCCCCTGCAGTTCCAGAATATTTCTCAGGAGCCTCACTGTTAGGTGTGTATGATCCTGTGTGTGCTTACTATCCCCACCCCCCCTTAGTTTGTGAGAGGATATTGTTTTTTAATAGCCCTTTCTTTTTTCCCAGACTTTCCATATCCTGTAGCAAGGTGTTTATTCTCAATAGCAGTTAGAAATAGCACAGTCAACAAATTAGAAACAAACAAACTAATAAAACCCAGGTCATGAAAACGAGATCAAATGCTTCTATTGCTCGCTTCTGACCAGGCATGGGAGCCATGGGAAATGCCTCCTGGGTGCCAGGTCTGTGCACATCCACAGGGCTGATGTTGCGTGGAGACTTGGATTTGGAGCTCTGAAAGGGTCACATGGTTGCCTTTTTTTTCTTTTTTTTTTTTTTTTTACATCTTGAAAGGACAGGTTTATTAGGAAAAGGAGAAAAGGCGAGGCACCTGCAGAGTTACAGGAGGGCAGGAGAACTGCCGGGTCACGTGGTTGTTAAGTGGCAAAGCCAGGAGGAAAGCACCGCCCTGCCAGGCCCCAGGTTCCAGACCCCTTTGAACGAGAGCTGCCCCCTTTCTCCAGGAGGACTGTATCCAAGGGCAAGAAGCTCCACTTTCAGTGGTAAGGGCCATGGCAATGGACATGGCTGCAGGCAGAGAGGCCTAACGCAGAAGGCGGCCAGAGCCTTCAGCCTCTTCTGCCCTTTCCAAGAGCAAGGAGGGAGGCGCAGGAACGGGAGGGAAGCAGCCTGGCACTGGCCACATTCTTCAGGTTGCAGTGCCCAGGAGGCCGGCCGTGGGAGGGGACCACAGGCAGCTGTGTTGATGCTGCCGAGAGAGGGGTTGTGACCTGGAGGTTTGTTTGAAAACCTGCATAAACATCTTCTCTCAGAGGGAGAGTTTATGCTCCTTAGCCAAACAAGTTGTTGCAGATGATGTATTGTGAATGGATTTGTTAAGTCTGAGCTGGGGCCATAAACCCTCCCCACGCCCCAAAGATTACTGACTGCCGCAGTTGGGGAGAAGGCCTCTTCTCTGGTCAGAGTCTCAGCTTGTGTCTCCCCCTCCTGGCCTTGCCTGGACTGAAAGAAGTGGACTCTTCCCAGAGACTACCTCTGCTGCACAAAGCCAGGAGCTCTGCGGGGACTGTTATGGAGGCCCAGGCCTCAGCCCTCAGCCCCATGCGAGGTATGAGCTACCTTTGTTTGCTATGAGCTAAAGGACAAGATGAGCCTTCTTCCCCTGGCCTGGAGCCTGCACAGACATCTACACTGAGAGGGAAAAGGGGGCATGAAGAGGGTAAGTGGGAGGCAGACCAGGGAACAAGGCTCCGACCAGGGAGCTCCTTTCGCAATAAATGGCGGTGCATCCTTTCGGTTGCTTGGACCCAAATCCTTGGCGTCGTCCTCAGCACTTGTCTTTCTGTTACACCCCACTCCAGCCTGTCAGGCAATCATATTGGCTCTACTTTCAAAGCCCATTTGCCCACCTCCACTGTGACCCTTCCTGTCACCTCTCCCTGCATGCCTGCTTCTGTGTCTCCCTGCCTCTCCCTGTCCTACAGAGTTGCAGTGAATCCTGTAACAAGGCAGGCAGGCTTGTGTCCTTGGCTCAGACCCCACAGCACCACCCATTTCCCCAAGAGCAAAAGTCAATGGCCATTGATGGCCACCAAGTCCTGCAGAGGCTGCTCCAGCCCCTGCCACCCCTGTGTTCCAGCCACACTGGCCTCAAACAAGCAAGTGCCCAGCCCTTTAATCCAGTCTACCTCCTCTGTCTGGAACATTCTTCCCTCAAGTACCTCCCAGGCTGCTTCCCAGGTTTCCTTGTCTTTGATCAAATGCCAGCCTCTCAATGAGGTCATCTCCAAATACCCATCTCACATTGCAACTTACCCACCCTCACATCTAGAACTATCAATTCTCCTTTTTTTATAACACTCAACAACTTCCATACGCCAACTGTTCATATAGTTTCATTATTATACCTATTTTTTTGGTTTTTGTATCTCTCTCTCTCTGCTAGGAAGCTCTGTGAAGGTGTGAGGGTGGGGTTCTCTTTGTGGTTCATTCACCAATGTGTTCCCAGGATTTACGTCAGTGTCTGGCATATAGCAGGTGCTCAGTAATTATTCAGTGGATGGATGGATGGATGAGAAAAGACACAACAGCCAGAAGCCCTGGAGGTGGAAGTGATGCAGGGGGCTGGGACCCACAGGTCAACACCCAGGATGTGTCCCTCTGCTAAGTCACCAGAAGCCAATCACCAACCCTGGGAGCCTGGGAGGAACTCTGAGACCATTTATATGGAGGAGCGTGGCAGCCCTCCAGGAAGGAGGGTCGCCCAGCGGGACCCAGTGTCTCTGGACAGTTTATTTTACATGGGATGAATCTAAGCATCTCAAGTATACACACAGAATCAAAGCAAAAGAGAGAGAGAGAGAGAGAGAGAGAGAGAGAGAGAGAGAGAGAGAGAGCATTTAACTTCCTGAAAACGCTTTATAATAAAGCAGAGCAATTATATATAGCAAACGCCTTCAAAATTTAAACCCTTTAAACATTTAATTCTTCAGCATTAATACACACAAATGCTATTACGGCAGGGTGGGGGCAGGCAGATTACAGCCTCCGTAGGGATCAGAGTTTCAACAGTGTTACTTATAAATTATAGTACATCGATTTTATTTACTGATCTAGGGCAGCCAGAAGATGGAAGGATATACAATGTGGAGTAAACACATTCATACCTACCGGGATGAGGAATGCTGGCAGGAGACACAGCTTTTTAACATTAAAAATGTATAAAGTATTTAGCAAAAGTTACAGAAAACAGACCAAACAAGCAAGTTTATTTTGTTAGAAAATTCCACTTTTGTAGGGTTTGCTGATGTGCTCATGTCAGCGAAAGGACTGCCCCCCAATCACCTTCCTAAGGGAAAGGAAGAGATGCACATTTGGGGTCCACACCCACGATGATGAGCAGTGTCCCCTTCAATTCCTGTCCCTGGGTCCGCAGCCCCCAAGAGCTGGTCTGCTTGTAAGATGCTGGAAGGGAAGCGTCTCTGCTGGACAGATGGGTACACAGAGGTCCCGGGAGAGAATGTGACTTAACTTCAGGTTATGCAACATATGAGACAACAGGGTGGGGCCATTCAGTGCTGTTACCCTAGTACCACATGCCTTCCCCTCTGTTCATGGCACACACCCCAGAGCGCCCAAGCACTCTGACCCTTTGCAGTCCACCATCGCAACCCCATTAGGAAGTTCCCCCAACAAAAAAGTCAGTGTCCCCTGAACAGCACACAGAAAATCCAAAGTCTTCACAGCCTCTCACTTATTTTATGCTCATCCAGACCTATAACAGGGGTTGGGTCCCTCCCTTCAGGAAAGGTCCAAGAGCAGTAACACTACTTGGGGCCGGGGGAGGATGTTCAGAGTGCTCCCTGGAAAAATCCAACCTAGAAGAATCCCAGCTACAGATGCTCAGTTCCCACCACCACAGCCCTGACCTTCATCTGGCTGGGATTCAGCAATGTCCAGGAATGTCTGCGCTTTGCCAGGTTGCCTCCCAGCACTCACCTTTCTCTGAGCAGGGCATGATGGAGACATGGTTTAGAGGAGTCGTCACCTTGGAGGTCATGCCCACAGCCTGCCGGGCTTTAGCAGGGTTGGATCTTGTCTCTGCCACCACCCAGTAGGCTGCAGGCACAGGTCAGGCTCTGTGTGACCACCAGCTGCACAAGGTTCCAACAATGACAGGAACCTGATAGACGGTGTCAGTTTGTGTCTCTCGTGGCTCCGCAGAAGGAGCCTCGGGACACGCCATCAAAGATCAGTGGATGAGACCTCAAAGGTAATGAATGACTTAAGCTATCTTTGGTGGTGATGGGGGGTGGTCTAGGAGGAACTACCTCATTTCAATGGTTCATGAAACTTAATTTGAGCTCCATTTGCATCTCAACAGGGAAGTGCCAGGGCGTCCCTCTCATGAGGATTTTTGGACAGTGCCACGCATGGTGACCCAAATTAGGCACGGCCATGGTTGTAGGGGACAAAGGTGGAAATGAGAAGGGGCAGGAGGTAGAATACAGTCAGTGGAGGAAGCCTGAGAGACCATCATCTAAGACAAATACCTTCTGTTTGCAGATGAAGCAACAAAGACCCAGGGAAGGGTGGTGATGAGCTCATGGCCAGCCCCCCGCCCCTCAGCCATGTCATGTCCATTTGCCTCGAATACCTCCTAATGCTCACCAAATGCTGGGACATGAGAGTTGAAGTGGGGGGCGGGGCCCACAAAGAGTGAATCTGCTCTCTGAGAGGAAGGCCACTAGACCGTGTCCACTCTTCCCTCCAGCTGCTGGCAGATTTCCGCATTGTTAAAATCCTAAAATGAACTCAAAAGGAAAGTGTGAGCCCCAAAGACGACTTGTGGGCATAGCTGGCATTTGAAGAAAAGCCTTGGGAGGCAGAGGTAGGAAGCAGCAGGCTGATGTGACCATGCAAATAAGCTGAAGAAGACCCTGGGCCAGGAACTTCCAGGGTAAAAGCTCATTTTAAAAGCAAGGTAGCTGCGTGGGACACCCATGCAATAGGAGGTGACTCCGTGACCCCAGGAACAAGCACCGACACACACAACACGGGCGACTTGAAAGCACTGAGTGAAAGAAGCCAGACTCAGAAGGCTGCATCAGAGTGATTCCATTTATAGGACATTCTAGAAAAGGGCAAACTACAAGGTCATAAAGTTGATTGGTCTTTGCCAGAAGCTAGGGATGGGAGGAGGGATTTGACCACAGGGGTCTGAGGGAATTTTTTTTGAGTAGTGAATATATGTTGATTTTGGTGGTATTGACAAGACTGTATAAGGTTGTCAAAATTCACTAAACCCTAGTGAAGGTAAATTTTACTGTATGTCAATAAACCCCAATACTGGATGTCAAATACTTCAATAAACCTAGAAAAACACAAGGCTTTCAGGAGTGAGAAGGATTATGGGAATGAGAGGGTGTCCTGCCTAAGTAAGCTAAGTAATGAGAGGGTGTCCTGCCACTCAGTGCCCCACTTAACATATGTAAAGTGCTTTCCCTACCTGCACATTCATGAGCAGGTCTGTAGAATCCTGTTTAAACTCTCCCTGTCGAGGGCACTCACAGCTGGAAGTGAAATCACTTAAACAAGCCAAGGTCTTTGACATCCTTTGAATTTTATGGCTTGTATTTCCAAGAAGGGACTTTGGCTCAGCCAAGAACTTTATGCACTCATCCACTAATCTAGTGATTGATTGGTTTTCACAAAGGGATAGAAACAAACCCCTCATCTGTGAATGTATACACTGTCTCTGTTTGCTTCAGTCATTAATCATCCCTGATGAGCAGAGAAATGCCTCCAAGGCAGAAATCCTCCCTGGCCAACAGACACGGGGGGGAGGTAGGGAGACCCTCAAGACCGGCATCCCCATGGCCCAGTTTTTCTGTGCTTTGCAATACTGATCAAAAGCTATAGAAAAATGGAGAGGAACAAGTGGCTTTTCCAGGAGGTTGCCATGGCAACCAACTCACTTGGAACACCATTTGCCCTAGAAAGAAAGATTTTTTAAATCAGATTTTCAAAGACAAAACTAAGTGCATCCATGTCTCCAGGAGGAGGCAGGTACAAGAGGCTCACCTGTTCCTAGAAATGGAGCAATGAATGGTTCTTCTCAAGAATCACCCGTTCCAAATAAACCCAACCAAATCCTCTGATGTCCTAAACCTCAAAACAGAAACTGAAACAACTACCCAGATGTGTCTGCTTTTCCAAAATGCACTTCAAGATATTCAAGATTTCATCCTAATCTCGGTTGCACCCAGAGAGGGAGCCCTGTGAATGGATAGAGGCCTGGTATCAACTCCAAGCCTACTCTTGATTCACTGTCAATTTCACGCCACTCACTGGCCATCCTCGGGCTTCATGCTTCCTATTTGGAAAGTGAGACAGATGATTTAAAACAAAGAAAGTTCTGAAATTTGAGTTGGACATAGGCAGTGAGGGTTGGCTACCAGGTGGTTAAACTCTTGTTGCTGCCCACCTTCCATCCTGTGGAATGGGTGCAGCATTCTCATGCTCCAGAAAGGTCTAAACACACCTCTACCTACATGGAGGGGGTGGGGGAGAGGGACTGACTCTTGTGCAGCTACAATTCTCATGCTTCCCGCAGTGCCTGGGTTATCCCTAGTATCTGCTGAGTGAAAGAAGGAATGAGTGAGTGAATGAATGAATGCAGCTCATGATTGAGCTGCATAACAGTATCTCTGAAAATCGAAATTCTGCTTATAAATACTAAGGTTACTGACCAGCAAGATCTCTGGGGAAGAGATAAGTACACAAAGTAAGAGACTGTGGGTTACGCTGGCAGGACCAGATCTTGCCCCCAGATCCTAATACATTGCCCTAATACAAATGCTTGATGATGGAATTAGGAGGGAAGAAAAAAAAGGAAGTATGTTGAGAGGCTAATGAGGCTGAGGTGAGGGGGTGAGGGAAAGAATCATTTCCAAACTTCCAGTCAACTTGGGCTGCCCTGGAAGAAGCAAGAGAAGAAGAGGAGACTCTGGAATCTTCAACTGGGAATGAAGAGACAAGCTCAATGAGCCCAGTCATATTAAAAATAGCTATGTCCATAACAAGGCTAATGACTTTGAACATTTGAAAATCATTCACAGGTTAGGTGATGATGCCATCAAGCCATTATTACTAGCACCCGTTTTTAATAAAGAAACCAAGAAATAATATCCTAAATTGGGTAGCTGATGTCATGGCCCAGCCCCTAGGTCCAGAAGGAGTGGGTCTCCATCCCAGGACAGATCTGTCCCAATGGCCTTCATGTTGGTTCTTCCCAACCTTTTTGGTTGGGATGTTGGATAAGAACAGTGACAATGTTTGGTTTTCTTTAGGATATTCAGCATCTTTCTAATACAAAAGAGAAAATCTGACTCTATGAGAGAAATACCAAAAGATTCAAGAATAATGCCAGACGTATTAACATGTAAGACCAAGAGGAGACAAGTCAATTGTGCCCGAGAGTCCGCCCTCTGGGAGACCTGTTTATCCAAAGTAGGAACAATAACTAAGAAAGATAGATTCTCGGGTATGAGAAAAGGATAGAATCTATCCCTTGCTAGCATGGCCTTGGCTGCCTCCGGTTCCCTCATGCTGATTTTCAAGGCTGACATGGTGGAGTACACGTTTGTTGTGGTATAAAAAGGAAGGAGAGATGAGCGACGCCCAACAACAGCATTGGCAGCCTCTCAAATCATTCTCTAAACAGGCTTTTCCAAGAACTGGGAGATGGGACAAGGGAAAAGTGGTACTAGCTCCAAAGAGGGAGTTGGTACGGGCTCTGGACACACAGAAGGAGCTGAGAGGCAGGGAGGTGGGACACTACTACAGCCAACAGAGTCTGCAAGGCCTGCACAGGCCAGTCAGTGAGAGAGATTCATATGAGGGATGGGGTCCCTACCCCACCCTAGACAAGCAGGTGGAGCTACCTGGGGCAGGATGCAGACTTGCCCAACCCTTCCCCACAGGGAGCTGACCCAGCCCCACTGCGCTCTCCCCTGGAAAGGGGTAAGGATGAGAGGAAGGAGCTTCCCTGACTGAGGAAGCAGCAGAGAGCTGGGTGGATTAGGGACTTCTAGAGAGGAGACGACAGAAGATGCTTGATCCAAGGAAACACCACTCAACGTTCTGACTCGGGGCTAATTTGCTGAATGAGGTAGTTCCATCCTGACCTCTCCGGGCAGGGTCAGTTTGGGAAGACACAAGCCAAGCCTTCTCCCCAAGACCTCTGAAGGTGAAAAATGGCAGAGAAGAGACAGAATGTGGGCTCCCAGAATGCAACAGGGTAAAATGGAGGGCTGCAAAGGATTGTGGGTGTGGGCTGTTCAGCTGAATGGCGACTTCTAGCCGCGATTCTGATCCTGATTCTGATCCTAATATTTTGGGGACAGATGCCTTTCTCCCCTGACCCTCTAAAGCCCTGGAGACAAGGAGGCCAACTGGAGAAGGGGCCTTGGGGCTTCCAGGGGCACAGACGTGTGACACAGCTGGCTCCAGGTAGGGAGGCAACCCCTATGATGCTCAGCAGGGACCACAAAGTTCCAGCCTTATTTGTTCTCAGAGCAACAAGCACAGCACAGAAGTTGGGGGGCTTCGACCTCGGAGACAAGGGCAGGGCTGTGGATCGGTCTTCTTGGTCTGGGAGCACTAGGAAGCTTCCAGTGGGGCCATCCAAGCCGCCCTTCTGGAATCCCAGCTGTGGCCCTTGTTCCCCCCACTCCTCAGTGGAACAGGAAAGCGGGTGAGAGGACAGCGCCACTTGGCAGCAGGCCCCACAGTGGGAGCCACCACCGTCTCTCTGTGGGACCCACCCCCGGCCCCTCTCCTTGGCAGGACCCCCGGGGCCACAGGTGCCCATCTAGATCTCCATGTCCACAGGACGGATGTTGCCTGTCTTGTGCTCTCTGACCCACAGCTCCCTGTCTTTGGCAGGGTCCACTTTTCGAAGCAGTTGGTCCACAGGCTCGACTGTCTGCAAGGGACAGAGAAGAAGGGATACCATCAAAGATGGCGGCCAAGCCAGGGACAGTCCCTCTGAGTCACGCTGCTTCCCATGGTGCCTGTGAGGGCGGCTTCTCTATAGGGTTGTGGGGAGCCCTGGGGAGGCCCATTCAAGGCCTGTGAGATTGGGGGTCCTAGAACTCTTGTTCCTCCCCTACTTTAGGCATGAGGTCATAGACCTCTTTCTTCTTTTATCCTCACATTTAACTCCCAAGAACAGGTCAAAGGTAGTTTTAGATATTTTGAATATTTCTAGAAATATTTTTCAAATAAAAGTGTCAGGGGAGGTAATCACGAATTCAGTGTTTTAACTACCCGGGACTTCTTTCTCTTTGGGGTGACAACCCATGTGCATGTCTATTTCATGTGCTTGGTATGGGTTCACGTGGATGTCCAGGCTAATCAGGATAAGTACATCCCAAGAGGTTGCTCACAGGCCGGGGCTACTGCCCACCATCCACCTCTAGGACAGATTCATTTATAAAAGCCACTTAACCTGCCATGGCACAATGCCATGCAACTCTCTCCTGGCCCTAGTGTACCCCCGGAGTCCTGAAGGCCTGAGACTGAGGGTGGGGGGACTCACGCTTTGGTTGAACATGTCCGTCTCATGCCGGAGCTGTGTGTACTGGCACAGGTGTTGTCGGATCATCTCCACCCTCTCCACCTCCAGCCGCTCCAGCTCCTGCCAAGGAGGAGAGACCAGAGACCCCTGAGTGTGTCCCTCAATTTGGGGACCTTCCCAGCACCCAGAGCCCAGACTACCCAATGCACAAAACACAAGAGTTCCTGCTTATTTCCCATCCTGTCTCACCCTCAGGGGTGTGACAAAAAACTCAGTGAAGGTGATTATACAGCAGTTACTATCTCCGAACCACTCTGCCAAGCACAGTGAGTGCTAAGGGCTTTGCAGGCATTACTGCATTGTCCTCATAATCATTTTAAGAGATAGGTTCCATTTTTATCTGCATTTTTCAGGCCAGGGAATTAATACCTAGAAGGTAAAATGGCTTCTCCAGAGTGAGATGAAATTATAAGAGCAGCAGGATTTGAACCAGGACCTGCTGTGCCTCAATCATACTTCTGCACAGTACAGCCCCAGCCCCAGGCCCCAAGGGCTAGAGAAATGGGACACATTTGGGAGCTTCCATGCCTCAGACTCTTGGGGCTTTCTCCCTTGGCCTCTGCTGAGCAGCCTCCTGTCCACTCCTCTGTCCACTCCTCGTGCTCAGGGGCAGACCAGTATCCAGGTGTGTTTTCATTGTCAAAGGGAAGAGTGGGAAGGGTTTGCCCTTTGGTTTCTACATTGTTCCACATCTTTGGAATTTAGGGGCTCAGCCTGCTATTCTGTGTCTAACTAGGTCACTGCCCAGGTGATTAATAGCGGAGAGGGTTAAACCAGGGGACTTAATGAGATTAGCCAAGAGGAAATCTAGGTCACCATCCTGGGGGAGGCCTCTAATCACTCTGGTGGGCTGACACCAAGAAGGTGAATGGTTAGCCCAGTGCTGGATGGACAGGAATGGTGAGATAAAAACCTGGTGCAATGACTCCTTTCTTGTCTGGCCCAATGGCCAACCACTGTCCCATGCAGGCAGGTGCTGACTGACAAGGAGAAATAGGAGAGCAAAAAAGGGGTCTGTTGCCTATTCCCCATATCCCTTGATCAGGTGTCTCCCCCATGTTCCCCCTACACAGCTCCCCCAACTCACCTAATAATGCACCTTGCAAGGATCTCCAATCAACAACTTGCCCCTCTTTTGGGCTGGGGGGGGGCACTCTTCCTGCAACTTGACTATTTGTCCCACAGGCCTTACTATCTACTCAGCTCAACCTCAGTTGATCCTGATCCCTCAGGGGACAGTCAAGGAGAATATAGCTAGACCCGACTCTCGCCTGTATTGACACGCAGCTAGAAGTGCTAGAGCCAGACTCTGAACCCACATAGACTGGCCCAGCAGCAAGGCTTGACCCCAACACCAGAGCAGATCTAGTGGTCTGCTACAGTCGCTGCCATGTGTCTCTGCCCGCCAGTATCCTCTCAGGGCCTCCTGAGCTCCAGTCCTGGTCCTGATATGCGTCACAGGTGTGCTCACTCACCAATGTGGTGGTCACCATCTCCTCAAACCACTTGGACTGGGCTTGGTTGTAGAGGTCCACACAGCGCATGAGGTCATCTCCTAGAAAAGGCCACCAGCCACAGTCATGCTTCATTCTGGTTTCATCCAGGCATCCCTCTCCCACCCATGACCACAACAATGCCTGCCCCCTCCCTGGGGTCCTGGAGGCCACTGGTAAGGAGAGCAAAAGAAGGGGCAACTCTGAGAGACTAGTTTCAGAATGTCCATCTCAACGTACATGCCAATCATTCAGAATTCAAGAAGGATTTGAGAGAGAGAGATAGAGAGAGAGAGAGAGAGAGAGAGAGAGAGAGAGAGAGAGGAAGGAGATGGTGGGAGAGATACTCCTGGATTCTTACCCCTATCATGAACCTGAGGAAAGTTTTTCTCTCTAAAGACAGCAGTTTCCTTTCATTTTAGAGAGTCCTGCTTGGTTAAAATACATGCCACAAGCAACCTGGTACTAGTTACCGTTCAGGAAGAGAAGTTTGCAAATCTTGATTGTGCTCTGTGTGTGTGCATGTACATGCACATAGCAAGGTGTTCCACTAAAACACAAAATAACTTATCTGGTGGCTTATGGTTCATTCATGTGCATGAATAGTTTAAAAACATACACTGGAAAGCTACACACCAGTTCCAGGATAGGAGTTGCCACTGCGTTGGGAAAAAGAAAGATGGGTGGCAAAGGGAACATGCTCTTTCTATAGCAATTTATTTAACAAGAGGGAGACCCTGAAATAAATGTAACTATTCCACCTTGATGGCCAGAATGATTGTCTTTAAGCACATATATGTTTGAAACGTTTTGTAATTAGAAAGAATACCAACTATAAAGTAACTGCAAACAGTGCTGAGGTCCCAGCACCCCAGGATCCTATCACACAAAGCACAGACCCTGTATGGCTACATCCAGGGAGCTGGCTGGAAAGGCAGAGCTTGGATGGACCAAGACCCAGTGAGTCAGAAACTGCATTTTCACAGATCCTCAGGTGATCCTGACACATCCAGTGGGAGAAGCACCAGCGGAGTGCACAGCTTCTGGATCGCAGCTTCCTGATTGCTGCAGGGCTCCTGAGGCAGGGAAGGCACCATGGTCTCTGCTCAAGAGCCAACCCAGACCAACTGATTGACTCTTTAGAACTACAATCAAGGGGACTCCAACTTATTCCAACACTGGCCTCGCCCTTGCCTGTGTGTATTCTGAAATGAAAGTACAAAGAGAGAGTGAGGGCCACACAGCCCAGGGCTGGCTCAGCGCCCTCTCCCAGCGCCTCACCACCAGCCTTGCCCCACGCTGCAGAGACCAGCCTCGAGGAATGCAAAACAAATCAAGGGTTTCGCTCGTTTGGTTCTTTGGTTCTTGGTCCAACATTAGTGACTGGGCCCTGATCCCGAGCAGGACTCATGAGAGGGAAGAAAGTGGACGTTGTGCGGCAGACACACCCCCACTGCGAGCCTGTGTCTGACTGTGGATGGGGTGAGCGTGCACCCCATAGAGGATAGAGCCTACTGTGAAAGCTCCCTGAGCTGCGCTGTCAATCTGACTGGAGAACACGTTTAGGGAACTTAAATGTCAGGGAGTAGGGTAGGTGAAGGAGGGTGTCTTCTCTCTACACCCCAAAAGTTTGAAATTGGACAGAATGGCTGACATGGATTCTGGAACCAGAAGATTCTGGAAGCATAATATTTGGGTTGTCATGTTTGACTTTACTGTGATAGCTGATACCGATAAACCTGCCTGTGCCCCAATTTCTTGTAAAGGGCGTACTTTTTTAAAGAAAGATTTATTTTTATTTATGCATACAAAAACAGGGGTACAGGCCAGAGGTGTGGTGGGGGGTGAGAGGCTTCACCAGAGTGGGGAACAGAACAGGGAGATTGACTGAAATACCCTGCTGAGGGGAGCAGTGGGCGAGTCACGAAAGGTCTGCTGTGCTTGATCCAACTCGTGCTGCAGTAGCTGCGGTAGCTTCGCAGTGCTGCGTCTTAACTGCTTGCGCCACCAGGGAGGCCCCTCTAGTGGGGATACTAATGGCACCTTCCAGGTTTAAGGGTGGGGACTGAGTGGTGGCAGGCACATGCTGCAGCAGATGCTGGCCAGGGCAGCAGCATGTTAACATGAACTGTGCTGATGATGAAATGAAGTCAAGCCCTGGAGCATCCACATGGCCTCCCTTTCAGTAGCCTTAGAAAAGATGATGGAAGGGGGAGGGAAGGGTGCAGGGTGAAAGGAAGGTGGGATTTTCTGGGGCACAGGCTGCCCAGCAAAATGGTAACAAGCAAGGCTGGTGTAAGAGAAGGACTCCGGGGCTCCACACACCAGAACTGTGTGCCTGGGGAGACTGCCTCACCCCGTTTGCCATCAGTTGCCCCACCTGTAGATATGTGAAAATATGAGGATGAAAGGGAGGATGCTCTGAGCTGTTGACTGGTGGCTGGCACACAGGGAGTATTTTTTTAGAATGAGGTCTCAGGACTGATCACTTTCATTACAAAGAAATTCCAAGCTGTAGGAATGAGAGACTGTATCATCTGATGACAATGCAAGAAAACTAGCAACAAAGAGCAAGACCAGAAAACAACAGTAACAAAGCCAAGTCTCAAAGATCTTTTTTCAAAATTTGACTCAGATGAACTCAACACAAATAACAAAATATCAAGAATACAACAGAAATGAAAATACTTGAATCAGAACTTCTGGAATGTGATGAAAGCAGTGGTGTGAGGAAAATGAAAAGTCTGCTGGGCCAAATCTTGTTTTTCTTTCAAATAAACACCCGAAGGCCTCCCAAAGTTTAAAAAAAAAAAAAAAAAAAAAAAAAAGATAAAAAAAATCTTGAAAAAAAGACCTTTTTTCAACCTAGAAATCGTAAAAGGAAACTTATTTTAAAAAATAACAAACAAACCCCACCCCCAAATAAAAGAAACATAGGATAAAATTAAAAAATAATGACCTAGGAAAACTTTTGCAATTCAAATGACAAAAGGATAATTTTCCTAACATCTAAATAAATCTTATCAATCAGTCATTAAGATCAGCTGCTTAACAAGAAAATGGAGAGCTAATCAATTCACAAAAAAGTCAGTTATTTCTAAGTCTTTTGTAATGCTCAACATCACTCAAAAAAGAAATGTAAATTAAATTAAAAGGCATATATGACTTTCCACCAGATAGCTATGATGTCAGAATCTGATAACACACGTGCTGGCAAAAATGTAAGGAACAGGCTTTCATAGGTGCTGTGTGGGTCCCCATCTCTGGAAAGCAAATTGGAAATATCTCTCAAAATGGATACGATCCTTTGAACCACAAACTCCACAGCCATGCTCTCGCCATAGAAATTTATTGTCACAGACACATTTACATAACACAGCACTGCTGACACTGGCAAACACTCTGTCACAGTCTAAAAGTCCCACAAAAATCAATGAGGGAGTTGAGGAAATAAATTTGGATACGATCATATATTTGGATGCTATTCAACCGTTGAAAAGGCCCGATGTGTACAAGTACACAGGCAAATAAATGTATAGATCATGGGCTGGAACTATCGCTAAAATAATTAAAATATAAGTTCAAAATCTGGAGCATATGGTGAAATCTGAGTATCAAACCTAGAGAGGATGGTCAAATTTAAATATAAATATTAAATTAAAACACTAGGAAATGTTGGTGATTGTATCTGAAAAATGAGATTTATATTCTTATGTGCTGACTAAATTATTTTTGTCAAGCAATGATACTATTTTGCAATATAATTTGATTTTTAAATAATTTTATAATTAATCTCATCCTGAGTTTCCCTTCCCAATATCAATAAGTTATTATACTTTCTATTTCTGGACCTAGTAATTTATTGCTGAGCATTGTATGATATTTATATCAAGTGCTATGTTTATATTACATCACTTTGTTATTGACTTATTTTTATATCTTCGTATTTTCACAGGTCCACATGGTGTCTGCTTTATTTGGTCATAAATTAATTGTACCAAGTTCACCAAAAGTGGAGGTGAAAGAGACCTAGAGGTCATCTGACCACACCCTAACCCTACACTGCAACCTTGAAAGCAAAGGGCACTGTCTTTGCGGCCTTCTAAAAGAAATATTTAGTAAGTTTTTGCTGGTTTTAACTGGCCTTACTCCCCCTTTTTTTTGTGCGAGCTAATTTTTACCACTAGGTGGGAGTAGAAACCAACGCACTGGGGGAAATCTGTCAGAACATCTGAAACCTGGTTATTTCATTAAATAAAACGCTGGCCCTGTTGGGGGCAGGAGCCCATCACCAAGGGCCAATCTTTGGAGCATCCCTCCCTGGGGAGGTGGTAGTGTGGTGGGTGGTTGGGGTTTGCTCTCCTCCTCCATGTAGGGACAGGACCCCTGAGTTCCAGGTGCATGAGGAGACTGTCCACTGTGGGATCAGAGGTCCAGGACTTGGGCAAGAAAGAGTCCTCTTTGGGGGTTTGTGAGGAACCTGGTGTCTGTCATGACCTGTAGACAGTCTGGGCTGCTCCCCAGTCCACAGTCCCTAGACCTAGTTTTGTCCTATGGGATAGGCCTCCCTGCACCCCACTTTCCATCCCCTCCTTTCTGTGTTTCCGTGGCAGTGAGGACGTGGGAAGCAGGTGGGCCTCTACCCGGCACTCACCAGCCTGTGTGGACTTCCTCCGCGCCTTCTTGATGTCCTCTTCCGTCTTATTGCTCAACTTGATCTCCAGCTGCTGGGTCTTCATCTCCAGATCTCTCTGACGCTCCGTGAGGGCTTTCCGGGCCTGGGGTTCAAGGACATGCGGGAACTGTTCACAGAGCTCAGAACCAGGAAGGCCCACTGGTCACATGGCTGCACCCCCTTGTCTAGCTAAGAGAACTTTCCTTCACCTGTTTTCATGGACGATGCCACAGTGGCTCTGAGAGGCTGAGCCACTAGACCAGCACCGTCCAGCTAGCCAGTGACCATGCAGGGGCTGCAGCACCCTTCGTACTCCCATGGCACCCCACTGCCGCCTGACTTGACCTGCTCCTGATGGGAGCAGGGACTTGTAGTGGAGACCCACGCAGTCCTAAAACCACAGCCCTGTTGGGGTGGAAGGGACCATAGAAGTCATTTGTGTCACCTGCCAGCCATGTTTAACAGATGGCAGCAGCACAATCACCCTGCTCTGGGCAGGCCAGCCCTGCTTTCCTTATTGAGTTTTCCACCATCCACAGCTCCAAGGCTCTTTGGTGGTAGCAGCCGGAGAGTCTAAGTTGCCCATAGCTATACATGCCCATCTCCTGCCACCTTTCCAAAGGCACTGGAGTTGCCCCTGGGGGACACCTCTCCCCTTTGGAACTGGCCATTGGCAGCTACCCACCCGGTCAGATGGCTTTGATTTCTGGGGAGAGGCGGGGGTAATTTGGTCAGGAGGCAATCTGCTGAGCAAGGCCCAGACAAAGGGATTACATGACGGACCAGTACTCTCCTATGCATTCAAGGGTGTACCTCATTTTCTGTGCCCAGTTGACCCCACAATAATGCCCACTGCAGGTGCAGCCTTGCCTGCTTCTCTTGGCCATCTGGGCAGTGAGCCCAGTGCCATGGGGAGCAGCTCTACCTGCCTCGGGCCAGGGGCAGAAGTTCTTGGGCATGGAATTGAGGTTTGTACACCCCAGGTCTACCTGGATCCCACCACATGGGGACAAAGGCCTCTACCTAAGCACATGGCGCCCTTGCTGGTGCCCACACCCTTCCAGAAGGTCCCCACCTCCCGCCCCTGCCCTGGCCTCCTGGTCCCTTACCTTCTCCACCGAGGCGTAGCGGCTGGCGAGCTGCTTGCGGAGGTCAGCAATGTGATGGTCACACTTTTTCAGGTCTTTCTTGAAGTTCTCCCGGAAGTTCATTAGGGGTTTCTCGACCTCGCTGTGAAGCTGTTGAGGAGAGTGGGGGGTGGGGGGTGGATATACTCAGGGTCCACACAGCATCTGGTAGGAGTTGGTGCAGAGTGAGTGCCCTTCACTGCTTAGGACACTGACAAGTGTCCAGTGCCCTGGGCGGCAAAGTGGCAGCTTAGATGACTTTGGAGACTAACCAAGAATGCTATCCAGACCCCCTCTCTTCAGGTTAGCTATAAATGTCTGCTATTTTTTTGAGCTCCTGAATGTTTCCTCATATAAGAAAACAACCCCATCTGGTGGTGGTTTGTAAGATGCCATAAAATTGACAGTTGCCAAGAGCACGCAAGCCCCTTTCGCATGGAAACAGCTATATCACTGAACTGCGGTGGGAGTCTGCCCCTAATTGGGGGTCCATTGGGGTTAACTCAGCCTGTCACATCACTAACTGTGGGGTCTCTTTCTGATGGCCAGGAAAGCAAGCTCATTCACAGACTTTGAATGTGCCCAGGAGTGACCCAGAGGGGCTTCTCAGAATTCAGGATTCCTGGGCCCAAGCCCCAGGTTCTGTGGTCTGGGGAAGGGTCCAAGAACCTGCCAACACACCAAAATGCTTTCCCCAAATTCCAAACAACAATGTGGAAACATAATGCTACCAGCTGTCAGGGGACAGTCAATCCCAGAGACGAAGACCCCAGGATTCTTCTACTAAATTATAAGTACTTATAAAATGCAAGTTTTCTTTAAAAAAAATTGGCTGGGTATCGTATCCTCATTTTTAACTTTCAAGCATCTTTGTTTAACCAGAGGCAGAAGCACTTCCTGGAAGCTGAATCCCATGAACTCTGGGTTGGCCTGTTTTGGATGGAGCTGTTCAGCTTGCCTTTTTAGAACTCCTGCACTCTTAGCCTCCTTCTTTCTGCTCATACATCAGAAGAGAATAAGAGCAATCCCAAGTTGAAAGGACTCTCAGAGACTATCTGGTCCAGTGCTTTTTTAAACGGTGGGTTGCTAAGAGTTGTGAAATCAATGTAGTGGGTCAGGCCGAGCTTTTTGATGAGAACAGACCCAGCTCTAATAGAAAACACCAGAATGCATTTTAGGTAGAAGGATAAGACTTTCCTGCAGCACGAGTTTCCGCCAGGTATATGTGTGAGCACCTGTAGGTGGATACTGGCTGAGGGTGGATACTGACTGTTCTGGGTGGTCAGTGAAATGCATCCCTGAGGGTCACAATCAAGTAAGTTTCAAGTCGTGCTCTGGTCCACACTCTTCATTTCACACATGAAAACATGGAAGCCCAGAGAGGCTAAGGGACTTGCCCAAGGTCACAAAACTTGTTTGTGACAGCACTGATGTAACTGCCGCCCCCTCCCACCCAATCTACTGACTTGAATGCAATTGCGTGCCCTCCATTGCATGATTAGATTTCCCCCCTCAGAAGGAATGTTCTATTCTCCCTGCTGCAGTTGGAGCCAGGTATAAATTCCTTTATATAGCGCAGTCTTATTTCTTTACCAGTCTGTTGCTATTAACAATGGCTTGGCTAACAGACTGGCAGAGCCTGAAAGACTGCTATCGCAGAGCTGCATTCCTCGGAGAGCCCTTCTCCCAGCCCGGAGCATTCAGAGTAGAACTGCAGAGTGGAATGTGGAGCATACATTTAAATAGGTTTCATGCCTATGGAGCTGTACTATCCATGGCAGACAAGTAAGTTCTTGGAGCCCCTTTCTTTGCAGGGAATTGCCATACAAACTCCTGAGCTGTACTTTGATTGCCTGAGGCTACTGCCACTGACTGACAGGCGGAAAATGGCGAGGTTCTCTCATGGAAATCTATTTTGGGAAAGCGTTCTTCATACACCTCCCATCAACTGGATGGTGGCCGTACGTGCCGTCAACATCTGACTGAAAACATCCTGGGCACTTGGAGGCCAGCCTGCACCACCTGGACATCCCCTAAGAGCAGGCAGAGTTGTGTGCTTTAAATGCCACTGGTTGGCCTGGAGGAAGGTCTGGGGGTCAAGTCTCCCTGCACTCAGTCCCCTTCTTGCTTCCCCGGTAGCTGATCCCACCTGGCAGTGTGACCCCTGGGCTGTGGTTGAGCCTCTTTGGCCCTTGTCATGTGAGAAATGGTGATGCTGTCTTGCATGATGGTTGATAAAATCAAAGGAGATGACACATCCTGCACATACCTACCTAAGACAGGTAGAGCCCCATGAGACTGTGGTCACTATAAATGTTCCTTGGGGTTTTCATCCTTAGCTTCTAGCAGAGCTCCTGAAGCCTTTGTAACGGCATAAGTGGCAAAGGTGCTACGGCATTTTCTCTTTTAATATTTGGTCTTTGATCCCAGTTCCTGACACAGAGCTCCTAAGTCCCTTGGAATTCAGGGGTGATAGGAGTGGCTTTTGTTCTAATGGGCTCCTGGACAACTTCAGGATGGGAGCTGGTCACCAGAAAGACCAAGCCATGATAAGGAGCTTGAACTTTCAGCCCCACCCCCATCCTCCTGGGAGGGGGCCTGGACTTTGAGTGAATAGTAGATGATGCTGTCTAATGAAGTCTCCATAGAAAGCTACAAAATTCAAGGTTCCAGACAGCTCCAGCATGGCGAGCACACCCACATGCTGGAAAGGGGAGGGATTACCCCAATTCCATGGAGACCGATGTTCTCATGCTTGAGACCCTTCTGGACTTCGCTCTAGGCACCTCTTCACCTGGCAGTTCATCTGTATCTGTTATCATATTTTTTTACTATATGAGAAACCGGTTACCTCAGTGTTTCCCTGAGTTCTGTGAGCCTTTCTAGCAAATTATCAAACCTGAGGCAGGTACCATGAAAACCTCCCATTTGTAGCCAAGCCAAACAGAAGTGTGGGCACCTGGGAAGCCACTTGGCCCCTGAAGTGAGGGCGGCCTTATGGGACTGAGCCCTTCACCTGCAGAATCTGATGTTATCACCTGGTAAACAGAATCAGAATTGAGTTAAATTGTAGGACACTCAGCTGGTGTCAGAGACTTGGTGGGTGTGGGAAAACCCCCCACATTTGGTGACCACAGTGTCGGTGCAAGTGGTGGCATAAAAGGAAGCAGGGGAACACTGTGCCTCAAAGAGGCTTTTGTCACTTGAGTGCTCTATAAGCCACCAAGAACCACAGGTCCTGCTGACGGGGAGTAAATGCCACTGGGGTCCCGGGGTTCCAGCAGAGGACCTTTCAGAACAGCAGCTCCCCATTCATGGCACCAGTCAATGGAGGTTCCCGCCATGCAGAAAACAGAGTGGCAGGAGGTTAGGGTGAGAGAAGGGAGGCCTAACGAGAACACTACCTACCATCCACAGCTTAAAATAACATGCTGTTTTATATGCAAGGCAGAAAAGGGACCAATTCATGGAGCTACTTCTCTCCCAGTGCTTGACTGGCAATTTTCTTATGAAGTATTTGGTGGATGAGGTTAGTGTGCCATTGCAGGCTCAGGAATTCTCACATGTGGGTGTCAACTCATTTTTGGGGCATTAACATCCTTTACAAGTGGAGAGCTGGTAAAACACTGCTTCTTCCTCTCCCCGCCCCCCAGCTCTTTATAAAGCTCCTCCCTGTATCTCAGTCATTTGAACATTCATTCTGTGTGTGCAGCAAGCCATCATGGGGTGGCATAGGGAGACCTGAGTACAAAGCTAAATGCCTATCCACCCACAGGGCAATCCCAGAGGGTCCCCAAAGACCAGAATGCCAATTGTTACAGGAAAAGCTATAGGACCCAGGATGTTCAATGCAGAAGCTCTGGGAAGGAGCAGCTATCTTTGGGGGAATGCTACCATTAAGTAGTAAAAGAGGCAGTCTGATTCCCAATTAAAAAACGGGGGCTCGAAGAGTTTAAGTATCATGTCCAGTGCCCTCTCAGACTGCTCTGTCTGACTATTGACAGTGGGGGGGCAGTAAGAAGATTGTGGACAAAGGTCACTGGGAATGGTGACACTCTCAAGAGCGTCTCTCCCCTTAGGAGGCAAACACGCTAGTGAGTTGTCTACCATCATACACATTTTGTGAATTATTTCACTTTGACACTTGGTTTATTTCTCCCCTGAAAAGTAGCTGAGAACCTCCCTGAGAAGAAATTTGGAGCTAGGGGCCAGAAGTGGAGAAGAGAAGGTCATGTGGCAATATGGAGAAATCATGAAAGTAGATCTAAAAAGGCTGAGGGGGGAGGAGCTAGTCAGAGAGCTCCATTCTCTCATTACTTCCAAAAATATTTATTGAGCATCTACTATATACTAGACACCAGCCTGGTACTGAGGACAGAGTGAATGGGACAGAAACTTCACTGTCCTCAAGAAGGCCCTGGCACTGGAGTCTTCAGGATCAAAGGAAAGAAGACTCAGTTACCTGTTGTGAAATTTTTTAACAAACAAAACCAAAGAAAAATGCTCTCCTTTTGGCATAGTCTATTCTCTCCTGACACCACACCAAGAAGACATGGAAAATGCCAATAAATTACTTGGAAAGCCCAACAATGTGTGTGTGGGGTTTCACCGCCATTCAGGGGTTCACCTGAGGAAGTAATGGGCATCACCCTCACATCAAAGAGGTGTGCTGGGGCGGCCCCATTGATTCACCAGAGCTGAAGGCTAAAGTTGTAGGAATTTTGTGAACTGGTTATTAGAGATAGCCGGTATTAAAACTTAAATGATCTAAATTTGAAATGAATAAGTTCTATTGAAAACAAAGATAATACAGATTCTGTACTTTCTAACGACATTTTACTGTTCTCCGAATAGATACTTATGGTTACTGATGTCACCATATCAGTAAGGTGGGAACTTACTGAATGATGTATATCTTTTCCCAACTGTTAAAATTTACAACATGAAAAGTGGCAAACCCTACAGGCTGGAGAGACAGTTACTCGATGTGTAACAGCTCACAACTGTGTAAGATCAACACAAAGAGGCTACAGGGAGGGGTTACCTTGGCGGAGAACTTGAGGTGAACTTCGGCCTCATCTGCAAGGCTCTTCTTCACCTGAGCCCACGCTTCTCCCAGGGAGCTGTAACGTGAAGGAGATCGTCAGACCCAAGGAGAGAGAGGGCTGCACTGATCCCAGGTTAGAGATCACAGTCCTTCCTGAGGTGAAATGGTGGTCTTGAACCTGAGTCTTGGGGATACACAGTACACCCATGACTGTAAACTGGGGTGAGACACAAAACAAACCTGAGCATGGGGACAGGGGAGTCACCCAAACCCAGGGGAGGCTCTTTGGAGCTGGATGGTTGCAGATAGCTGAGTGGCTGGGGGAACCATGGGAAACCCCAAGAATCTGGGGAGATGTGAGAGGAAGGTGGGGCACACTGCAGTGAAGGGCTTGATGCCTGGCCCACGATGGTCCTCATGGCCTCCCTGGGATATGGGCTGCAAATTAACCTGCTAGCAAATCAAGGAAGGAGGTGGGTGCCTTTCCAGGAGAAGCCCTTCTCAAATGGAGGGTACCACATGCAGCTTGCTGCAGGCTAAGCCTTCAGCAGCCTGAGCTCCAGGAGGGGCAAAGGGGCACTATCTGGGTCTGGAGACCTCTTAGGAATGCCCACACAGCACAGAGGGCTCCCCACTTGTGCTAATTTGGCATTGTGAGTCCTAACACTGCTTACAACTTACTAGAGCACCTGTAAGCTAAATCACTTTTCTATTACAAGATGCTTAAAATAGAAGCTATCTCTTGAAGTTTCCAAGATTTTTGACTGGAGTTCCCCCACCTATAACTCCCCCTCCCACCCTATCCTCCTGTGACAGTATCTATTATTAGGAACTCTTTTAACCTCACTGACCTTCCAAATGACACCCTGCTTCCTTGCTTGAGACCTCTCCAACACAGTCAGTAAATACAGGCTGAATGTTCAGTTGACTTAATTTCATCAAAAAGCCACTTCCCCCAGAGAATTCATTAAACTCGAGTGGCAAAAGCTGATTAAAAGACAGCATGCTGCGAGGCTTCTGGATTTTGAGCGGAGAAGCCAGTAGCTAAGAATTACCCAGCAGAACAGAACCCTTTGATCACAGTCCAGGCCTGTCTGGCTGTGGTGCTGGCTTAGTCTGAGGTGAGTGTTTATGGGAAATGACTGACTGATTTTATCTAGGAGTTAGGCAGCAAAGAAAGCTCCCCTGGGATCATTCTAGCTGGGGAGCCCACCAGGGAAGAGATAGAATGAGAGACGGGGCAATCCAAGCTGTTGACATCTGTCCTGGCCTCAAGGGCCTGAGCTCCTGGAAGCTGTGGGGGCCCACTCTGTACCCTCTAGGGGGGTCAGAGAGGGAGACATAGGTGGGCTAAAAAATTTCATATAGAAAATGCAAGAGAATGCCTGGTCCAGGAACAGACTCGCACTGAGGATGTCTGATAGATGTGCAGCAAAGATACCAGATTATCTCAATGGGGGATGGACAGTCTTTTTAACAAATGGTGCAGAGACAACAATATCCACAGGGGAGAAAGGAACCTTGACCCTTGCTATACCTATAGATTATTTCCAGGGGGATCCAGATCTAAGATGAAAGCCTACACTATACAAAGCTTACAGAAGCAGGAGGAGAGGGAGCTTGATTAAAGGTGATGTCGATCCCTGCCACTGAGCTACATGAGAAATCCGCGGGAGGGACATAAAGAGCCCAGAAGCCAATAAGGCACCTGGTGGTGCCAAAAGTTGGTAAATCCACTGCCAGCAGAGCATGTGGTCAGTTAGTGGATGGCTATAATGGCCAGAGAATGTCACCTGAGGCTACAGGGAGGAAAGGAGAAGCAGAGTTTCACGCTTGGGACAATGTCCTTGGCCTGACCTCCAAGCTGGGCATCGATAGGTGGAAGACCCCCCCCCCCCCGCACATGCAGGGGGTCCTGTCTGAGCTAGTGCTCCTCCCACAGGCACCCTCCACTCCTACCTAATATTCCAGGCCACTTGAAGCCACTTCACAATTTTGAAAAAAACAATTTAGACATTCTCTCATTTGAAGAGAGATATTTTTCATTTGATAAGAGGTTAATGGAAAAAAAACCCTGAGCTATTATTTCAGTTCCAATATACAGTCTGAGGCATGCCAAATCAAAGCTCATGTTACTGTCATAATTATCAAGCAGGAAAGACCCAAAATCCCATTTCCTTCCCACACAGGAGAGAAAAAATGAAGGCAGAATAAATAACCTAATTCTGTTTATTTACCAATGGGCACATGTCCTGCAGAATCTAATTTGGACACAGTGTTGCAGATGCAAAAGCAGCTCAAGTCACCCCAACATGCACAGCAGCCTCCCAGGCTGGCCCAATTTTCTAGGCTCTTAATGCTGCACTTTGAAAGGTTCCAGGAAGACAGTGTTAATGTACAAAGCAGTGTGTAAAAATGCAAAACGGCATTGCTGCAAATTGTGAGTGGGGGGTATGCTCACATACTCCCCCACGGCCGGAGCCTGCTGGAAGGAGTGTGTGCAGGGGTGAGTGCACACGCTGCTATGGCAATGAGGTGTGTGTTCATGCCCAGGTACTAGATGTGCATGTGTGGGGCTGTCCCATGTTTGGAGGTGCACGTGTGTATAGCCTGGTGCTGCAGGCCTGATTCGTGGAGCTGGAGCATATGCTGTATGTACTGGCAGCACGGAGTGTCCTTGGCAGCAGCCCAGGCCGAGGAGGTGGAAGCAGGAAGACTCCAGAGCAGCACAGCGGTTTGCAGGGCATGGGGATACTTAAGAAACCCTCCTCCTCAGACCGGAAGGGAGACCCACTCCTAGGACCCCTCCTGCCCCCCACTCAGGTCCAGCACATGTTGCAGAAGAGGGCTGGAGCAAACCTCATTAATGTCAGTGGAAGAGTGAATTGCCCTGTGGCCTGCAAGAACCACTGGGAGGCGGCCTCACCGCTGCAAAGCAAGTCCATGCAGGGGCTGTAATTAAAGCCACATTTGGTTGGCAAAGCCGGTCCCCCGGAGGATTCCAAGCCATGCAGGCAGATTTGGACTTGTTTCACATCACAGCTCTTCTGACAACCACAAGCGTCCTGGGGAGAACATCTTCCTTCCTCGGGGGCTCACTTCCCCTCATAGGAGTGATTCAGAGACTGCACTGGAGGGAGGTTTTCTAGAAGGAGGACCTTGGGGAAACCTTTCAATTCTAACCTGCTGAGGGTCTTTATTAGTTTTTGTCATTGAGATAAAACTTACATAACAGAAACGTCCATTTTAAGAGAGAACAATTCAGCAGCATTTAGTACATTTGCCATGTTGTGCAACCACTACCTCTATTTCCAAAATAATTTTTATCACTCTACTAAGGACTGCATGTTTGTGTCCTCCCCCCATTCATATGTTGAAACCTTCCCTCCTCCCCTCCCAACTGTGGCTGTTATTTGGAGATGGGCCCTCTAAGGAAGAAGTTAAGGAATTAAGGTGAAACAAGGTCAAAAGGGTGGGACCCTGATTCAATGGGATTTGTGTCCTTGTAAGAGACACCAGAAAGCTTGTTATCTTTCCTCTGGTGGGTACTTGAGGGTTAGTGTCCAGCTAGCAGGGGTCAGGGCACAGCAGGTTTTGACACACACTAGTATCTGGTGGGAGGTCCCTGGCCATTAGAAGACAATATGGAGGTGCCGACCGTGAGTGTAGATGCCTGTATTTCAAGCAGTGGGTGCTCACCCTGAGCTAGAAGCTTATGCCAGGCATAAGGAGACTTCCCCATCCACATGGGCCTATGCAGGTAATCAGTGATGGGTGGAAAGGGATCCTCCTTTCTGAGTGTTCCCTCCTCCTCCCCAGCTGCATCACTGCCCTCCTCACTTACCCTTCCTCCTGTGCAGCCAAGGAGTTCTGAGAAAGCTTAGCTAAGTTCTTTGCATATTCTTCTTCAATCTTTATCCTGCAAAGGGAGAAAATCCAGCATGTCAACTCTCCAGGACTAGAAGTGAGTCTGATCTGCAGTCCTGCCATTATTACCCGTGTAAAGGAATCCACTACACCATAAGCTCTGAGAGTACATGCTCCTGTCTGTCCACCTGGCATACTATAGGTACTTAATAAATACTTATTGAATGAATGAATGAATGAAATTACTGAAACTTCACCTCCTCCATCTCTGTCTCCATCTTCAAAATAGAATATTCCCACTTATCTCCTAAGCTGTGAAGACTGATCTGCTTTGCTGTTTACAAGCTTCTAGCACAGAGCTGATCCATGGGAGACCTTTAAGTAAAAGAATGAAACTCATGATGAACCAAGGAGAAACCTAGGGCCGCCCTTTCCCTGTGGGACTTAGACCTCCAAGGTGGCATTAGCCATCATAGGCATGAATAGAACCTCTTCCTACAATCTCTCAGCCCCTGATTCCTCTAATTGTTAAGCCTGCAGGGCACACGTATTTCCATGGAAACCAGGCAGTCCCCCGAGCTGGCTGATTCCATTTCCCTGGAGAGGGATGCTGCCTTGGATTTCACTTCTAGCAGGCAGGTCCTTGACACACATTCAGGCAACTCTCTGGGGGTTGTTCTGTATTATCTGGCAACCTGTGTTAAATGTGTTGTCAAAGGTATCGCTCACTGCTCTGGGCTGCTGTGCTCGGGACAACCAGAGTTGGCCATCATTGGGTAAGCTGAGTAAAGGGCAAAGACCCAGATGTGCCTGGGGCTGCAGCATTTGCTTCACAGCTGCTTGGAGGCTAATGCGGAAGGTTGGGGTGATGGAGAGAGAGCAGTCTAACCAGGGGCAGCACTTTGAGTAAGAACCATTCACAATTCAGCACTAGGAGACCCCCAATCTTGTTCCTTCTCATACCGCTTTGCTCTTGCCTCTACCTCTGGCCAGCCTCTAGTTTCTCTTAATTCTAACTCTGATTTATCCCCATGCCTCTGCTTCCTTTCCATTCACTCTGCCTTTAGCCCCAGCCCTCCCCAGGATGACTACACACCCCAAATAGTGGCTAAGAGATCTTTCCTGAAAGCATATCTAACTGTGTCACACTCCTAGCTCAAATCTCCAAAGGCTCCTTGATGTAAACTGCACGCACAGCAGGAACCCATCTGCTTCTGGAGCCTTACCTACAGAGCCAGCCTGTACCACCTCCACCCCTGTCCAGCTGTCCTGAGCTATGGCCATGGCACCCACCAGACACCTGTCCCCAGGCCCACACGCTCCCTCTTCCACATCTTAGCTCTCACCTCTCCTGCTTCAAAATGACCCTCCTTGCCAAATCCCAAGAGAATCAAGAAAAGTTGGAGGAGTCTACTATATTTCTCAGGAAAGACCAGAGTATTCTCAAATGGCAGGTTCCATATATCTGCTAACATGATGTTTTTATGAAAGCATAAAGTGTTCAAACTTTGGCTTTACAGCCAATTTCCTATGTGCCTGTTTTATACTATTGTTTTCTTGCACCTGAGCTTTGCAACCTCTCAATTGCCTACCAGTTTAATGGGTCATAAAATAAAGATCTTATTATACAAATAGAAAACAGTTATCCTAAAGAAAAGAAGTTTTTTAAAATGCCAAAGATTACTTGATTGTTGTTGTTATAATTTAAAAAAACTTAAAAATAAATTGCTGCTTACTGTAGGTATTTCCAGCATGCACTGTAAACTGTGTATGTAAGCATTCACACATGTGGGGGGTATGTGCATGTGCATGTGTGTGGTATGCAAGTGTGTGGGTATGTGATTGTATGCTTAATAGGGTCTCGAAATTTGGGGAGATTGAGGCCAGGAGAAAGAACTTTTCTTTACAGTTTTTCCTACTTCCATCAGGATGCATTTATTGTTTCATCATCAATGTTCCAGACAAGCCATTCTTCAGACAGAACACTATTATAGTCCCTGTACTCATCATGATGACTATCTGATTCTCCCTTTATACTGATCTCCTTGAAGGCAGGGATAGGAAGGTGGAACTTCCTCTATTCTGAGGCCTAGCACACAGTTTGGCTCAAAGACGAATGAAAAGGTGACACTGTCCTTTTTGTTATGATAAAGGACAGTGCTTCAAATAGGGGCCAGGTAGGTAAGGAGTCAAGCAGTATGGGTATAGTAGGGAGTGGTGGGGACTGTGGCAAATCGGAAGCAAATGTTCCCTTTACAGGGACAGCTGCTACTCATCCTGACAACTGTTGCTTAAGGGATGTGGAGCCACCAGTTATAGACTTTCTCCTTTCTCAAGAAAGACTAAATATTGAGATATTAATGTAAAAGGTACCAATTAAAAAAATGGTTCATATCTTTAAAAGCACTGCATATGAGTGATAGTGAAGACAAAGATAAACAGTTGGGACTACATCAAATTAAAGAGCTTCTGCACAGCAAAAGAGACAATAACAAAAACAAAGAGAAACCCCACCAACTGGGAGAACATTTTTGCACCCAACACTAATGATAAAGGACTGATCACAAAAATCTGCAAAGAGCTGATGAGACTCAGCAACAACAAAGAAAATAATCCAGTCAAAAAATGGGCAGAAGAGCTAAAAAGAAACTTCTCTGAAGAGGAAATGCAAATGGCCAACAGACATATGAAAAAATGTTCAACATCACTTGCAATCAGGGAAATGCAAATCAAAACTACCATGAGATACCATCTTACACCAGCGAGAATGGCACATATTAAAAAAACTAGCAACAACAAATGTTGGCGAGGATGTGGAGAAAAAGGAACTCTTGTGCACTGTTGGTGGGAGTGCAAACTGGTCCAACCACTATGGAGAGCTGTGTGGAGATTTCTGGACCTACTAAACATAGAGCTTCCATATGATCCAGCAATTCCACTCCTAGGTATTTACCCAAAGGACACAGAAACATCAATTCCAAAGAGCACCTGCACCCCTATGTTTATAGCAGCACTGTTTACAATAGCTAAGCTTTGGAAACAACCCAAATGCCCAAAAGTAGATGACTGGATCAAGAAGATGTGGTACATATATACCATGGAATATTACTCAGCATTCAAAAAAGATAAACACATGCAATTTGCAGCAACATGGATGGCGCTGGAAGGGATCATGCTCAGTGAAATAAGCCAAAAAGAAAAAGAAAAATACCGGATGGTCTCACTCATAGCAGGAATCTAGAAAACTTAAATAAGGGACCAGGAAAATGAATATAAGAAAGTGAAAATCAAAATCAACAAAAAACATTGAACCAGAGACACTTTTTGGGGGGTGGGGGGCGGGAGGGGAAGGATTGGGGTCAGAATGGGGCGTTTGCAATTGTATGGGGGAATATAAAAATAAAATTTAAGATTAAAAAAAAAAAAAAAAAAAAAAAAAAAAAAGCACTGCATATGATAAAGCAACCCATCTGTTGGCCAGATTTGCCCTAAAGGCCACAATTTAGTGGTACCAGCTCCCTACGCGTTAACCCAGCACAGTGCTAGGTATGCAGGGTCATTCCTGCTGTGCAATGCCCTTAGGATGAGGGGCCAAGGAGGGCAGTGTCATCAGTCCCCAGAGCTGGGAGAGGCCCAGGCTTTACCTTTCTCGAATGAATTCTGACATTTCCTTCTGCATTTGTTTGCCTTTCAGTTGCTTCTGAAGCAGTAGTTCAAACCCAGCCACATTGCCATTGCCTTGGGAGTCCTTCTTATCAGCCTAGAAAGGAAATGGAAGCAGAGTTAAGGTAACATCAGTGTCTAGAGGTGGGTGAGTAGAGTGTAGGGAAGAGAGATTCCAGATGGGAACCCAAGAGCTAGGACTGTAACCACAATCGTGACTGCCCTAACTTGTGTCTCCCTCTGGTGCCCCTGGTCCATTGGCGGTCTCTGATGCTGAGCCCCTTAGAGCTGCTGCCAGCCCATGTCCATGTCCCTCCAGGTCCCAGCCTGAGAAAGAAGAGGAGGAAGGACAAGCATCTAGGAGCAGTGACTATGACATCCGACCACCTACACCTTCCAACCAGGTGGCTTTGTCTTGACTCTAGCCAGGGACAGATCACTGGGACAGGGCCCCTCAGCTGAAGGCAATCAGTCTCCCATCAGCTTCTTGCACAGACTGGGCAGGGACACCCCCCAGTGCATATTCATGAAGACTCATAGTGGTTTCAGGGGAGAAATTGGATTGACGGGAAGCCAGAGTGGAAAAGGACAGGCTGTCTGGGTTGACATCCCAGCTGAGGAACCTCAGGCAAATTCTTCCCTCACTCTAAGCCTGAGCTGCTTCATCTGTGCAACTGGAAATAGTGGGACCAACCTCATACGGTCATTTCAGGATAAATATCAAATGGAACCAGCTTAGCACACAGTAAGTTCTAAATAAATGATATCTTCTATTAATTAATTTTAAATAAAAATCAGGAATCAGGACGATGGTCAAGTCAATGAAATGCAAACCTTGTCCTCCACTCATTTTGCAAATACTCTTAAATATATTTCAAAACTAAATGTATTTTGTTTTGTTTTGTTTTGTTTTTGTTTTGTTTTGCTTGCACTTCCTTGAGGATCCCTGAATATTTCTCTCCTGTCATTCCCCTGCCCATGTCTTGTATGACGCCCCCATGCAGGCCTTCCCAGCAGGCCACCCATCCAGGCTGGCCCGCACAGCCAGGGGTCTGACAACTCAGCCTTCCTGGGGCCTGGCCAGAACCACACTCATAACTGGTGCTCCTCCATTACAGCGCTTCCCACCAGAATCCCACAGTCAAATGCTCTCACACTTAATGGAAGGAGCAGAAATAGGCCCTGTGACATCACAGAGAAAGGTGCCTCCGTGAGAACCTGGTCCTGAAACCGGAAAGACTGGCTTCCAGTGTCCGCTGCTAGTCACTGTGTGATGTGGTCCAATTTTTCCAATCCTAGACTGTTCCCTTCTCCTTTCTACCTCAAATAGGACTGGGTTGCATCTCTAAGACCCCTTCCAGTACAGATATTTTAGGGGGAAAGAAAGGAGTTGCTAATGCCTGGGATGAACCCCGCTGACCATTGTCAAGTAGATAAAATGTTCCATGAATACCCAATGTGGGTATTGGCTTTCATTGGCTGTCTGGACTCAACAAACTCTGGGCCACAGTGCTGACACCTCTTGTGACAGGGAGCACACCCCACACAGGGTAAGCCATGCCATGGGGGGCTGCTGTGGCAGTTTGAAAGGATCCTGAAGTATACATTTAAATTTGTTCACTTCATTGCATGAGTGCTACATTTGGATGAAAAAGCCAGAGAAAAATTACCCAAAATACTGAGCCCCACTCTGCTTCTCTTACAAATGGATTTGCTGAGCAATTCATCCATCCCAGGGAAACCAGCCAGAAGAAATGGGCTCTAATGACTGTGCCAGCAGAAAAATTTCTATTAGAGGAAAAGGCTTTGATGGTCAAGGAGATAAAACACTAGAGTAAGTATCTGAGTCCCAGGAGAGCCTGGATTAAGATGCCAACTTGCAAAGTCACTCTCTTGGATGCTGCTGACCAGTGGGATGACACTCTTTCCCCAGTCACCTCCCCAATCTCAAAGCCTCCTCCATGTCCACACACAACCTAAATCCAGCTCCAGGATGCCCATTCCTGGGATGCCAGCTCCCAAAACATCCTCCCAAACACTTCACCTAGTGTGATGTCTCCAGACCCACTTCTCTCTTCTCCATGGCTGCCACCATCTTCGCTGGTCCCCAACATCTGCCAACTGTCACCCCTGTTGCTCACAGTCCTCCTTGCAGGATGCACTTATATGAGACCACATCATACTTCTCTTTAAACCCTCTGACATGGGCCTCCCGGTGGTGCAGCGGTTGAGCGCTGGGTTGCGAAGCTGCCCGCAGCCTCTACAGTGCCGGTTGGATCCCCGGCTGCTCCCCGGCCACCGGAGGAGGGTCCCACATGGCCTGCAGACCTCTCCTGCCTCCCGCTGCTCCCCTCAGCAGTGTACTTCGTCAGTCTGCCTGTTCTGCTCCCTGCTCTGGCTCTGGTGAATTCTCTCACCCTCCTGCGCTTCTGACTGTACCCAGTGTTTGTATAAATAGATAAATAAATCTTTAAAAAAAAATAAACACTCTGACATCACGCTACTGCAAGGAGAACAAAATCCAATGTGCTATGGTGCCCACAAAGTATCCTCCACTCTGACCCCAAGTCCGTCTGATGCCTTTTTATAATGTTGGCTGTATCTGCAAGGATCTCAGCCGTGGAAGAAGCACTGTGGGGACAAGAGGAATCTGGCTGCCTCCTAATGCACAAGCAATTTGGTAGAAAAGAAAAAGCACTTTGGTCTAGTACTCAGTGAGCAAACCTTAAAAGGGGTACATAATCCATTCTGCATGGAGGTAAAAAAAAATTCACTTTGTTTATTGTTCCTTGGGATTTTTGTAAACTTTTTTTTTTCTTTTAAGCATACAATTCAGTGGTTTTAATATGCTCACAAGGTTGCGCAACCAAGACCACAATGTGATTTCAGGCTAGAGCAATCTCAATTAGAAAGTCACTGCTCTCTGTAAAATGCAAATGCCCAGAGGTTCTGAGTAGGACTCTGCAATTGTTCAAAGATATTTATTTAATATGGAAAGATATATATAATTAAATTTACCATCGTAACCATTTAAAGTGTGCAACTCAGTGGCATGAAGTACATCCACATTGTTGGTAATCCTCACCACCTTTCTTCCTTCTTTAGATTTTTTTTTTTACCTTGCAACTCGGAAACTCAGTACCACTCAAGGCACAAACCCTGTGAACCACAGAATGATCAAAGCTGGAGCTCTCTGGAGGTCCTCGGCCCAATCTCCTGGTGAATTTCATGAAAATAGTGAGGCCCAAGAAGAAGCCCTTGTCCCAGGTCACTCGCATCAGTGACAGCACACGCCAAAGGTGATTCTGGTCTCCTGCCTTCACTGAGCAGCAGAGTCTCCAGCCTATCTGCATTCTGCCTGGGGTTTCCGTACTGCCTGGAAACCCTGTAGACTTTGAGATTTAAGAAATGAGCTGGGCTTCGGTTTTGGCCTCAGACACTAAATCTACCATCAGCTCTTTCAGTTTTCACAGGAAGACTTCACTGCTTTGTGCTAGAAGCCCTTCATGCCCTCCTGAGTGTCTTCTCCTGGTCCTCCGGGCCACCATGAGGGGGAAACTGAGGCACCACTTACCCAGAAATAGTCACAGTAGCTCCACTCTGTTGGTTTCAGCAGCTGCTGCTCCGGCATGGTGTCTGGGTGAGGGAACGTCACGCAGTTTATCTGCAGGGCACAGAACAAGAAAGAGAATGACCTCACTGGAGGGTTGGGAGAAGCTGGGAAGGCTGTGCCACTGGGACACAGCACTCAGAGACCTCCCGTTTGGGCCAGTTTCATGCTCAGGGATGATGGGATACACCAGTGGTCCCCACTTCAAATGTGGGGAATAACCAGCACTCACACCACCCAGAGGGCTGGGGATGGGGACAAAGCTCTGGAGGGCAGATAATAGGATTATCAGGTTTGCAAACATTCAGACCTTCAACCCAGCCCTGCACTGCAAAGGGGCTGTCCTACAGATACATCCGCACAGGGGGCAGCACTGTCTGTTGAAGCAAAAGGATGGACCACAGCTCCACTGTCCATGAGCAGGGAGCAGTCGAACAGAACATGACACAGACATGTGTGGGCAGTGTGAGCAGTCAAAGACATGAGGAAGTTCTTACATAGTGATAAGCATGGTGTGCCAGCAGGCACCGCTCCTGAGGGCGTGGAGGGGGGGCATGATATAAAACAGTATTTTAAGAGTATGCTGCCATTTGTATAAAATCCAAACATTTGGATACTTATGTACAGAATACTTCTGGAAGATGACAATATCATTTCCCAGGAAAGACATAATGTGGCTAAGGGTCAGGGGTGAGAGGACACCTTGTGAAATTTAGCTTGTGATATGTATTCTAGGAATAAAGCTTAAAAGGAGAATCCAGGGTGCATGCTTGGTGTTGACCTCAGTCCAGGAGAGTACAGTACAGAAATTTCTGGGGTCATCTAGACTTTTCTACTGGAGCATATGTGTAGTGACCCTGGATTTGGGGGGAAATGGCTTTGCTACCCAAGACCCAGACCTGTTCCCCAAAAAGGATGTTCATTTGTTCTCTTTGTGGGAGTCGTGGAGTGCTGGGGAGGCAAGGCCTGAGCCCCCTCCTCTTGAACCCCTCATTGCAGCTTTAGCTTCTGCTGAGTAGGAGTTGTCAGACATTTGAGGGTCATTGCAGAACCACCCTTACCTGGGAGGTTTTGGATAGAGCCACAAACTCCAAAGCCAGGCAGCTCATGCAAACGTGAGAAACTATAGCCTCTGCTTTAGGAAGGTAGGGAGGGGCTATGAAGACCTAGAGAAGGGGCAGATTCCTCTCAGCTCCTGCCAACCACTGTCAAATTAGAATGAGGGGTCAATGTAGTACGGATATGAGATGATTTGAGAGAAGCTGAAAATTGGGATTTTTAGGTGGCGTCTTAATTTTGAAATGTTAGCAGTCAATTCACGGTTAACAATAACAATAGCACCGCTACAACCATGCGAGCCAAATTCCTCTACCAGCTGAGTCAGGCCCAGGCACCCCTGGCCATGACCTCTGGCTCAGAGGCACGAGGACATCTAGAAGTAATAGGTGTCCTGGCTGCCAGGGGCACAGCCTTACTTGCAGCCCTGGGAGGAGAACGCCAGGGTAAAGGTCCAGCCAAAGAAAAAAGCCCCTCTGCCCAATACTGACATCTGTGTGGAGATCCCCTTTCTGCCATAGGGAGGATCCAGGGCAGGAGTGAGCCAGAGAAGTCTGGAGATGGGCAGCACCCAATTCCCGCAAGGTTAATTAAGGTGGAAGCCCAAGGGATCCTCTGGGGTGGGACGTTTTCTCCCAAAGCTGCACCCACAGCCTTCGAAGGTGTCACTGGCCTGCAGGAAGCTGCTTGGGCTAGGACCAGTCTGTCAATGCCCAGCATCCCCCCCAAACCCTTTCAGGCTGACACCCCAAAGTGTGTCCAGGGGTGAGTCCCCCTGAGGAGTTTTGATGAGCCACTGCTTTATGACTCTCACTTGCAACAATGAAGGAAACAAGGATGAATTCCAAAGTTTCACATAATTCTTATTTCGTGTCCTGGCTGTTCATGTTTCAACAAATAATGGTGAGCAGGCTACAATTATTTAGTTTAATGAGGTAGTGCACGAAAATCTCAATCCAATTTAATGATCAACTGAGCCACATGAACTTGGGCATTCAGAGCCATGGAAATTGAAGGTACTCAGAGGTGGATGCCCTGTTCTCTATCCTCCTCCTTCATCTTTCCTCATCCCACCTGCTCTTGGCCTTGGCCTCTCTTTTGGGATATGTCTTCCAGCAAAGGAAGGGTTTCACTATAAGAAGAGGAGTCTTGACCAAAGGTGGGTCACGACAGGAGGGAACAATGGGTTGCACCCCACCCTTGGCCAGGGATTCTTCTGGAAGAAGCTCCCTGGGAAGAAGGAAGCTGCTGCCCTTCCCAGGATGAAGGCAGAGGCCATGTGCCTTGGGGTGTGTGTGTGTGGCAGTCCCCTCCAACAGCAGGCTCCAATAGCAACCATCTGAAGGCCATACAAGGTCAGCAGGAGGGCTGAGGCCCCTCCTATGAGCCCCTTCATTCTAGAACTGTAGTTTCCACACCTCAGGATCACCTCTTCACAGGTGACAAACACAGATCCCAGGTTCAACCCCAGACACTCTGATTCTGTAGGTCTGGTAGGACCTGAGCATGTACATTTCTAACAAGTTCCCTATTTATGGTCCAGGGACCCCACTTTGAGAACTGGTGTTCAGGATCCATTTGGCGGGGAGGGTTCCCCCTCAAGGAGAGCTCATTGCTGCCGCAGTGGAAGACACAAAGACGAACAAGGCACAGCCCTGCTCTCAAAATGCTACATGGTCTTAGTGGGATGCCTGCTTTGGGGGCTAAAAGGGTCAGGGGTCTGGAAAGTGAGGGGTTCTGCAAATGGTGCTACAGCAACCAGTGAAGGGAGGCTAGTTGGCTGCGGAGGGAGGAGAGAGGACAGAGGAGGAAAGATCTTATTCTTCTTACTGTGTCTGCCACCAGTCCTTGGACGGATGCTCGGGGACCTAAGATACCTGTCCCCTGTCTTTGGAATTGCTCCCCCCATCTACCTGCCAAGGAATTTTCCTGAGTCCTCACAGAGCCGTGCATCTCCAGTGGTATTTTAAGGGTGCACCTAGCTGGCCCAGTGGGAAATAGCTATGACTAAGAACTTCCGGGGAGCATTTCCTCAGGCACCTTGCCAAGAGATTTGCATGTATTTCCCACTTCAGGAGCTTTATGGACTGGGTAACATTGGTCTTATTTTAAAAGAGAAAACCAAAGACCGCAAAAGTTAAGTATTTGAATCCTGGCTGGGCTGATGGCAGCATCAAAGCCTCAACCATGATGCTATTCAATAGACCACTTGCTCATCCACTTGACAGGCCAGCATTTGTGGCCCGACTACTCAGTGCCACACGCTGTGCTAGTTCTTTCTAGCACATTCACATGTACATTTGTAATTACATTCCTTCTGACTGTTGATCTAGCACTTATGTTCCTTGCCAGACTGCCTGCTTCATGAGGGGAAGAAGACAGCTTTTCCCTGCTGTTTTCTGGCATAGCATGGGCACCTAGTGGGTGCTTGGTAAATGTTTCTTGGTGCAAAGACTGGAGGCTAGAGGTGGAAAGCATAGTTTCTACTCTCAGGGCTTTATAGCTCATGAGAAGGGCAAATAAATAACTAAGCAATTGCAATACTTTGGGATAAATCGACCTCAGCAGTAAGCACAGGGTGCTGTGCTATGGGTGTGTGTGGGGGGGGGCGGGGGGGCAGTCCAGGGATTCAGGGGAAGAATTACTAGGCAGTTAGAGCAGGGAGGGCGATGCCTAAAAAAAATTAAATGGCCAACTATGAGGACCACAGGAAACACTTGCCAGAACTGATAAAGCCTAAGGAGAGCCAAGAACTCCAGAGTGGGGAAGACAGTCCCCCATCCCAACCTACTGCCACGGCTGATAAAACTAAACCCCCAGAGCACTGTAGAAGGGGGAGTGGCCTGGGAAGTCCTGCCTGGACTGACAAATCAGCACCCAAGGAGCGCCTGCGCAGTCTACCCCGGAAAGGGACAGAATGAGCAGCCTCCTGCACCCCATTTAAGCCGGGAGCCCCCTGCCTTTCCTCATACTTATCCTTCCCTGCACTCTGCCTGCAGGACCTCTTCCTGAGTGTACCATCTCTAAATAAACTTTGCTTTCCCTAGATGTGGCTTTGAATTCTTTCACGGCCATAGTCAAGGACTGATTATAGGGTAAGTGATTATCAGGCTTTTCTGCCCTCCCACTCTCAGCGTTGATGATGGATCCCTGTGGTCCTGAATGCATGCCTGATGGCAGGCACCTGGAGTGGGGTGCAGGCATGTGTAGGTAGGTTCACCTGGGCTGAGACTGGGCTTATAAGGGCAGCGTCACTGGAACGGACACTTCTGCTGGAAGAGAACCAGCAGAGAAGCAGAGGTCACGAGAGAACACCAGAGAGCCCAGAAAGAGTGAAGATTTGCAGGAACCCCTGCCTGCTGTGTACCTGGTAAAATCCCAATAAAAGCCTGAAAAAGCCGTTGAGGGTTGCAGGACGCCTCCTTTACCCATCTGCTTGGGTCATAGAGATCCTGCCCTGGCCCTTCCTGCCGCTGTAACTGATGAACCCCATAACTCAGAAACATCTAGGAACCCCCAAGCCCAGAATCAGAATCTCAAAGGGAGTGATATTTATGTAGTAAGAGTAGGATCAAGGCATATGGCGGGGGGTGGGAAGGGGAGGTGAAGAGTTTTGCAGGGAGGAAGGGGTCAGGGCCCGAGGGCACACCAAGGCCATGGTTTGGGAGGCACTGCTCTGTGTAGGGGGCTCAGGGTCAGCAGCAGACAGCACTGTGGTGGGGGTGGGGGCTGAAAGCCCCTCTGGTGTGCCCAGGTGCCTGGGCTTTGTCCTGAGGCAGTGGGAGCCATGAAAGCATTTGGCAGAGAGTGGTGTGATCAGTTGCCCTTGGGTGAGCACGCACTGCAGTGTGGACCCAGCCCAGGAGGCCTTCCACAGGGCGGAGGTTTTGGTGGTGGCTAGAACTGCCTAGTGAGGTGACAAATACTTCAAAATACACTTCATAGTACCATGAAGTTAACTCAGTGACTATCATCCAGGGGTGATTTTTGCGCTCCTC